TCCTCCTCCTCCTCTCTCTCTCTCTCTCTCTCTCTCTCTCTCCTCCTCCTCCTCCTCCTCTCTCTCTCTCTCTCTCCTCCTCTCTCTCTCTCTCTCTCTCTCTCTCTCTCTCTCTCTCTCTCTCTCTCTCTCTCCTCCCTCCCTCCCTCCCTCCCCTCCCCCCCCCCCGCCTCTCCTCTCCTCACTCTCTCCCTCAGGCTCACGAGCTCATGTCGGTGGCGCGAGACAGCAAGGTCGACTTCTCTCTGCGCGCGATCAGCACGTGGGACGAACAGGCTCTGGGACGAGGAGAGAACGTCGCCGTCACTCTCTTCGTCATGCGCTTTCTGCATTTGACGCTCTCACATCACCAGGAGGATCTACCACGTGAGCCTCTTCTTTTCTTCCTCCTCCTCGTTCCACGCATCGCGCTCTTCTACATCCTCCTCATCCTCCTCCTTTGCTTGCCTTCCTCCTCTTTCGCCTCCTCTTCTCCCATGACCTGTTCCACTCCTCAACGAATCTCCCCATCGCTCCTGCTCGCTTCCTGGTTCATTTCCATGTGTTTCTTCTCTTGACTTCTTCCAGTTAACCTTCCCATGCTCGAGTCCCTCATCTTCACCTTCGCCTCCAGTCGCACGTCTGCTCCTCCTCTTCCTCCTTTCCTTCAGTCGAGATACCAAGAGATCGAGGGACTTTTCCCTCAGCACATGCTTGACATGCAAGACAAGGTGAGTTATTCCTTCTCCTTCTTCCCTCCCTCACTTACTCCCTCCCTTCCTCCTCTCCCTCTCCTTCCCGCCTCCAGCTCCCTCTCTCCCAGCATCCTCCTCCCCCTCCCTCTCTCCCGGCATCATCCTCGTCTGTGCTCTTCCTTCTCACCGCCTCACCCTCTCCTGCAGGAGGACGACGGAAGTTTCCGCCGCGACCTCGAGAGGTTTTGGGATCAGCTCGTCGCTCCGGTGCTGCTCAAGGACGCAGGTGGCAGGGAGCTGCACGCGAGCGTTACCAGGACGATCGTCAAGGACTCGCTAGCCAAGTTGCGGTCGGGGGAGACCCTGTGGGCCGCGGCCCTGACGCATGTCTACCACCTCCTTGCCCAGCTGCCGGCCAGCAGGTTTCTCACCTTCTGCGACCTGCTCGCCGACCTGCACTGCTCGACGGACTGTCTGCTGGAAGATGTGGCGACGAGGCACGTGGAGATGCTAGCTGTCTGCCAGGTCCTCTCCCCGCTCTCCTTCCTCTCCCACTGCCTCCTCGAGGGCGCAAAGCCGGAGGACAAGTTGTTCTACTTGCGCAACTGGGAGCATGGGGGAGGGGAGCGAAAGGAGGAGGAGGAGGAGGAGAAGGAGGTCAACGTTGTTGCGGTGCGACTTGTGGAGGTCCACAGGCAGGAGTTTCCTCCGTTCTTCACGATCCGAGAGGAGGATGGGAGAGAAAGGCAGACAGAAAGTTTTCGTCTCTTCCACCCCAAGTTGTTCAGCAGCAAACCTCTCCAGCAAGCGGCAATGGGGCAAGTGGAGGGTTGGGAGGAGGAGGAGGAGGAGCAGAACGTCGACACGTGGGCAAGGTGCGTCAGGAAGTTTGCTAGGACGCTTGCAAGTATCCACAAGGAAGCGAGCAAGTCTGTGATGGCGATCGATCGATTGCGAGAGGAGGGGGTGGGGGAGGCCGAGACCCTCGCCCTCCTCGCGCTTGAGTGTCTGGCAGAGATGAATCGGTTCCGGGTACAGGGGGTGGGAGGAGAGGAGGGGTGGAGAGCTTTGTTTGCTCACACGTGCTCTTGGTGGAGGAGGGAGGAAGCGATCGACGTCCCTGTCCCCGAGTCGTGTTACATGCTCGCTTCCTCCAAGGGGCTCCTCCTCCACTGTGACCACCTCCTCCTCGCCTTCCAGCATTGCTCCTTCCACAAGCTCCGCTCTTCCTCCGCCTCCCTCGCCCATTTCTGGTATCGACTGCTCCTTGCAGAGCCGGACGGAGGAAGGGTAAGAGGAGCCAGCGAGGAGTTGCGAGCCTTCAGCAGGATGGTCCTGGCGGTTGGACAGTGGATGACAGGGGAGGGATATAGGGGAACGACGGAGCAGGGGTTCGCTATGCTCTTGCTGTCAGCGCTCGAGCGGTGGGTAGTCAAGGTCGGCGACTTTCCGGAGGGCTCGGAGGAAGCAGCAGAGTTCTACGAGGGGGGAGGCGAGGAGGAGGTGATCGAGGTCGAGGAGGAGGCAGAGTGCGAGGAGGTTGGGGAGAAGGAGGGGGAGGCAAGGCAGCTGCAGCCCTCGGAGCTATGGACGAGGATCAAGACTTCGTGCTTCGCCCACTTGCTCGGCGACCTGGTGACTGCCAGGGATCACGAGCTGACGAGCTTCCCTCCTCCTCCTCGAGCTCGCCTGCGGCTGATCGCCCATGTATCCAGGTCAGCTCCCATGTCGGTACTGCAGCTCAGCCTCGTCCATCTCATCAAGAGGAAGAGACAATCTTTCTGTGAGGCCCTTCATACCCTCCTCTCCTCCTCCGACGTCCTTGTCCAGCTCACAGCGTACGCCCTCCTCTCCAAGTTCTACGTCTCCGACTCCCTCCTGGGGCACCTGGACGGCTTAGCATGGGAGGGGCTCAAGGTAGAGGAGGAGGAAAACTCTGCTACCAGCAGCAGGGAGGAGCAGCCGGCGGATGAGCTTCGGTGCCTTCCTCTTCCTCTGGTGACGGCGATGCAGACGCACCTGCAGGCGAAGGAGGTGATGCACGAGACTCTGATGTCTACCGTCTCGCTCTGCGGCATGCTCGCCTGGAAGTTGGCGCTGGACTTGAGGAGACGCTGTCCTCCCCGCTACCAGGCCAACATCTCAGCATGGCTGCGGCAGACCTCCATGCTCCATCCCTTCCTTGACGTCACCTTCGCGCACCTCACGCTCGATGCTCCGGCGAGCTGGAGCTCCTCAGACATGAATTGCGAGACGCTTCCTCCTCTCGACAAGCTGCTGGCGCCTCAGGACTGCATCTCAGTGATGGAGCGACTGGCCGGACATCTCTTCCTAGAGTCCTTCCAGGCCTTTCCAGCTCTCGTTCGCATGTGGTACAACCAGCTCGACCGAGCATCCGCTCTCAGCGTGGAGAGCTTCGTATCCTACAAGATCAGTCCCATCCTCCTCGCGCGAGAGATTGCGGTTGTCTGCAGCTCCAGCATCGACAAGGATGAGCTTTCCATCCGGGCGTCGGCAAGCACGCGGGAGATCGCAGCCGCGTACAGCAAGGACGAGGCGGTGATGGAGGTGATTCTCCGGGTGCCGGAGCTCTATCCTCTCCGCGTGGTGGAGGTGGAGGGAACGCGCAGAGTCGGCATCAGCGAGGGGAAGTGGAAGAAGTGGGCGCTATCCATGAGGACGCTGCTGGACAACAAGGACGGATCGCTGCTGGATGCGATCCTGCTGTGGAAGAAGAACGTGGACCAGGTGTTCGAGGGGGTGGAGGAGTGCCCCATCTGCTACACAGTCATCCACATGGTCAACAACTCGCTTCCCACCCTCTCCTGCCACACCTGCAGGAACAAGTTCCACAGCGCCTGCCTCTACAAGTGGTTCAACACCTCCAACAAGAGCACCTGCCCCCTCTGCCAGACCCCGTGGTACTCATAGCAGACCGAGTGAAGTCTTGTATTCTAACGCGACTCGCCGCTGCTCCCCTCCCCCCTTGTCGCTCCTCCTGGCCCTAGATCTAGCCTCCTCCTCACATCTCCGTCGACTTCTTGTCCTGAGCGAGCGTACGATCGATCAGCCTCTTGCACTCGTTCTCCCAGTCCGTGTCCTCCTCGGGCATGGCAGGTGCAGCAGGACTGTAGGGCATCGAGAGCTTCAAACGGATACTCTCGTTCGCTCGCTCTTGGCTTGGATCGGGGAGTCTTGACGCTATGCCTGCGCTCTTGCGATCACCGCCAGCTGGGCTCTTCTTGGAGACCTGCTGGCCTACGGGAGATTTCCGTATCCGGTAGTCATCACGGGTGGGAGTGGAGGAGGTTCTGTGACCCTTGCACATGTCACTCAATCCATGCAGAGGTATCAGATCCTTGCTGCAGACTTCTCCCATGCCTGCCACCCGTATCAGTTGGCTTCAAACGGACCCTCCAATCAAACGCCATATGACATTTCAAGTGACGGATCTCTAACTCTGACTCTGACTCTGACTCTGTTCTCTTCTCTCTTCGTCAGGCAGCATTCCGTGGAAACAAAACTCAGATCCTTTGATAGATTCTTATTCCCGATTACTTTTCAGGCCTGATTACAGATATCGAGCAAGTTTTCTCATCAAGCAATCATTATCTTACATGTACGAACTACGTTGAGTCTGATTGCTCTCAGGAGCGCTAGAGATCGATTTCTCACAGAGTGTCCCTCGAGATTTCGGGACAATGTCAGGGGATGACACGGCTGTAGGAGCATGAGCGCCGAAGCAGATCTGAGGCAGCAACGACCTTCTACAATACGAGGAAAGGAGAGGAGGCTCATCTTGATGTTGTACCTCACGAGACTCATTTCTTGATATGATTTCGCTCGTACCTCATCACCTGAATCAGAATGGATCCTCTCATATCGCCGCGCCCTCCTCCCACACTATCACATCATCCTCTACCCGTCATTCCTCGTTCTTCCGCTGCTCAGACTCTCTTCTCTCTTCCTCTCTCAGGTTCTCCCTAGCCTAGTAGCTCAGTGCCGCCATGGCTTCTCCCGGCTCTTCGTAGATCTGACTGCAGTCCCATCAGGACAGCGACCTCTGGACCCCACCCCTTCTTTTCAGTATCAAATGGGGGGTGATAAGGGTACTTTGACTAGGCAGAGGAGGTACTTGGGTAGGGGTTGTCCCAGTATCGCAGTGGGAGGGTGGGTGAGGAATACAACAGTACCGTATTGTAACTAAAAATGTTTTACTTATCAGACCATTTGTCTCATCGCCCTCATTATCAGAAGGAAAGTTCAACGGTTTTAACGGTAACGGCAGCGCAGTGCATGAAAAAACAAGCGGGAGCGGAAGGAGAGGGACGAGGAAACGCAGGGGGGAGGGAGGGGGGGACAGCATGAGGAATAGAACATGTCTGAGTCCATGATCGAGAGCATTGTCACTTCCATACGTTACAATACAGAGATGTAGGTAGGTGAGAAGGAAAGTCGACTGCGCTCGAGGATGAGTTGAACGAAGCACGCGATTTGACTATGCTGACTTTTGCTCAGGTGATTCAAGATGGCGGACGCAAAATACTTGCAGGTATACGGTTCCCTCAACTTGTGTGCAGATCAGCTCATAGTTTGTACACAGGAGACGGTGGGACCAGCTCTCACGGCTGGTTTGGCCTCTGTCGCTTCTGTGCAGCCAGAAGACCCTGTCGACTATCTTGCTCACTGGCTCTTGAAGTATCTCGCGGTGGAAGAGCAGAAGGCTCTGGTAATCTGCTCTATGCTGCTTGGAGGGAGGTACTGATGAGTATGCAGGCGGTGAAAGCAAAGGAGCATGCGGAGAAGGAGAGGGAGAGAGTGGACGCGGAGGAACAGGCTAAGATTCACGAGCAAGGCGACAACACGAGCCGTTTGAACAGCTGCAAGGAGAGTCTTTCCAAAGAGACGAGCATCGACAAGCTGTATAACAGCCTCATCGAGACTCTGCGCAAGGAGACTGAGGCCAAGAACGTCTATGTCGCCTTCTTGGAGCAGCGAGAAGCTCCTGAAGGAGCAGCCCCGGAGCCGGAGGAAGAAGCCGTTGCTCCTCCTGAGGGATGGAGCGTGGAAGAAGGACGATGGACCAACGTGCCGGAAGGCGAGGAACCTCCTCCTCCTTGGGTGCCTCCCAAGATCATGCCCCGCGTACCCACCTACTGCGCCTTGACATACAAGTACGCCAACAGGGAAAACTCTTGGCTGCGAGGAAAGGAAATCTTGTCACCTGCTCTTTCCAACGGCACGGCCACTGTCTCTTTCCAGGCCGTACAGGAACGGAAGAGCGTCCTCGTCTCCAACGTGCTGGAGTCCGACCCTCCCCTCGTCTTCCATGGGATGCCCTTGCCTGGCTCGTTCGCCGTGTGCCCTCTACTGGCTTCCGAAGATGACAAGTGAGCTGTAGACGTCAAGTTTAGGAGGGCGAGGTGACTCTGTCTGCTTGCAGGTACCTGGAGGGAAGAGTTCTAGGGCTCATCTTCATCGACACCCTGTCGTCTTCATCCTACCTGAGCGACAAGGATCTTGAGGTCCTGCAGGACTTGCGCTCGACCGTGTCTTTCACCCACGAGAAGCTGATCTTGGAGGCGAAGAAACGAGTGGAAGAAGAGCAGGCGGCAGCCAGCCGCCTCCTCAACGAGGACTGTGTGGTGCCGGAAGAGAAGAAGCCCGTGGAGGAGGACGGCATCGACGAGCTAGAAGGCAAGTTGACGTTCGCCCAGGATCTGGTGCAGAAGGTGAAGGACATTATTGGAGAGCGAATGCCGATGGAGCGCAAGGACGAGCACGGGCACGAGCTGTCAGAGATCAGCACTTTCGAGGCCGGGACGGTGGCTCATCGGGTGGTGGCGAGCGTGGAGTGCCTGGTCAAGGTTGCTCAGGGCGACGGCTACCTCAAGGACCTATCGGATGCTCTGAGCAAGTGAGGACACCCTCCGTTGCTTCCCCAAGTTACGCTGACGGCACGACAGGTTCGACCTCCTCGCGGTCGATCAAGCCGTCATGGACGAATGCAAGCTGAAGCTCAACCCTGAGGGAGCGGAACCTGTGACTAAGGAGAGCGAGATGCCCTTCACTGCTCAACTTCTTGTCGCGCTTGTCTTGCTGGTTCTCGAGTTCGGGGATGCTGCCATCAAGGTGAATTGAGATTGCTCTGCTTCCCTCGATTTCCCTTCATCTTGAGTCTTGTGCCTTGTCGTGCCTTTCTCTGACATCAGCGAGTGCAGCTTGCCACCCTGAAGGCGGAGAAGGCGGCTCAAGAAGAAGCAGCAGCAGCCGAAGCAGCAGCAGCCGAAGCAGCAGCAGCCGAAGCAGCAGCACCGGCGGAGGTAAAGAATTGACGAGACTTTTGATGCGTCTGAGCATCCTGCAGGAGCAAGCGGAAGCTGCGCCACCGGCAGACGGTGAGGAGCCTCCTGCTGCAGAGTGAAGCAAATGGTTGAGGGAAGCCCATCAGAGGTTGAAGGATTGAAAACTTGATGTTCATTTCTCTGTACACAAAATAAAGATTACACATTTGACGGCAACGAAGCTACGCTTGTGTCGTTTTCCTCCTCTTCTCTTCGCACCAGCTTCCGTCTTGCTCTTTCTTCCATCCGGGCACTGCAATCGATGCCATCTTCGCCAGTCGAAACCTGTCACTTCTTCCAGGCTCGCTCTGCCTGTCCCCCCTCCCAGTCTCCTGCACCTCCTCAAGTCGCCTTCGCTTTTCTCCTACCCCCATGACTTGCAGCTCGTCATAATTCGGCTTGTGTCCTAGTGTTTCCACTTGCTTCTCCAACATCTCTCGTCTCGCTCTCTCCAGCCTCAGCTCTTCCTCCAGCTCCTCCATCCTTGAGCTTTGCGCCTCAGCCTTGCACTCTTGAGCCCGACGGCTTCTGCCATCCGCCTCGATGGTACATCGAAGTCGAATGACTTCCGCCTCTAACCGCTCTTTTCGCAGCATGAGCGCGTGCCTGGCCTTCTGCTCCTTGAGAAGCTTTCCCCTGCACTCCGACATCTGTTGCCGGCCGGTGAGAACAAACAAGAAAGAAGCGTCTACGAACCTGAGCTAAGGCCTGATCGCGCAAGCCCTCAAAATCTCTCAGATTTTTGTTCAAGGAGGCCACGTTCTCCTCCGATGTCGAGAGATCATCTCTCAACTTCTTCTGATCCAATTGAGCCTGTGGAGACTCGTCACATAAGTGGGCGGAAGCTCATTTTCCACACCTTCTTCAGCTGCTTTTCCAACTCGACCTGTTTCCGCTGTTTCTCCATCGATTCCGCCTTCAGCCGTTTAGTCTCCTCTTCAACTCGTTTCTTCAGTGATGCCTCGCTGAAACCCTTCCCACTCTTCAATCTCGCACCAAGGACCAAAAGCTTCTCCATCATCTTGTCGGATAGCACGTGCGTCTCATTAAATAGCTGCAGCGCTTGTTGAAGGGCATGGCGCCAAAGTCTTTCCGTGTGCCACAGATGTGTCAAGACTTGTGCGAGCATCGCATGGGAAGATTGGCTCTTCAGCATCTCTCTCAGCTGTGTCCCCTCCTAATGCCAACATCAGGTCGATGACTTCAGGAACATTGACTTACTTTGGGCGCACTTGCTGCAGCCGTGACAGCAGCTTGTAAAGCGGCAGCTCCAGCGTCTTGAGCCTGGAAAAGGATGATGATTGATTGGAAACATTCATAGGAAACATTGCATACATTGCTTGATTGGTGCGCAGCCGCTAGCAGAGCTGCTTGTTTCTGCAGCTGCTCTTCACGGCTTGCCTTGACGCGACGGTCCATCACATCACACACATAAGATGCATAATCATTGACTTGCTGCGCTGTTTTGGTTCCAATCGCAGCCGCTAGATGTGACGTCTTTGGAAATCAGGATCAGCTGGAGCTGAAGCAGAGATACACAACGGAAAGTGAATCATAAAAGGGATCCAAATGAATAAGAAAAAGGAGGTGAAAGAGGAAGCCTTCCCAAACAGAGCTTGTAACTTACCGACATCTGATATTCATTCAGTCCATTGAAGAAGGTGTCAACCTGCAGACCAGCATAAGCGAATTCGATTCAAGTGCAATCAAGCGAAAAACCTCTTGTGCTGTCCACCCTTCTGGTTGAAGCTGACTGTAAGAAAGTGGTTGAATAGTGTGCCTTGTTCTGTTCTTCATGTCATTCAACTCCTGTTGCAAGAGAGGAATCCAATCATCTCGTTCTACTTCAACTTTCTTCTCAGCGGTCGGCACGGGCTCTGCCTGAGATGCCGCCTTGATGATTGTTTGAGATTCTTTGAGCGCTGGACTTGACCGGGACGAAACACTCTCTGTCGACGGTATGACATTCTCCTCCTCTGTCACTTCATGCAATTGTTCTCTCTTCCTTGCAAAGGCGAATGAAGCACACTTGCTAGCACCTGGCAGTCCTTGCAACATGCGAATGACAGAAGGGTGCGCTAAACCGAAATATACAGCACCACAGAGTCTTGTACTGCCAGCAAAACGCTGTTGATCTGAGTGGGAAGTTGGAACTGCCTGAACTCTCTGTTCCACTACTTTCCATGCTTCAGTCGGAGACTTTGCTGTTATGGGATTTTCAGAATCATCTTGAACTGAAATGCGAAAATTTGGCCTCTCACCCCCATCCAAAATCTCACAAGTATATGCAGTGCTCTGACCAGGTTGCCGATAGGAGGCATAGGATCTTTCACTTAAAAAGCCAACGGGAAATATGAATCGTTTCGTATGATATGCCGGCCGGTCCCATACGATAACCCCCAAACGCTTGACTGTGAGACCACCAAGCTGAAGGAAACTTTGTTGAGGTCTATTTTTCAACTTGGCAGCTAAGTGAGCCTTGCTGACAGTCTGATTTGGAACCAAGCTGGTAGAGGACTGTTGCTGACTCATCCCCTTCTTGATATCGATTTGTGGCACCGATCCAGGTGTTAGTGTTTGCTTCGTTGCATTCTGTAAGGAATTCGGGGTTGAGGATGAAACAGGAACCACCGTAGCTTGTGTCAGTGAAGGGGGCTGTGGGACCGTAGGACTTACTGATGATGGAACTTGACTAGTCACGGAAGATACAGGTGACGCGGTGTCTTTCCTAAAAAATAATCAACCTCATGGCAGTAACACTAATCTAAAGAATCACCTGTTCACGTATGTTTCCGATTTACTGGACTCTGGTTGAGATACGCTGGTCGTGGCTTCAACGTTGACACTTTCAGATCCAGGATGCTTCGTCAGCTGCTTGTCGGAATCACTGTTGCCAGCAACTCCAGAGAGCGGCAGTTTTTTCTCAGGAGCCACATCTGATTTCACATCGGAATCGCCACCAACCTGCAAGGATCCAGAGTTCGATTCAGATGCTTGCGTACTATTTGCATCTTCCTTTGCACCCTTGTCATTTAAACCTTGAAGGACTTTTGACTCGGTCGAAGATCCAGCTGTATTGACAGTATCTGAAAGTTGATTCGGAGTGACCTCACATTCCATCGGTTCACCCTTGTCCTCTGATTTCTCTCCACCACTTTGGTTGGGAGCAACCTCCTTACTCTCATCCTCCTTCATATTCTGCTTGTGTGCATCTTTTTTGGTCTGATCCTTCTCAGCAGCGTCTATCTGCATGGGTTCCACACCATCTTGGCAAAGCAGATTGCCAACATCTGCAGACCTTTCCTTGTCTTGATCTATTTTTTCATCTTTGAAACTCGTAAGCGACTCTTCTGCAACCCTTGCATGAATTTCAGACTGATTTTCTCGTGATCCTGTGATTGAAAATTTGGTATCAGCCTGGTCTTGTTTAACACTTGAGCCAGTTTCCGCTGGATTCACCGAATCTTTTGAAACCGACTCGCTCTGAATCTCGGAGGTCTCAACCATAGGATGATCCTCTTGTGATTCCACTTTCTTGTGCTCACCCTCAAGAGCATTGTGAGACGTATTCGAATCGTTGACCTCTTGTGAGCTACTCCCATCTTTAGACACTGCAAACCGCAAATCACCACCCAATGAAGTGAATGGAAGGAGGTCACCTCTCTTGACATTGGTCTGTTCAGAGGCATCGTGCACTGCATCTTTCGCTTCTTCTTGAGAGGCACATTCATCTTTGTCAACATTCTTGCTCGAGCTTTGTGCATCTGGAGGAGAACATTCAGCGCTCCTCGTGCTTGGGACGTCGTGTGTGGCTCCTGACGGTTTGCTATTGGAGAGTGCTTTCTCACTATCCTCAATTCCCGATGGGTTGATAGCAATCTCCTGAACATTTAACATTTTGCACTCAATCTCCGAATTAGGATCCACTTGCATCTCTTGTTGTGCATCCGAAGCTTGTTCCTCCTTCGCCGGCGAACCTGGTGCAGAAGATTCCTTTGCCTCTCTCGACTCATGAACCTCGTTCACTTCCGTTGGTTCTCGTGTTTCGTCCTGTTTCTCGGAGTCGTTGCATTGATCAGATATATCGACTGTAGGTGCATCCTGACGTTTCGTTTGCTTGCCGGGTGGTTGGACACTGGGCTCAGTCGATTGTTTCTCGTCTCGCTCTGAATCCTGCGAGCTGCTCGCAAGATCAAGATTATTCTTTCCACCGCTTGATGCTCCTGACTGAGCAGATTCAGGCTTCTCAGAATTCTCATGTTCCGAGATATTGTTGTCATCTCTAGTGTCCTCGTTGGATAGTCCAAGATTCACTTCCTTATCTGAGGCTTCCCGAGATTGAAATTCTTTGTCTTCACCTTGTTCCTCATGCGCATCTTGAACAGAAGAAATTTGCTTCTCAGAGCCAGCTGGTTCACCTTCGTTTTCGCCACTGGGTTTGGGGCTACTATCCCTAGAGCAATCTTCTCTTAAACTGGACTTCGGTAGGTTTGTCCCATCTTCTTTAGCCTGGCCATCCTCTTCGGTACTTGCGATTAGCGCTTCTGATGTGTTTGAGACTTGAGTCTGCAGCGCATCTGAGCCTCGCTCGTCGTCTTCTTCATGTGTGACTTTTCCCGCAACATTCTCCTTCTCCCCCTCCATGTTGAAAATTTGAACAGTTTTACGATCTCAGTTTGTCAGGTCGCCCCCAGCTGTAACGGAAGGGTAGAGGCACACTTTTTCCTTTTCGAAGTCGATAATAGTTGTCCCTGACGCATGGTTCAAAAGACAAGTCCCTGCAATGAATGTCACTTAGTCAAATCGAGTCATGAAAAACAGAAAATTAATCTCAGATACCTAGTTCACCTAGGACTTGATCCGTTGATACAACTCACTTGCATGCTGCATGAGCTCATATCCGTCCGACCAAAGCGTCTCAAAGACTACCCTGGCCGTGCCCCATCGAGCTAGCTGCACAAACCCGATCCCCTCTGCGAAACATTGAGAGTCAATTCCTCTTCCTTGCATCTCTTGCATCTCCTTCAATCAAACAATCAAACAAACCAATCCTCGAAGTTGCATTCAAGTTGAACTCTAAGATGAATCTTGAGGTACAATCATCAAGCCATTGGCAGAGAAGACAGAACACAACTCCTCTTTCAGGATTTCAAGCAACAGAGGCTACATAACAAACGCGGGTCAATATCACGGCAAATGGACAGCCTCATGCATTTGCCCTAGACCATCTCCTAGACGACTTCTTCCTGATGTTCCTGAGGTTCAGATTCTCTCCATGTTTCATCTATCTTCCTCCTCATCAACGTCCTCCTCCCTTCCAAGGCTGCTGCTGCATGCAGCGGCGGCGCGGCAATACAGGTAAGCGCTAAAAGTATTTTTCCATCATGAGTAAAATTGATCGTAGGATGAAACAGTTCTCAAAAATCCAATATATATTTTAAAATGTATTTGAATGAAAAATTCTATAAACTAGTTCTACTGAATTGCCAAATGAAATGTATGAGGTTTGAAAACAGTACCAGAAGATAAAAAAAAGGTTTTAGTAAGATGCTTGGATTAAATTTTGAAACTCTCTCTTAACTTTGAATTTTATACTTAATAAATTTCAAATTCTATACTGGTCCTTCAGGTCATGTGGAGGCCGTCAGGGTGAGGGAGACATAATCGTAGCAAGGGAAAAGATGAGCAGCATGGTACAAGTTTTGATGCTGATATGGTGAGATGAAGGTTTATGACCAGCACAATGATTGAGATAAGATATGAGCTAGGAGTTTCCAATAGGTTCTCAAGCCCACTGATAAGAAGAAAGTCGATGAGTGTGTACTAATCGTAAAGGGGAATGAATTGGTCAGGAACATTGAGACAAGGATGAGTGTGGGAGAGTTCGAATAGATATTCTCGCACAGAACAAAGAGACGAACAGAGATCAGAGCAATGCAAGCGACTCGTAGATGGATTGTTTTTGCCAGGAGCCATGCTTGGTGGTCTAATCGACTAATCGCAGAACGCTGATCCACGAGCGCAGCGAGATGGCATTGAGAAGGACGTTGGGATTTTTGGCCTCTTTCCTTCTTTCCCTGTAAGAAATGATGCTGTGATTCATGGAACCAATAACCTTCTACACAGTTACGTGCGGCAAGCGACCTCATTTGGAGTGTCGTCGCTCGTAAAGCCTGATGGCATCTCGTTGCGAAACATGGGTAGCAATCAGGTTGTGCTGAGACCAGTGGTGAGCTCAGTCAGCCACAAGAAAAACACCCGGGCAAGATTATCAAACTTGCGCGCGAGCGTCGACATCGGGGCAATCAAAAGTAAACTCTCCAAGTCGAACATATTCCTCGGTAAGCTTCTGCCAAATGCTTGCATGCGCAGATGATGTCGAGCAGTGGGGATGGATGGTTCTAGCAAGGAAGTGGTGGGACAAGAACTAGCGAAGAAGCTGGGCTACAAGTACTTCAACACCAACGAGATCATCTCGGAGCTTCTCAAAGTCCCGATCGACAAGGCATTTGAGCAGTTAGGAGAGGATGAGTTCCTAAAGGTTGAGCGGGCGGTTCTTGATCAGGTGAGATGATGTAGTGAGCGATGGTGGCTGAGATGATCTATTTGGGGGAAAGGGGGGTTGAAAATGGATGGATGATGGTGGCTTTGTCAGCTTCAGGCATATTATGGAGCCGTGATATCCACAGGTAGCTGCGCTGCATTGCAATCTGAAAACTGGGCGAAGTTTAGGACTGTGAGTTTTGACAAAGAAGGTCGACAATAAAATCTGACGTGTGTTGTAAGGGTCTTGTCGTCTACTGCAAGATGGAGCCTAAGTTGTTAGAGAACGTTGGTCTTCAGAAGCCTTTGAAGAGCGAAGAAGGTTTCTACATCCCTCTCTTCCATCCGGCTGCCTGCTTCTCCCCAACAGACAGGAAGCCTTTTGCAACCTGCCTTATGTTCTTTGGTTCTTTCCAGCTGTCTTCCTTGAATCGGATGCGAGCGGACTGCTGGATGCTCTTATGTCGCAGCGTTCCTCGTTTTATGAGCAGGCGAGTGACTGCCTTCTTGCAGCGGTTGAGTGACACGATGATAGGCTGATGCCATCGCCGTCCTCGATGGCGCTAACGGAATTGATGGGAAGGTCGCTCAAGGTGAAACGGTTTTGCCTGATGAGGTAGAGAGGAGCTTAGCTTCACTTAGTGGTGAACGCCCTTGATCTCTTCATGCGGGAGAATCCTGCAGCTGAGCAGCCTAAGTTGGCAGAGGTGAAGTGCCAAGCTGGCAACTGCTCGCATCTTCCTCAGATGTGACTTCAGGCCCATGCCCAAGCTCTATCACGAATCATGGACCTAGGGACCAAGGATGAGACCGAATCCAAGCCTGCTGAAAACGTTCCACAGGTAAAATCATGCATTGCGGTGCAGGAGTTGCTCACAATCACGCAGGAGCAGATCGAAAGTCTGAACCGATTGCTCAAGGTGATTGTTGCGCGTGTTTGTGCATGCAGGCGATTGATAACAATCTTTAGGATGACAACCCATCTAACTAAACCCTGGAGGCACATCAGAATAGTATATCATGTTCGTTTCCATTTCAGAAGTCACTTGATATTAGAGATAAAGATTCGTCAAGAAAAATAGCCTTTCGAGGCATACTCCAAGTCAGAATTTGTTCAGTTTTCAGATGGGGATTATGTTTACAAACAATTACGTGTGCTCTTCGTATCGATTACCAATTAGGTGGTCTCGAATCCTGCGCTGGAAACATCAATTCCGGTTTGGGGTCGCCCTGGTATCAAGTCAACCATCCGTTAATTGCAAGTGAATATCCCTCACCATAAATTCTCCTACGTAGTTGGAGGTAGAGTAGTCCATCAGGTTGGTCAAGTGATCATCCGGCTGGGTCATCGCAAACGCAAGAACCGCTCCTGCTTCATGCCCGGTAACATGTGACATCATCAAAGCTTGCACGTCCACTTCGCTCATTACTCGATTCACCCACAACACATCTGACATTTGACCCACAAAGTTGGAAGTTCCAGATCCAACCTGACCAGGAGCTGTCTGTGAATTGCCGAGCACAACAGTTCCTCCATTCATGATACTTTTGCCTTTTGCAACATCACCGCTCCAGACTTTGTTTCCATCAAGATAGAAGATGGCATTCCCTCTAGGATCATTAGATGATGCATCCCAGGTAACTGCAATGTGATGCCAGTTTCCATTACTAGCGCGAACATCGGAGAAAGGACCGCACTCGCCTCCAACACACAACACGAACGACTTATAGTTGGACAGGGTGAAATCTGTTGCTATTCCATCCACAGCATACGAGAATGGAGTTCCAAGGTTGTCAGCTGATGAAAGCATCCAGAATGCAAGACTGGCTTTGCTTGAAGGAGCACGTTGGAAATCACTGATCATGAAGTAACTCTTTGCGGTGCTTGCAGCAGAACCAACAGCCCCAAGTTGTATGACACGTCTGGCTTTGTCAGTGGCTATAACATTGCCGGTCAGTCCGTCAATGTCGCAAACCTTCCAGATATTATCGTCATCGCCTTCAATCACGCCATCTCCATTGTTCAAGTCAAATTGAAAAGTGCGTCCATCGGATTGAAACACGTACACTCTGGCTTCACTCAAGTGAATGTCCCCGGAGCTGTATCTCTGGACAAACACCTTGAATGCTCCAGGGGCTGGCGTGTCAATCGTCATAGTCTCTGGTCCACCCCCATACATGTCATCTCGGTCTAGATGGGCTTTGCCGGCTCCTCCTCTATTCCGGCAAACGTAGTTCGTCCAGTCGACATTGCACCCCCAAGGAGTAGACATGTGCAAATCCATGTCTGGTATCACCTTGTTCCAAACCAGAACAATGCCAGCTGCTCCTGCAGGCAAGGTTGGAGCCAACATAATTCTTTCAGAATCCACCATTCTTGGCATCAACATTGTAGTTGTCCGGTAAGTCATCGAGCCTTCTCTTGTAGCAACAATCTGAACAGGTCCAGGAGGAACCGAGACACTGAAGCCTCCCTGATCATCCGAAGTGGTGCTCGCCAACTCAACCTGGACAACAAATAAACTACACACGCTCTCAAGCTTTCTATGTTACCCCATCTCGCAAGATGCTGATCGTCGCACCCGAAACTGGCTCCCCATTGACGGGATTGATCACCGTGCTCTGCAACGATGCTGGCGCAGGGGCATCTGGACCTGCCTCTCCTGCGATACCCATTGGTCCAACAGGTCCCGGTGGACCTTGAGGACCCCTGCACTACCTTTTAGACACAGAGGAGACACGGAGGAGAAACCATACTTGGGTCCCGGTGGTCCTGCAGGTGGTTCCGGACCCATGGGTCCTGGGGGTCCTTGAGCACCCTTCGCTCCCTTGGGTCCTGCACCAACGATCAGACGTCACATCCTCCCACATCCATGTCAATGAAGAAGATTCGGTCAAGGAGGAAGAGTCGGTCAAGGAGGAAGAGTCGGTCAGCACCTTCCACTCCTGTGTCGCCCGAGGGTCCAGCAGGGCCAGGAGGACCAGCGGGCCCTTGTTTGCCCGGATCTCCCTTAGGACCTGCCAACAGGACATCACTACCTCTATCCCAGAACAGGGAAGTTCTGATCACACCGATAGCTCCCGGTGGTCCTTGAGGTCCAACGATCCCTCGGCGTCCAGGCACGCCTGGGGGTCCAACAACTCCAACTGGTCCCGGAATACCTGGATCACCTTGCGGACCCTGCTCACCCATGGGCCCAGGATTTCCTTTGGGTCCCTCTGGATTCATTACAACGTTGATATTCACTTTGCTTTCGCCATCAAGATACGCCATGTCGCTTTGCACCTGATTTCAGACAGTCATTGTAATGAAACGTTCTTGTCTTCAAGCAAAATTAGGATACCTCCTGTTCAAGCCCTTGCTCTTCCTTCAATGCCTCTTGAAGTTTTGATACTTCGTCGGGTCTCAGCGTCCTTGGGGTAGCAGGTACAGCACCGGGAGGCTTCGTCGGAGAGTTCATCATGCAAGTGATCTCGTCACAATCCTCCATCACAGCCGGATGCCGATAATGCATCAGAGCCCCGCCAAGCACAGCAACGCAGCAGAGAGCAGAGAAGGCGATGACGAATGACCTTCTCCAGCGTGAATGAGGCGCATGAGGCGCATGAGGCGCATGAGGCTGCGGCAGATCCGCGACACTGCCGTAAGTCGCGCCCTGCATGGCAGAAGGGGCGACGCGAAGAGACGTCTTGCTAAAACTTGACCTAATGAATTAAAACTTCATATATATATGAAGCTACCACCAAAATGAATTTTACCATCAAAAATAATTTTAGATCAATTCCAAGTTTTTATTGAAAAACTCAGGGAGAGCGTTTTGAAGTTTTATATTTTGTGGAGAGTTTAAAACGTTTTATTTATAGTAAGTAATGAATTTCTTGTACCATATGTCACAAATTAAAATATAAAAAGTTCTAGACCTCTTACAAACTCGCTGGCTGGCAAACTTAGTGGTAGTGATTTTTGTATCAGAAAATCAAGCTTCGATACTAACAACTTATATATTTTTGTGTATTATAATTGTTTTTTAAAGCAAGTTCCTGTCAACAAGTAAGGGTTGGCCCGATCTGCGCAACACTATCATGTCCAATGTCGAGGATCTGGCGGCGACATGCGACGATGAGGGAGGTGAGGAAGATACGTTGCGACGAAGACACAGGGATCTCGTTGAATGCATACGTTCATAGATCGGAAATGGACAGAAGATGTAAACTCCACATGTTTGATTGAAAGGAGAGGACGACTAGTTCATGTCGAGTGATTGGGGATGGTGCTCCAGGGCACAAAGGGTGTCGGCATGATTCAAGTTGAGTAGAATGTAGCATGACAGGCAACAAACCTGTTTATGGTTAGAAGACTAGAATTCGTTTCATGGCTGTTTGTATTGCTCGACTTGAGCGTCATATTAGTGAAGGCATGCGAGATGTTTGGTGCAAGGTTGTAGCTGATACCTTGAGTTGCAGAGGATGTCCTTGACCTTGAGATTTCTGAAAGCGAATCAGCCTCGATACTATGTCTCCCTGAAGGCATCATTGAACGGATATATGGATACACACCAAACCTTGTCCTTCGCGATATGCTCGTCAGCAGGTGCTTTGGTGGAACATGACTACCTGAATTCGCCAGTAACTTTGCATTATGAGTAGGAGGTTTTGCACGATTTTACAGCATTCTGATCTAGTATACTTGAAGTTCATGCTCCCCCCCACCCATGGTGTGATCAGAGTTGGAGGAAGGTCACACCCGACGCTGGAACCGTTGGATAGCAAACTCGTCCAACAACAGCGATACCAAATTCCAACAGTGATGCAGTTGAAGCGATTCACAGGGCGAGTACACATATATGCGCAGGGAGAGAGGTGGAATCATGTTTCTGATACAATTCTGCATGCAGTCTTGGACCAGTGGACCAACATTGAAGCACTTGTGTTGGACACAGCGAACTTGAATGTCGAATCGAATTTGGAACCTCTCCTCAGCATTCTCAAGCACATAAAGAAGCTTCGTTATTTGTCACTTCGTGAAAGCAAAATGGCGTCGAGTGGAGTTCCTTTGCTGATTGATTCATTGATAGATTCAAATGAGCAGGGTTCTTGGATTCGATCTCCGATTGAAGAGTTGGATATAGCGGGAAACATGATTTGGGCCAACGACATTGGTTGCTTGACAAATCTATTCAAGCCTGCATCAGATTCGCTCGTGAAGCTCGTTCTTTCCAGCAACCCAATCGGTGCAGATGGGCTCAAAACTCTCTCACAGTCTCTGTCTAACCTACGAAATCTAGAGGACCTAGATATTTCCAGTACATACGCGGGCGAACGTGGGACTACATACGTCTTAGAGCCCTTAGCGTTTCTCGAAAATTTAAAGACACTTAAGCTAAAGGACAACACAATCCCAGGAGAGACGTCAGTGATGCTGGATATATCTCCCCTGGATAGAATTGTTAGTCCTGGTGTGGCCTGCGGCGTGAATTGGGTTTCTTGCGGTTTGGCGTTTGTGATTGAGACGGGTTTATGGCGGTCAATCTCTACCTTAGATCTCGGACAAAATCCCATGTGTGCCCAGGGGATGCACATTTTCTCAAAGGGACTGATAGCTTGCAATATAGTTACCTTGACAGACCTTTCTTTGAGTAACAACAAGATAAACGCGGATGGAGCTACCCACCTCGCTGAGGCCTTGAGTCGTGTTGGACATGGAATGTTGCGACTTTCGCTGGCCAAGAATATGATCTCAAGCGAAGGAATGATAGCATTGGCGAAACCTCTCCATAATATGAGCAAACTAGAACATTTGCTTCTGACAGAAAACGGGATAACGGAGACAGGTGGAATGGCACTCGGAAATTCTTTAATCCACCTTTTCAACCTTACTTCTTTTTCTATTGGACGAAATCCCATCAAGAACGAAGGAACAACTTCCATTATCATTGGCTTGCAAAATTCATTTGATTCACTTGAAGCATTGGATGTGAGCATTTGTCACTTCGATGGTCCAAATCTTTCAGTTCCGATCTCAGCTGGTTTGGCGAGAATGAAAAGTCTGAAGGAGTTGAATATGGAAGGTGATGCATTAAATTTACAGGGACTGTCGCATATAACTTCTGCATTAACAATCACGAAATTCAATCTTGTTACCCTCAACTTGGGAGGAGTACAAATGTATGCTGATGGAGCAAAGTTGCTCTCCGGGGTTCTAATTCAATTTCGGTATCTGAAAGACCTTGGGATTGGATACAATAAGCTAGGAGATCATGGTCTCAAGATGATCCTTCCGGCTCTTCACGAATGTGCGTCTATAAGCTACCTTGGACTACAACACAACAATCTCGGTCCAACGAGTATCTTCCTCCTTGCGGATTTCATACTGAAGAGTGCAAACCTGGTGCAGGTTTTGCTCTATGGCAATAATATTCACTATGGTCCTAACGGTTTGACTCCTTTAGCCTCATGTCGGCACAAAGTGACTTGGGACACCGATGTGTAAGGCACGAAACAGCCCGCATGTATTCTGCAAGATCAAGGATATTCCTTCATTGCATCTTAGGCTGATTGTTTGGATCCTATTGCAGTATCAGCGCGTGATGGCAGAACCAAATGTAAGAAAACCTCCGTAGGCACCAAGAAGGTCTCGAGTGGTGGTCCTGTCACACTGGAGAAAATAATTGGATAAGGATATCAGAAATTTAGTGGAAGGTGATCATGTCACCTATAAGCCTCGTCTGGTAATTCAGGAGCAGATTCTTCGTCCGACAGTCCAGTACGTATGAATTTCTATAATTCAACCATCATCACTGGATGTCTTTCTCAATTGTTCTGAACCTCTTTGAAATTATCACAGTCCGAGCATTCGCCCTCTGAACTGTAAAACGATGAGGGTATACTCGTCTAAATGGATGGCTCACCAGAATCTTTCTTCGGGGATGCAGACGGTACACTCTCGTATTCTCTTATCTAAATCCGAATCTTCGTCGGTGTAGCACCATTTCTATGGTGCAAAGGAATTGATTGAAATCGAAAGGGAGCATAATTGGACAACTACCTGCACCAGGGGACAGTCTCGAGAATAGAGTGTCAGGGCGAGATGAGTCTGATTCTCGTCAAAAAATCTGCCGCGTACGAAAGTCAGACGGGCATCATGCAATCTCGTTAGAGTCTTACTGGAAATGTATCGTCGAGCCTGGCTGCATTCCCTCTCCATCAATTACCCAACGACCTCTGTCTTCCGCCTTCAAGCCCCACTGACGAGGATCCTTGGCTGCAATCATTGGGTGGCAAGTTAGGTTACAAGCAACCTGTTCAGCAGGATCGCATGTGTGTACAAATGTTCCGTCTGGCGACAACAAGTAGCAAGACCTGCGTTGGGGTATGTGTTGGATAAATCCAACCAACCGATCGCATTTACCCAGCATATCGTAGTTGATGATAGCCTAAAGTAAAGTTTGAGCTCCAAGAGAATTCGAAGGAAGTGAGGTAATTGCAATTACCAGGAGGTAAGTGATCTCGAAGATTGGGCCAAGGCATCGTTCCACTTTCACGGCTCCAGTGCTATGAACATGTTCAGATCGATCGAAATTGAGGCCTTGAAAATTCACCCAGGTGGGATATCCATCTATTTCGGCCGGAGGGGGCTTATATGCAGCAACATTGAGTGGAGGAAAACGTAGAATGAATGCACCTGTTCAGGATAAAAACCATACCTAACAGACCCATTAGCGTCTTCGCACAATATAACAGGAAAGAGCGCACTTCTCGTGAAACCTCTTTCTTTCTTCACCCTCTTGTAAGATCCTGTTAGATGTCAGGTCGATCGTTCCGATTGCAACATCTGACCGCTTCGCGTCTTCCAAGACTAAATTCAGCGGAGCCGTTTCAGGACAGATACTAAATCCCTATGGACAAGAAACTTTTGTCAGCTCCTTTTGATCAGATACAAGCATTTAAAAGGTGGAACTCAGAGATCACTCTTACCAACCGGCGGTTCTCCTCGCTTGGATTCCTCCAAACCTGACAAATCCGTGAGGAACGAAAATGTCCTAGTAATAGCTGCCTCTGGCCCTGGAGTCTGCCCATTGAAATTCGGACCAAAGAAGTGTACATCTTCTCTGGGATCTTTTTTAAAGTCGACCCCTTCAACATGCGGTATCTGGGTCCTAGAATCATTAGAAACCTCAACGTAATCCATCACCTCGAAGTCCCTCAGGGGAACTCCTGTGCCGTACGGGCCGGGTTGAGTGCAATACTCCCACTCTTTCTGGCATTGAAACCCCAAGCTCAGCTGTACTCGTCAAACCTCAGTGAAAACAACCTTCTTCTGAGCTACGAAGGCATACACTTCTTCAATGGACGGCATCTTCCTTTTCTCGTTCTCGCTGCCTCCTCTCAGCCTCAAATTGCACATAGCTATCGATTGCCCATCAAGGGTATCGGAGAGAGCTTTGGAGCCCCTCGGTCTCGCTTGCGAGAGCAGCAAGCAGACCAGCAACGAGCCTCTCACCCTCGACATCGTGATACTCCTGCTATCATCAGTGCGGCTCCTGTAGCAAGCCTGCCTCAGTTATAACTTCACTCTTCAGTGAGTAGCAAGCCTGCCTCGGTTTCAACAGTGATCCGGCGGCGCGGGGCCGGGGGGCGGGGGATGATCACTGTCCCGGGCGTGAGTCATACCGTTCCGAAGTTCCGATCAGCCCGCGCGGGGCTCGGTGGCCGGGGCGGACCGCCCGCCCGGCCAGCCGCGCTGTCGCACCGCCCACGCGGCGAGAGTCCTCTCCCGCGTGACCTCGGAAAGTTTTCGAATTTCGGAACCGTGCACAGCCGTCGGAACCCGCGCCTTCGGCGGTCGGAAGTTAGTCAGTCAGATGCCGGATGATGATGCCACTGACTCAGGCTGGCCGCGCGGCCGCCGGGCGCGGCTGGGCCCTCAGCCTGTTAGTCAGCCACGGTGACTGCGGCCTCCGGGACCGTACCGTACCGTGACCGTCGGACTCGGGAGCCGGCGGGCCCTTGTTGACAAGTTGCATTGACAGTTACAGCTCACGTTGCAGCTGGTTAACTGTCAGGGGCGTTGGCGCCATAGCCTGGTCTCAATGCAGGGCAGGATCAAGAGGAGTGGGAGGTGAGGGGGGCAAGCCTCAGGAGGATGGTACAAACTTGATCCCTGACCTCGTGAGAGACGATCGTGACCCTCCTTCTTCGGAGCCGCAGAAATCATGGAGACTAATCAAGGAAACGATGCAAAGCTTGCCCTCGGGGCAATGCTTAAGGCATCTGCGGCTCAGCAAATGCTCCAGCAAGAGGGTGATAACATCAGCTTCTTGGCGGCTGCTCGAGCAGCGAAAGCCCGTCAAGAAGCCCAGAAGCTCAATAAGGACACCAAGAGAAAAATAGACAAAGCAATCGAACAAGCGCGTAAATTAAAAAAGCTCGATCTTGGCGGGATGGGCCTTACTGAGATCCCCGCGGATATTTTTGAGTTGACAGAACTCAAAGTGCTTTGGCTGCATGATAACAATATATCAGAGATACCTACAGAAATAGGAAACTTACAAGAGCTAAACCAAATAAGGCTGTATAATAATAACATCAAGGAAATACCGTCGTCAATTTCGAATTTGCAGAAACTTTCAGTTTTATGGATCCAAAACAATGAGTTGGAAGACCTACCGGAGGAGATAGGCAACTGCACTCAGTTGTCTGTGCTGTCTCTGTCTGAAAACCGCTTGACTAAGTTGCCATATTCTCTTGGACAATGCACCATGCTTCGAGAGTTGATGATCGATCATAATGAATTACAAGTGCCACCAGACTGGATACGTGCTAAAGGGATGCAAGCATCAATCAAGTATCTGCAAAGGCTTCACAGGGCTGTTAACGACAAGATTCTCGACCTTCGACATCTGAATCTGAGTGAGATTCCTGCCGAATGCTTAGAACTATCAAACATAGAAGAGCTGAAACTGTCTGATAACAATTTGAAGGTTCTCCCTGAAGACTTGGTTCAGTGGGCTCCAACTTTAGAACGATTGAGCGTCAATAGCAACAAATTTCTCCGAATGCCTGAGGTTATTCGGGAGCTGACTTGCTTGCAAGAGCTCCAAATCTCGTCAAACGAAATCATGGACATTCCAAATTGGATTGGGCAGCTCAAGGATCTTCGCAAAATATCGATCGCGGACAACAAGCTGCGTAGGCTTCCACTTGCCTTGGCAATGCTTGATCGACTTGAAGATTTCGATGCTGCTGGTAATGCAATCTCGTCCCCACCACCTGAAGTTGTGAAGCAAGGAGCATCAATGATTAAGGAGTATCTCCAGAAATTTATATATGCACAGAAAACCAAAATCTTGAACTTTAACGCACTTGGTGTTTCAGAAATGCCTGGTGAAATATGGCACGTTCCGTATATTGTGAAATTAATTCTCAATGGTAATGCCCTACGAACTTTGCCAGATCAATCAGCCGAGCTCACTGCACTCACACATCTTGAATTGAATAATAACAGCTTCAACAAGTTTCCAGCGGTGAAATGCCTGTTCCTTCTTAAAAGGTTTTCTAAATCACCATGCAGGTGTTGGGGCAAATGAGCACGCTTCAAGTTCTAATGCTCAATTCCAATCAATTGGATAAATTATCATCCCAAGTTTCTGAATTAGAATTCCTTCGAGTCTTGTATCTAGATGGAAATGGTATCAAAGAAGTTCCCGAAGGCAGCTTGGGTCGTCTAACAAGCTTGGAGGAATTGTCGATGCAAAAGAACAAACTAAAGTGAGTATATCTTCCAACCCATAACGAAGATCTTACTGCTCTTTTGACAGGTTTTTACCTGATGACTTGGAAGGTATGAGATTGAAACGACTCAATTTAGACGAGAATTTGTTACAAGCTTTCCCTCATTCAATTGCAAAAATTGGATGTCTGGAAGAATTATCCATGGCAGATAATCAGTTGACCCGATTATCACATCATTTTGCTACACTCAAATCTTTGAAATTGCTAAGAGTACCGGGAAATCGGCTTAAAAAGCTGCCAGCTGAAATAGGAAACCTTCAAGCTTTAACGTATATGGATGTAAGTCATAATTCGATCAACAAACTTCCGGCAGAAATAGGAGCGTGTACTGAACTGCATCATTTGAATGTCTCATTTAACAGGTAAGCCGTTCTTTTTTGCCTCTTCTCGATGTGGTGATTCTATCGATCTTTCCAGGATACCTACACTACCAAATTCGCTTGGAGATCTGAACGACTTGAGTTTCTTGGCATTTGATTCGAATCTGATAAGGAGGCTTCCACTAACATTTCGGAATCTTCGACAATTGACTAGACTTCAAATTGGTGGAAACGATTTGAAGGACCCACCGGTAGAGATTGTTAAGGAGGGCATTGGAGCGATCTTGGAATACATGGATAAGTTCACAACTGGTTTGGAAACAAAATTTTTGGATTTGAATGGAATGGATCTCCGCGCTATTCCATCGGAGATCAACCAAGTTCTTACAAGCTTAACAGAGTTAGACGCTTCAAACAATCTTTTGAAGAAGTTAGACTTTGTCGAAATACGGAATCTCACACTTCTGACCTCCTTGAACCTCGAATTCAACAGAATTAAAGACATTCCTGAGGAAATCAAACTGTTCTCTCGTTTAAAGCAGATCAAACTAGGCTTCAACGCCATTAAAAATTTGCCGCATGAATTGGGTGCACTTCCGATGTTGACGGACTTGGACTTTGCAAATAACAAACTAGAACGGCCTCCTCCAGATGTGACAAAGCAAGAACCCGCAGTTGTAATTGATTATTTGCGTCGTATGTATAGTGCACGGTCATCTCACGAGCTGGATCTAAGTAGGTTTCGTTTGAAAGAAATTCCTGAGGAAGTCATGGAATTGTTATCTTTGAGAATGCTCAATTTGGACAGCAATGAAATCAGTGTATACTCTTCAAACATGACCAATCTTGGAGAGCTAAAAGTTCTTAACTTCTGTAACAATAATCTAGCCACGATCCCCTCGACAATCAAAGCTCAGGGACAAATGCAAAGTTTCCTCCTTAACAGTAATAAGATTTCAAAGCTGCCTCAAGAATTGGGACTTCTGGCAGATATGACAGAACTAGATGTTTCAAATAACAGATTGCAAGCCTTGCCGTCTGATCTTGGGAAGTTAACAAATCTCAACATACTTTTGGATGGAAACAATTTAGTCTTTCCCCCCAAGCAAGTAACGAATGAAGGCAGTGAAGTTTCCATGAGATATTTGCATGCTTTGTACATATCACGCAAATCTTTAAATTTGGATCTAAGCAATTATGGTTTGATTGAATGGCCAGAATTTGTAGGCGTAAAATCGCATACGCTCGAGAAAATATTTTTACAAAACAATCTGATTGAGGCAATACCACCGAATGCCAAAACCCTTACTAGCATGCAATTACTGGATGTATCTTTCAATTCTCTTACTGAAATTCCAGGGTCTTGTGCACAGAATTGGATAAATCTGACATATCTTGATGCAAATAACAATTCACTTTTCAAGCTTCCCCCAGAAATCGAAAAAATCAAGTTCTTAACAAACCTATCTGCGATGAATAACAAGTTAGAACAAGTTCCACCGAACTTAGGGAAAGTTACACGGTTAAAGCATTTGAAATTGGATGGCAATAAGCTTCAGTCTTTCGAAAAAGCCCTTTGCCAACTGACTTTGCTCGAGACTCTAACTGTCACCAATAATTCATTGGAAGTGATGCCAGTGGAGATCGGAAATTGCGAAATTCTGGAAACTTTTGAGGTCTCAGGAAACCCTTGGAGATCGCCTCCACCTGAAATAATGAAATTGACTGGAAGAGAAATACTTCAATACGTGAGAAGGTATCTCAATGCAAGGGTTAGCAAATCGCTGGATCTTAGAAACTATGCTTTGACACATTTTCCTCCGGAGTTGTTGGAAAGCTCTTTTGTCCAACACCTAAACCTGGCAGGAAATGTAATACCTGCCATTCCTGAAGAAGTTGTGATGCTCAAAAATCTCGAATCTTTATCTCTAGAAAATAATCATCTTAGAGTCGTCTGTGACGCTTTTTTTGACTTGACTCGTTTGCAAGTCTTGAACTTTGCTGGCAATAATCTGAAACTTCTGCCGACGCTTGTCGGATCTCTCGGGAATTTAGTTTCTCTTGATCTCTCAAGAAATAAGATTGGATCAGAGACTGATGGTAGGCTACCGGCTGAGATTGGATTTTGTTCAAATCTGCAGAAACTGTACTTGGCAAGCAACGATATTGTTGATTTGCCTTGGGAGCTAGGAATTTTAACAAGTTTAGAGGAACTGACCTTTGATGCACCAAAATTATTATTTCCACCACCAGAAATCATTGCAGAAGGAACTCCCAGAATTCTGGGGTATTTGAGAAGACTATTCAATGCTCGTACAACAAATAGCTTGAACTTTTCACGAGATGACTTAGGACATAATGGTCTATTAGCGTTTCCTTTGCATATCACAGATTTGTGGAACTTACAATCTCTGAACTTGAATGACAACAAGCTACGACAGTTGCCAGGCGAAATCCAAACCCTCACCTTACTTTCTAATCTTTCAGTAAGTGGCAATCTGCTTGAAACTTTACCGGCAGGCATGGCTAATCTCACAAATTTGACTAATCTGTCAATCAGCGGAAACAAAATTCAGAGGATCCCAGTCTGGTTAGGCACTTTAACGAACTTGACTTCGTTGCAATTTCAATCCAACCCATTGGAATCACCCCCTGAATCTATTCTCAATTCGGGTATCTCGAGTATTCTCAGATATCTTGTATCTGTCTTTCAGGCATACGACGATGGCACTTTGAATCTGAGTGGAGATGCATTGGAATCCATTCCAGTCGAGCTCCTATCAGGAACCGGTAAATTCTGCGATGAGCCACCGGGGGCTCTTATACCTCATCTTACAAATCTTGATATGAGCAGGAACAAGATTGTTGTTTTGGAAGACAGCATTTCTATGCTTTCTTCCCTTCGAAAGCTCGATCTTTCCTTCAACATGTTAAGAGAACTACCTCCTGAAATAATCTTCCTAACGAATCTGGAGGGATTGTATTTAGTCAACAATCGGATTAAGACGCTGCCTGGAGACATCGGAAATCTGCTCAAGATGGTTGAAGTAAACTTGAGCGAGAATGAATTGGAATATATTCCAGAGACTGTTGGGAAAATGGAGGCTTTGCAATCTTTGGTGATTGAAGAAAACGCTTTGAACTATTTGCCTAATCAGATCAACGGACTGACAAGCTTAACGAAGATCTCTCTTGCCAACAATGCATTAGACATGTTGCCTGCAGAATCATTCGCGAGTTTCGAGAAGTGTGTCGATCTGAACCTTTCCAACAATAAGTTGAAACGTTTGCCCAATGAGATCGAGTACATGACTTCTCTCACACGGATCCAGGCACATTTCAATGAACTCGAAATGCTTCCTAGTGGATTGAATTTCCCCAAAGAAGTTTCTGGAGAAAGTCTCCCAACATTTGTTGGCGGATTCAAGGGATTAACGAATTTGACCGAGCTGTCCTTGCATAACAACAAGCTGGAGCGTTTGCCAATTGATTTAGGTCTCATCTCGTCGCTGCGGTCGATGTCAATCGAAAACAATCCTCAGCTCTCTGCCCCTCCACCAGAGATTATTCTACGTGGACATCGTGTAATCATGGAATATCTTAGGAGGCTCTGCACCGCAGTAGAAACTCGATCACTCGATTTGTCAAGGTTTGGACTGATGAAGATTCCTGAAGAAATCTTTGAGCTGACGCACATCGAATCATTGCACCTGGCCGAGAACAAGATTCAGCACATCGAGAGCACCATTGGAATGCTGAAATGCTTGCAGCACTTGAACATCTCGTCCAACCGCCTGAAGGAGCTCCCATCTATTCTTGGAAGCCTGGAAAGCTTCAACTCCATCGTCTTTGAAGATAACCAACTCGAATCTCCCCCGCTCTCAATCCAGAGCAAGGGAAGCTCGTCAGTGATTGCCTTCCTGCGACGTTTGTGGGAGGGATCTCTCTCGGGACACTTGGACCTCAGTGGACTTGAACTTAGCATTCTACCGAATGAGGTGTGCTTGATGACTTCATTGACTTATTTGAACTTGGATCATAACAATATTGACACAATACCGGATGCGGTGTCCAACTTGAAAATGCTCAAGGAATTGTCAGTGTCAAACAATCATGTCCTAATTCTTCCGGCCACCATTGGGCAGTTGACCTCCCTTCATAATCTCAACCTATCAGGTAACAACTTAGTTACGCTGCCAGTAGAATTGGGAGATTGCATTCATCTGGAACTGCTAAATTTGGACCAAAATTTTCAACTGCGTTCACCACCGAAAGAAATTGTAGAGAGGGGAATGTCGCTGATCCTGGAGTATCTCAGGCGAATAAAGGAGGCCAAGCAAACAGGAGTGATTGATCTGAGTTGTCTTGACCTTTCAATCATTCCAATGGAAGTTACAAATCTTGTGAATGCAACGAAACTGAATCTGTTTCAGAACAAAATCCGGTGCATCCCCGAGGACATTAAAAACCTGACAAGTTTGAGGGAGCTGCTGGCTACCAAGAATGAACTGGAGAGCATTCCGCGAGCTGTTGAGAAACTCAGTGACCTCCATACACTCTCGTTGTCCCACAATTCTTTGCAAAAGCTGGACATTGACTTTTCATGCTTGCCGAGTTTGGAGTATCTACATTTGGACAACAACAAACTGCATCTTTTGCCTGAATCGATTGGTAATCTCAGCTCTTTGTTGGAATTCTGGGCGGAACACAACAGCTTTTCCACACTACCTGACTCATTTGGAAACCTCAGCAGCCTGACAGATTTGAGAATGGGAGAGAATCTTTTCGAAAAATTTCCTGAATCAGTCGGATATTTGTATAAGCTCACCGAGTTGCGATTTTCTAACAATCAGCTATCATCGATTCCAGAAATCATTAGCCAGCTAACTACCCTTGACATTCTACATCTTGCGAAGAACCAAATTCGAAAACTTCCCTACGAGCTTGGTGTTTTGTCCAGTTTGAGAGAGTTGGATGTATCGCAGAATCCGATTTCAATGCCCCCGCCAGAAATATTGAATGGAGGGTGTGAAAAGATTGTTGAGTATTTGTATCGTTTTCTGATGGGCAAGCAGACAGCCGCTTTGAACTTGTCTGATATGGGACTGAGCAGAGTACCTCCAGAAGTTTTTGAGATGCCAAATTTGACTTCCTTGGCGCTGTGTAGCAACAAACTTGGAAGAATTCCAGATGATCTCAGGCTTTTGACACATCTGAAGGAGCTCTTATTGGATGACAATCTTCTCGAGATCTTGCCAGAGTCAATACTCTCTTTGACCCAACTTGAAGTATTAGGATTGTCGGAGAACAAACTGGTACATGTTAGATCAGAAGTTGGACTTCTCACAAACCTCACAGTCCTCTCACTTGAAAATAACGAATTGGAGTCTCCCCCCAAGGAATTGATTGAGAGAGGAACATCAGTGGTTCTGGAATACTTGGTCCAGATTTATAATGCTTCAAGTACGGGACGTCTCGATCTGAGCAACATGTCTCTTCACACCATTCCAACTGATGTTTTGCTGTTGACGAACTTAACTGAGCTGTCACTAGCAGGAAACATGTTGCAAATGATTCCATCAGGTATTGGAAATTTTCAGGGGTTGAAAAAGCTTTTTCTAAATGATAATCAACTAGCCATCTTGCCTCCCTCCGTTGGAGATCTTCTTGAGTTGGAAGAGTTGCAATTGTTCAATAATGAGCTCATCGCCCTTCCTGAACGACTCGGCCAGCTCAGAAATCTGAAACAAATGAGTTTGAGGAATAATCAGATTTCGCTGCTCAACCCTGAATTGGGATTTCTCAGATCCCTGAAGATTTTGGATTTAGATCACAATCCTTTAATCTCTCCACCGGAGGACGTGATGGTTCAAGGGGTGTCGAAAATTCTTGATTATTTGCAGAAAATTTTCGAATCTCGAAGGACCTGTCGCCTCGAACTGAATGCCGACCAATTCAAGAACTTTCCTCAGGAAGTCTGCAATCTGACAAATTTGACCGATTTGCAAATGGTTAACAACCAGGTACCTACGTTGCCCCCTGAAATAATGAAGCTTCAACAGTTGCTGGAGTTCAATCTCGAGGACAATGCCATTCACCATCTCCCGTCGGAACTTGGATTGTGTACTTCACTTACGAGATTGACTTTGTCTTACAACAAGTTGAATGATACTCCGCACGAACTTGCGAACCTTCAGAACTTGAGATTCCTTCAGTTGGATCACAACTCTTTAGAAGAGATGCCCAGTTTCATCGGAAGTTTAAGTCGGCTTGTCTCGTTAGATATGTCCAACAACAAGCTGCGGGTTGTGTTGCCGGCCATTGGCAACCTGAGCAATCTCGAGAAACTAAACCTGTCTCACAATCTACTGCAAGGGCTGCCACGCGAGATAGGTCAGATCGAGAAGTTGCTATTCCTTTCTTTGGAGCACAACGAGCTGCAAAGCCTTCCAGTACAGCTGGGGCACTTGAAATTCCTCGAAAAGTTGATCATATCCAGTAATCGAGAAATTCATGATCCTCCTCCAACGATTTTAAGACAAGGAACACCTGGTATTCTTTCCTACATGAGACGAATTTTGAATGGCATCGAGACGAAAGTTTTTGATCTTACCCACCTAGAACTGGTAGAGATTCCATTTGACATTTGCAAGGAGTATACCGATCTAACGTGTTTGGATCTGAGATTCAATAAGATTTCGACTTTGCCCAAAATGATTGGAAACTTGACAAACTTAACCAGTTTGATTCTAGACAACAATCCAATCACGGAGCTTGAACCAGCATTAGGAAACATCACCACATTGACAGACATACAAATCGATGAATTCCGAAACATCAAGATCCCCCCCCCTGAAGTGAATCTTCGAGGCATACCAATGATTCTCAAATACTTGAAGAGGATTGATATGTCTGAAATGACTCACAAGCTGGATTTGAGCTACATGGGGCTGAAGGAACTTCCTGAACATGTGCTGGAAATGCATTCTTTGTCTGAAATCTCTTTGACAGGGAATAAGTTAAGAAGTTTACCTGAAGACATTGGAAAGATGGTCAATCTCAACGAGCTATGGTTGCATAACAACAGAATCGAAAGTTTGCCAAATGGCCTTGGCAACCTGTCTCATTTGAACAAGCTTCTTCTCGACAACAACAATTTAACAATGCTACCCCAAACTATTGGAAACTTGACTTCACTTGCAAAGCTTTCGGTCACAAACAACAAGATGAAAGCTTTGCCGCCTCAACTCGGGTTACTGGCAAGCACTCTCGAGAATTTGGCATTCCAGAATAATCCTGAATTGGTTTCGCCTCCAAAAGAAATCCAGGTTGAGGGCTCCTCTGCAGTCTTGGACTATCTGAAAAGAATGCTTGACAGCATGCGTCGTAAGGAAGGATATCTGGATATGAGCAGCATGGGACTCCCATCGGTACCTGCCGAAATTTTTGCTCTGACCAACATTACCAATCTTTCACTGGCTAGAAACAACTTGACAGAGGTTCCGACCAAAATTGATCAGTTGACAAAGTTGGTGTTTCTTGATATTTCTGGCAATTCAATCCGTGAATTACCTAATTCTATCTGTAGCTTGATCTACTTGGAACATCTCAAGGCTGATAACAACCAAATGGAGCAGGCACCGAGTTTCCTTGGGCTCATGACAAGTCTTCAAGTTCTTGAACTGTATTCAAACCAGCTTTCCATGATTCCTGAGTCCATATCAGCCTTGACTAACTTGGCAGTGCTGAACTTGTCATACAATAAACTTCAGCTTTTCCCAGAACAGATTGAGTCTCTTACTTCATTGACAGAACTTCACCTCTCTTACAACCAAATCCAATTCCTTACTCCTGGGATTGGAAATCTGACAACTCTCAACCGATTCAGAATTGCAGGGAATGCCATCGGCTTTATGCCCTCTGAGATTGGCCAATTGACAAATCTATCAGAGTTATCTTTAACAGATAACAAGATTAAGGTACTTCCTGTGGAACTGGGAAACATTAATAGTCTTGCAATGCTGTTGATTGACGGCAACGATATTCAATCACCTCCAGCAGATATTATAAAGCAAGGCTCGAAATTGGTTTTGGATTATCTTACAAGAGTATTTCAGTCAAGGAATACCAAGTCGTTGGATTTGATGGGCCTCAGTCTTGAACGTATTCCTCCAGAAGTTTTGAATCTTACATCGTTGACCAGACTGTCACTCACCGACAATCAACTAACGGAAGTGCAAGAGAAGATTTCTAACTTGTGCAATTTGACAGAATTGTCTTTTGTTGACAACAATCTAAGAACCTTGCCAAAAAGCATAGGAAAGCTTTCTAATCTTTCGTCTTTCAGTATATCCTACAATGAATTGACCAGTTTGCCCATTGAACTTGGGTTGTTGGAAAAACTGGAAGAGTTGAACCTGGACGGGAACCACGATATCAGCTCCCCTCCGCATGACGTGATTGCGCAAGGCCCGACAGTTATCATCGCATACTTGCGCTCCCTTCTTAAAGCGCACGATTCGGGGATGTTAGATCTTAGAAATTTCGGTCTCACATTCTTGCCAAATGAGGTGACACAAATAACAAGAATATCCAGCATACTGCTGGACGGCAATCAGCTAAGATCTCTGCCCGCAGATTCATCGAGTTTGACGAATTTGACTCATATCTCGTTGAGGAAAAACAAGTTGAATACAATACCGTCAACCATTCAATATTATTCTTCATTGAAGTCCTTAGATCTGGATGAAAATGGGATTGAAACGATATTGCCTGAGATCGGAAACTTGACAAATCTAGAATTCTTATCCCTCCGGGAGAACAACATTCAGATGTTGCCTTATGAAATGGGTTTGCTGACCAACCTGAAGCAGTTGGCAATCGATGAAGAGATCTTGAAAATACCGCCACGGGAGGTCATTGAACAAGGCATTGACCAGATACTCCGATTTCTCAGAAATGTTCATAACGCTCGCTACAACAACTGTCTTGATTTGAGCAGCATGGGAAATCCCAATTTTCCCTTGATTTCAACGATCCTGCCCGATGTGTCCGAAATGAAATTGTTCAACAACAATCTGAAACATTTGCCGCCAACGATAAGCAAAGTTACTGCCTTGACGTCGTTGGCCTTGTCAGATAACATCTTGAAGGACTTGCCAGATGAGTTGGGGCAACTTCAGCATCTAGCCTCGCTCATCATATCCCGTAACAACATTGAGATCCTCCCCGACAAGCTCGTACATTTGTCATCGCTGACTGAGCTGCGAGCAGACATGAACATGATACAGTCCCTGCCGAATCAGTTTGGAGAACTAATCAACCTCAGAATTTTACAAATAGACCATAACAATTTGCAGAATTTGCCCATGTCCTTGATGAACATGACAGCTCTGGAGTATTTGAATCTTGAGTTCAATAGTTTAATTTTGATTCCTGCAGTGCACAACATGAGATCTTTGAGATCTTTGATCTTATCTCACAACTCGTTGACCGCAATTCCACTTGGTGTCGGCAGTCTGTCTAGTCTGACAACCTTGCAATGTTCTTACAATACCATATGCAAGATTTCGCATGAGATTGGAAATGCTACTCATCTATCTCAGATTCTCATCGATCACAATGAGGTCGAAGTTCTTCCACCCGAAATGGGAAGACTTACCAACCTGACCGACCTTGCGCTTGAGTCGAACCCGTGGGAGAAACCACCGAAGTTGATTCTTGATCAAGGTTGTGACGTGATCATCGAGTACCTGGGAAGGATTTTGGAGGCAAGAACGACCCAGCTTTTGTTCATGGATAATATGAAGTTGTCGTTTCTGCCACCTGAAATCCTTGACATGCAGTACATAACTGGATTATCACTGAATGACAATCTCCTTGCGGAGGTTGATGCTGTAATTGGCTCATTTACCAACCTCACTGCCCTTCACCTTGACCGCAACCTTTTAACATTTCTTCCTTCCTCAATGGGAAATCTGACGAAGTTGGTAACTCTCACGCTCGATGGAAATGAATTGAAAGATCCACCGTCAGAGATTTTGATGCTCGCAGAACAGAACACACAAGAGATAGTGGTCTATCTAGATAAAATTGGAAAAGCAGAGAGGAGCAATATTTTGAACCTCGACGGCTATTTACTTCGCAGCGTTCCATATTCTGTTTTCTTGCTGACTGATTTGACCAGCTTATCCCTGGTTGAGAATCACATTACAGAAATTCCCCCCCTGTTAGCTACTTTGACAAGTCTCAAATACTTGTACTTGACTGCCAATCAACTTGACAGCCTTCCTTCCGAATTTGCTCGCTTGCAAAACTTAGAAGAATTGGATATTGATAACAATGTCTTCGAGGAATTTCCACGTCCTGCATTGGAGCTTTACAACCTGAAAAAAATCAGCATAGCATACAACAAGATAGAAGCATTACCTTCAGACATGTGTTGGCTGACCAAGTTAGAATTTGTTGATGCCAGTCACAATGATTCCCTTGAGGTTCCCCCTCGAGAGGTGGTGGATAAGGGGGCTGTGGTGATCTTGGATTATTTGAGGAAATTCAATAGAGCCAAATGGACAGCAAAATTGGATTTGAGCTGCAATGGGTTGACTTTTGTCCCGATTGAGGTTGTGCGAATGACGAATCTGACTCAACTGAAGTTGTTCAAGAATAACTTAACAAACTTACCATCGGCGATTGGAGGTCTGCTCAAATTGACTTCTCTGTCAGTGATTGATAACAAGATATCTGTGCTGCCCCCAGAAATGGGAAAGCTTTTGAACTTGCGGAAATTGAGAATTTCATACAATGATTTCACAAAGTTGACTCCGGTCATAGGGCAAATGACAAAGTTGGAATCTTTGAAAGCGGATAACAACAGTATCACTCATTTGATCCCTGAATTTGGCAAGCTGGTTCACTTGAAGAAGTTGTGGTTGCACAAGAACAACTTGATGCAGCTCCCACCTGTTATGGGTCAACTGGTGAGCTGCAAGGACCTGAGACTGTCGAACAACCAACTTGAAAGTCTGCCGACAGAAATGGGCTCAATGACTTCTCTCACTCAATTGAAGCTGCCATTCAACTTGTTGAAGACTGTGCCAAAGGAGATCGGGGACCTGGAGAATCTGATAGAACTTACGTTGCAGAACAATTCTCTTGAACGAATTCCAATGGAGCTGGGCAAACTATCTCAACTTGAGGCTTTGATGTTAGACCACAACAAAGACCTGGTCTCCCCTCCACGTGTTGTGTTTGAGAAAGGAACGATGCACTGCATCAGGTACATGAAACGATGTTACGATGCCAGGTCGACAGGCGTCCTGGATATATCAAATTATGGTTTGACGTACCTGCCCAAAGAAGTTACTGATGTGACAAGTTTGACTTATTTACGATTAGACAAGAATAGGTTGATGAATTTCCCACCAGAAATAGGAAAGCTTGCAAGTCTGACGGAATTGAGTGCAGCAGGCAATCGAATTGTCGCACTCCCAGCTGAGTTCGGGCTCCTTGAAAACCTGCAACAGCTGAAAATGGACATGGATGATCTCAGAACCCCCCCAGAAGAGGTCCTCAACAAGGGTACACCCGCGATCATGGGCTACCTGAAGAACATATATCATTCCCGGTTCGACAAAAAGCTCAGTCTGGAAGGATTTGGACTTACCCTTGTGCCTCCTGAAATAGGAGAGCTTCGGTACCTAGAACATCTTTCACTCAGCTGGAATTTGCTCACTTCCATACCGTCATTCATTGGGAATTTGGTTTCACTCTCGGTTTTGTGGATTGCTCAGAATGAATTGAACGCTTTACCCGGGGAGATTGCATTGCTGACAAGTTTGCGCGAGCTCGTTTTGGACAAGAATCTCTTCACAGTGATGCCGCCGGTGATAGCAAAGCTATGTAACCTTCAGTTGTTGTCTTTGAAAGACAACAAGATATACTCTATCGCTGGTGAGATTGGACAAATGAAGAGCTTGAATATCTTTCGTCTTCAGGGAAATCCCTTACAAAGTCTTCCTTGGCAGCTTGGTGACATTCCAGATTTACAGGAGCTGATCTTCGATACAAATGACCTCAAATCTCCCCCGAAAGAGGTTTGGGAATTAGGCACATCTGCAACCTTGAGATTTCTCCGAAGTATACACAAGGCAAGCGAAACGAGGCGACTTGACTTGAGTGGTATGGGCTTGTTTTCCATACCTGCCATCATTACAACCATCCCTTCTTTGCAAGAACTTCAGCTTTGGAACAACAAGATTACAGAAATTCCTAAAGAAGTTCGTTTCTTGATCAATGTCACCACGATGTCATTGGTAGACAATGATATCGAGGTACTTGGCCCTGAACTTGGGCAAATGACCTCTCTCACAGCTTTGAAATTGTCTCAGAACAAGCTAAAAACGTTTCCGCCTGAGATTGGTCTATTAGCAAATCTGGTGACATTAAAGGCGGAAAAAAATCAGATCAATAGTCTTCCTGCAAATATTGGAAGATGCGAAAAATTGAAAGAGCTGTGGTTGTCGGACAATCGATTGACAAGTATGCCTGTTGTCATCGAAGCTTTCACGCAGATTGAAGTGCTCAAGCTTGTTGGAAACAGAATAGAGGAGCTGCCGAAACAAATTGGCACTTTGACTTCCTTAAAAGAGCTCCACTTGGCCTGGAATCAACTGACAACACTGCCAGTGGAGATTGGAAATCTTGCGAACCTCGAAAAGATGTTGCTCAGCCATAATCGCTTGCAAAGGATTCCTGTTGAAGTTGGACTACTCACTCGCTTGCACGCTCTTTACATCGACAACAACCCCCAACTTGAAACTCCGCCTCCACAGATTGCCAGCAAGGGAACTTATGGAATAGTACAATATCTGTTGAGGATTGTTGAAGCGCGCAAGACCAAATACCTTGATTTGACTCGGCAAGAGTTGGTCACAGTTCCCATAGAGGTCTGTGAGCTTGATATGTTGGAAACCCTTGTCCTGCATGAGAACGGACTTCCCAACTTGAGAAAGGAAGTGGGAAATATGACCAATTTGACGCACCTGAGCCTGTCAAACAACTATCTTGTCGAGCTGCCAGGCTCTGTGTCACAGCTCACAAGGCTGAAAGAGCTCACTATCACTGGAAACGAATTGCGCCAGCTGCCTGCTGAGCTGGGATGTGTCACAAGTCTGCAGATGGTGCATGTTGACTCGGAAAATCAAAGTTTGCGAAACCCCCCAGCTGAAATCGTTCGAGAAGGCGCAGCTGCCATCGTCGAATACCTCAAGGAAATGTTTCAAGGCAGGTCGACACGAGAGATCGATTTGAGCAAGATGGCGCTGCAGCAGATCCCGCTTGAAATCTGCCAAGTTCCTGGTCTAACAAAGTTGAATGTGTCTGACAATTTGCTCAAAATGTTGCCCCTGGCAATCAGACAAATGACACAACTGACAGAACTGAATGCCTCTGAAAATCGACTGCTTATTCTGCCTCCAGCAGTCTCGGAAATGTGGCAATTACGAGAATTGAAGTTGGATCACAACAAGTTGCGCCATATCCCCAAGGAGATCGCAAAACTTACCAATCTGACCAAGTTGTCGCTTATCGACAATCTGATTGAAGATCTACCTGACGAAATTGGGGAAATGAATTGGCTGGAAGAATTGAGCGTGATAGGAAACAGTTTGCAGAAGATTCCTTGGTCAGTGGGACGGATGAAAAGCCTGGACAAGCTTGAAGTTGATGACAACGCCGAGCTCGCTGTTCCTCCGCCACCAGTGGTTTTGAAAGGCACAGCAGCTATGAAGGCATTTTTGAATGGAATTTCACAGGCCTGGATAGATGATGCCCTTGACCTTACAGGGCTGTCGCTGACATATCTGATCGAAGAAGTGTATGAAATGACGAGGCTTACGCGTCTGAAACTGCTACATAATGAATTGCACGAGCTTCCTAACCGATTTGGTCACCTCGAAAGTTTGATCAGCCTGAACCTCTGTGACAACTTGTTGACGAGATTGCCCAATGGCTTCACGCGACTCACCGCTCTTGAAGTCTTGAAATTATCTTACAACAAGTTGGAATCGATCCCAGAGGAGATTTCATCCTTCGGATTTCTGAAACAATTATGGCTGTCGCACAATCAGATAGAATTGCTACCCTTCGAGCTGTACAAACTTTCAAGTCTGACTGAGCTGATGTGCACCTCCAACCCGTTGGTGTCACTCCCGCAGGGCATGATGAGGTTGACGCAGGTCAAGAAGCTATCGATCGAGGTATACGATCTGACGGTCTTGACCAAGTTGCGGTTTATCATGGATGAGGTGGAGAGCTTGCGAATTCCTCCGAGAGCCATCACGATGAGTGGTGAAGGAGTTGTTCTCAACTACATCAAGAGAGTGCATGCCGCCCGTCAAACGGGAAATCTTGTCCTTGATAAGATGGGACTGAAACACATTCCTGTGGAGGTTTTCCTCCTTACTAATCTCACACGACTCAAGATGGTGGACAACGAGATTCAGCAGATTCCTCCTGAAATCGAGCAGCTGAACAACCTGAAGCAACTTGTCTTCGACCAGAACGAACTGAAAGATCTGCCGGAGGAGCTCGGAAAACTGGATGCGTTGGAGGTGCTGTCTGTGCAATACAATCAAATAGAATATCTCCCGCTGGCCCTGTGCCAGTGTGACAACCTCAATGTGATCAATGTGACAGGAAACAAACTAGAGACTCCGCCGCCAGAAATCGTTTCGGAGGGTACGCAGTCGATAATGGTGTACATGAGGACTCTCAAGGAAGCAGAGCTGTATAAGAGACTCGACTTGCGTGAGATGGGCCTGGCGTTCTTTCCACGTGAAATATGTACCCTGACGATGCTGGTAGACCTTACCCTGGCTTCCAATGAAATGCGAACCATCCCGCCGGACATCGGTCTACTGACTTCAGTAACAAAGTTAAAACTTCAAGACAACGTGCTTGTCCAACTGCCGAAAGAGATTGGAAATTTAGTTGAGCTTATTACAGTTGACATCAGCGAGAATGAACTGCAGTATCTACCTGGTGAGATTGGAAATTGGACCAAGATTAATCGCTTCAAGGCTGACGAGAATTCGCTGAGAGAATTGCCTATAACGATCGGTGAATGGGAATCTGTCGTGGAGATAGAAGTACAGAACAATGCTTTGAGATCTTTCCCAAGGACTATCGGTAAGCTGATGAAATTGAAAAAGATTATAGCAAACGATTGTGAAATTTCAGTACTGCCCGATGAAATCTTTGATTGCGTTTCTCTGGAATTGGTGTACCTGGATGGAAATCAGTTGCAAGAGATACCGAATACCATCTGGAAGTCAACTCGCCTCAACACGTTAACGCTGTCGAGCAATAAGCTGAAGAGAATTCCTATCGAAGTTGGTCACTTGAAGAAGAGCTTGAGGGAATTGAATGTGACCGGGAACCCGATACAAGCGCCGCCAAGGGACGTTTGGACCAAAGGAACGCAGGCTATCATAGACTTCTGCTCGCATGTTCTTCAATCTCGGAGCAAACATGAGTTCATCTACAACAAGAAGGATATTGGAACGTATCCTATCGACATCGAGCTGTTGGTTGACCGACCTCCAAATCCCAACGGGGACCAGGGGCCGTATGGAGCAAGGAAACTGGATATCAGTGAAAACAGAATCCGAAGAATTCCTGAGAATATTGGAGCCAACATTCAGCTGGAGGAAATCAATTTTTCCCAGAATCTGATCTCGCAATTGGATTCAGCTATTGGTCTTTGCACGTTGTTGACATCTTTGGATCTCTCACACAACGAGCTGTCAGAGTTGCCCAACACGTTGATCTACCTGACTCGGTTGCGCATACTCAAATTCAACGAGAATGAGAACATCCCTAAGTTTCCCGACAACTTGTTCGTCAATCTGGTCAGCCTGTCCTACTTAGACGCTGAGAATAACAGATTGAATGATCTGCCTTCTGAGATTCAGAATTTGACGTCGCTCACTTACCTCAACGTCGGAAAGAATCGCTTGCCCAGTCTCCCCAATGAGATCGGCGATCTTGACAACCTGGAAGAGTTTAGAACGCATCACAATCAGATACAGGCTATCCCATCGTCCATCGGTCGTTTGCTCAAACTGAAAATTCTTGATGCATCTGAAAATCAGTTGACAACAGTTCCTAGAAACCTATGTCGGTGTACGCAACTTGTGGATTGCAAGCTCACCAGAAACAAAATCACCCAGGTGCCCATAGAGATTGGCAAGCTGCCCAACATCAAACAGTTTGCATTGGCAGAGAACAAAGCTTGCAAGGCCCCACCTTACGAAGTGATTGCCAAGGGATCAGAGTCAACTCTGCATTACTTCCGTGGGTTCTTGGAAGCAAGGTCCGACCATACATTGGCTCTGGCTGACTTGGGAATGATTAACTTTCCTCGTGACGCCGCGGCATTTCCTGATCTGCTCAGTATCGACTTCTCCAACAATCAGATGCAGTCGCTGCCGCAGAGGATCAATCTCTTCACCTGCATCACATCCCTCAACATGAACAACAACCGGCTGCTCAAGCTGCCAGACTCCATAGGAGAGTTGACTTCGCTCGCTCATCTCGATCTCGCTGTGAACAACCTCGAGGCGCTGCCTGGCACTATTGGGAACTTGACGGCGCTCAAGAAGCTGCTCCTCTACCGCAACAAGCTCACGATCCTCCCGCTGACTGTAGGCAAACTGACGAACCTAGAGACTCTAGATGTCACAGACAATCACACAACTTCGCCTCCTATCGAAACCGTCGCGCTGGGCACCAAGGCGATTATAAGCTTCTTCCACTGCCTGTTGCAAGCTCGGGTGACCCGCAGTCTGGACATGCCGAACCTTGGGTTGGAGAGCTTTCCTATGGAGATCGAGTACATGACGTACCTGACTTCCCTCGACCTGTCCGGGAATCAGCTGAGGAACCTGGACCCAAAGATGACTGCCCTCATCTCATTGCGAACCCTCAACGTGAGCAAGAACGAGATCGTCGGCATCCCGTCACATATCGCTGAGATGAGCAACTTGACCGAGTTGAACTTCGAGCACAACACACTCACAGAAGCGAACAAGAGGATAGCAGAGCTCGCTCTCATCAAGTCGATGAACCTGGCTCACAACATGCTGTCTTCTCTCCCCCCGATGATGTTCGAGGGTGAGATACTCACTCGCTACTTGAAGCAATTGATCTTGAACAACAATGAATTCACGCAATTTCCCGCGGTCGTCTGTGAGATGTACACCCTTGAGGTGTTAGTTCTTGCCAACAATCAGATCGTCACCCTGCCTGACACCATCAAGCAACTTAGTGCGCTCACTCACTTGTCTCTGGCGCAGAACCGCCTGTCTTCTCTTCCTCAAGGGCTGGGGGGTTGCACGTCTATCACTGAGCTGGAGCTTCAAACGAATCGCCTCACCTCTCTACCTCCGGGGGTTGGCAATCTGAAGAATCTGATGAAGTTCAACTTGATTCAGAATGCTCTAGTCAAACTCCCTCCCTCCATTGGTTCGCTCGAGAGTTTGACTCAGTTGTCACTGCGAGAAAACCAACTTGCGATCCTTCCAGCTTCCATGAACATGTTGTTCAACCTCCAGATCTTGTCTCTCAGTGCGAATCGCCTCTACGAACTCCCGCCACTGATTGAGGACCTCACCACCCTGCAGGTTTGTCAAGATCTACCGCAAAAGTCTTTAACGCCTTCATTGCAGGTTCTCACCATCTCCGACAACGCTCTTGAAACTTTGCCGGTCAAGATTGGAAACTTCCGTGCGCTGACGCAGTTAGCTGTGAGCAACAATCAGTTGAAAGAACTCCCTGCCACCATAGGTGCTTCCTGCATTCTGCGTGTCTGTTGACCTGAAGGGGATGACAACTAGGGAATTTACCGTCCATCAAGCAAATCTGGGTTGACCACAACGCGCTAGAAAGCATACCATCCTCCATTGGGCGTTGCGTGACTTTGACTGAATTGAATCTTGATCACAACAAGTTGAACTCACTGCCGATGAGCATCTGCCAGGTGCTGATGATGGTGAAGATCTATCTTTCTCTGACACTACTCCTGACAGCTCACCAACCTGCAAGAACTTTGGCTCCATGACAATGAGATTGAGGTAAACTAGCTCACATCTGGCACACGACATGACAACTTGCTCGGTCAGGTTTTGCCTTCCATGATAGGCAAACTCAAAGCTCTCCGCACCCTGACGCTCTCAAACAACCTCATAACGTCCCTACCAGGTAGAAACTGAGGGGCTAGTTTTCGGTCTGACCTAGTGCGATTCAGAGGGCTTCAGCGGTATCGGAGGTTGTATACAGCTCAGCGAACTCTGGCTGAAAGGTGATGAGAGTCCGTTTCGTTTTCACTGGACTTAATCCTATCCAGGCAATCCAATCAAGCGAATTCCACCAGAAATTGCTCAGCTTGGAAACTTGAGAGTATTACTCCTCCCTTAGCTAAGTGTTTTATTGACTAAAAGGAAGAAGATTTAAACACTCTCCAGAAAAAACCGTTCCGGAATCTGCAAGGAAGAAGAATCCCTCAAAAATTCACAAACAAATCGTCTCTACGCCTTCTGCCGCCTGTGTAACAGACACCTTGTCTTCTTTCCTCCAGCATGGCACAGTCGCCGTATTCACCGATAGCTTCGTAGCTGTGCTGGTCTCTTGCCTGCTATCCTGCAAGCATACTGCCTTCTCGTCGTCTGCTTGTGACGTCCGTGTAGTGCACCCCCTATTTGCACCTCCGTCATTCCTCTCCTACCTCCCTCACACCAGACAGCCTTACCTCTCCCCTTCTCCCCCCTCTCGCGCGGCATGCGCTTCCCCCTGCTTCTTGGAGCCCTCCTCTACATCCAAAGTCTCAGTCCGCTCGAACTCCATCAGCTCCTCCTTCAGCGCCTCGCCCATCTGCCAGTCCTCCTGTGCTTCCGCAGCCAGCTGATCCTTCCCCTTTCCCGCCAGCTCTGACATCACTGCCCTCATCGTCTCCTCTGGTATGCCGCATAGCTCCACAGCCGTTCCTGTGAGCTTCCGCTGCTCCAGCGCTGCCTCAAGCAGAAGCTTCACTCCCGTCGCTGTCACCGTGTTCTTCCCAAGAAACACCGCGCTCAGCCCGGACCCCGGTATCGCTTCAGCAAGCGCCTTCGCCCCGCCGTCCGTCACCTACAAGCCCCGTCAGACTGCCCCCAGTACCCCTTCCTCTCTCTGCCTCTTGGCGACCCTACCTGGTTCAGCTGCAGGTCGATCTCCGAGATCCGCTTGTTCCGCTTCAGCAGCTCCCTCACCAGGCTGCACCCTACGTCTCCCACTCCGCACCCCTCCAGGTCTAGCCTCACGGTCGACCGGTTCTCTGCGAGGGCCTGGCCACCTCTACAATCAGCTTCCTCCCCCCTCGCCCCCCACCTCCCTCCAAGCCGCCACGTCTGTGCTCTCGCTTTGTTGCTTACCTCGATCAGCTTCTCCAGGTCTTTTGGTACTATCAGATCGGTAAACTTGAGGATCCTTCCGCTCTGATGCTCAGAGACTTTCTTCAGCAGCCCTGCCGTGATCTTGCCGACTACCGTACGCCCTGGGCCGCTCACAAGCAACGCCTGCTCTTCCCGGATCTTCCGAAGCTCCTCCCTGTGAGCGCGTGCATTGTCAGCCCCTCCCCGCGACAAGCACACAGCAAGCATCTTACGTGTCGGGCTCGTCGCGTTTCTCGCTGGCCTGGTCCTCGCCACTTCCGCAGCTCTCTCCTGATGCCTGGGACTCTTCGTCCTTGAGCTTGCGGTTTGCAAACTGGTACGCAGTCCGCAGCACCGGAGAGGAGACACAGGCCTCCTCTACGATCTTCAGCATGTCCTGAGCCAGCTGATGGACCTTATTCTCAGGGGGGTTGTACAAGCACGCGTTCTTGAAGGTGCTCAACACGTCGTACAGCAAGTACGCGCAAGTAGAGTATTGATTGTTCTCCAGCTTCTTGTCTACCGTCCCTAGATCCATCGGCCTCTTCACGACCTCAAAGTAGTCATATGCATTCATAGACACAGGGTCTACAGGCTCAAGGAAAGGCCACGACTTGGAACGTAGATTCATCAGGCGCTTGACCAACACCTTGCCTTCTTTCCTCCAGCATGGCACAGTCGCCGTATTCACCGATAGCTTCGTAGCTGTGCTGGTCTCTTGCCTGCTATCCTGCAAGCATACTGCCTTCTCGTCGTCTGCTTGTGACGTCCGTGTAGTGCACCCCCTATTTGCACCTCCGTCATTCCTCTCCTACCTCCCTCACACCAGACAGCCTTACCTCTCCCCTTCTCCCCCCTCTCGCGCGGCATGCGCTTCCCCCTGCTCCCTGGAGCCCTCCTCTACATCCAAAGTCTCAGTCCGCTCGAACTCCATCAGCTCCTCCTTCAGCGCCTCGCCCATCTGCCAGTCCTCCTGTGCTTCCGCAGCCAGCTGATCCTTCCCCTTTCCCGCCAGCTCTGACATCACTGCCCTCATCGTCTCCTCTGGTATGCCGCATAGCTCCACAGCCGTTCCTGTGAGCTTCCGCTGCTCCAGCGCTGCCTCAAGCAGAAGCTTCACTCCCGTCGCTGTCACCGTGTTCTTCCCAAGAAACACCGCGCTCAGCCCGGACCCCGGTATCGCTTCAGCAAGCGCCTTCGCCCCGCCGTCCGTCACCTACAAGCCCCGTCAGACTGCCCCCAGTACCCCTTCCTCTCTCTGCCTCTTGGCGTCCCTACCTGGTTCAGCTGCAGGTCGATCTCCGAGATCCGCTTGTTCCGCTTCAGCAGCTCCCTCACCAGGCTGCACCCTACGTCTCCCACTCCGCACCCCTCCAGGTCTAGCCTCACGGTCGACCGGTTCTCTGCGAGGGCCTGGCCACCTCTACAATCAGCTTCCTCCCCCCTCGCCCCCCACCTCCCTCCAAGCCGCCACGTCTGTGCTCTCGCTTTGTTGCTTACCTCGATCAGCTTCTCCAGGTCTTTTGGTACTATCAGATCGGTAAACTTGAGGATCCTTCCGCTCTGATGCTCAGAGACTTTCTTCAGCAGCCCTGCCGTGATCTTGCCGACTACCGTACGCCCTGGGCCGCTCACAAGCAACGCCTGCTCTTCCCGGATCTTCCGAAGCTCCTCCCTGTGAGCGCGTGCATTGTCAGCCCCTCCCCGCGACAAGCACACAGCAAGCATCTTACGTGTCGGGCTCGTCGCGTTTCTCGCTGGCCTGGTCCTCGCCACTTCCGCAGCTCTCTCCTGATGCCTGGGACTCTTCGTCCTTGAGCTTGCGGTTTGCAAACTGGTACGCAGTCCGCAGCACCGGAGAGGAGACACAGGCCTCCTCTACGATCTTCAGCATGTCCTGAGCCAGCTGATGGACCTTATTCTCAGGGGGGTTGTACAAGCACGCGTTCTTGAAGGTGCTCAACACGTCGTACAGCAAGTACGCGCAAGTAGAGTATTGATTGTTCTCCAGCTTCTTGTCTACCGTCCCTAGATCCATCGGCCTCTTCACGACCTCAAAGTAGTCATATGCATTCATAGACACAGGGTCTACAGGCTCAAGGAAAGGCCACGACTTGGAACGTAGATTCATCAGGCGCTTGACCAACACCTTGCCTTCTTTCCTCCAGCATGGCACAGTCGCCGTATTCACCGATAGCTTCGTAGCTGTGCTGGTCTCTTGCCTGCTATCCTGCAAGCATACTGCCTTCTCGTCGTCTGCTTGTGACGTCCGTGTAGTGCACCCCCTATTTGCACCTCCGTCATTCCTCTCCTACCTCCCTCACACCAGACAGCCTTACCTCTCCCCTTCTCCCCCCTCTCGCGCGGCATGCGCTTCCCCCTGCTCCCTGGAGCCCTCCTCTACATCCAAAGTCTCAGTCCGCTCGAACTCCATCAGCTCCTCCTTCAGCGCCTCGCCCATCTGCCAGTCCTCCTGTGCTTCCGCAGCCAGCTGATCCTTCCCCTTTCCCGCCAGCTCTGACATCACTGCCCTCATCGTCTCCTCTGGTATGCCGCATAGCTCCACAGCCGTTCCTGTGAGCTTCCGCTGCTCCAGCGCTGCCTCAAGCAGAAGCTTCACTCCCGTCGCTGTCACCGTGTTCTTCCCAAGAAACACCGCGCTCAGCCCGGACCCCGGTATCGCTTCAGCAAGCGCCTTCGCCCCGCCGTCCGTCACCTACAAGCCCCGTCAGACTGCCCCCAGTACCCCTTCCTCTCTCTGCCTCTTGGCGTCCCTACCTGGTTCAGCTGCAGGTCGATCTCCGAGATCCGCTTGTTCCGCTTCAGCAGCTCCCTCACCAGGCTGCACCCTACGTCTCCCACTCCGCACCCCTCCAGGTCTAGCCTCACGGTCGACCGGTTCTCTGCGAGGGCCTGGCCACCTCTACAATCAGCTTCCTCCCCCCTCGCCCCCCACCTCCCTCCAAGCCGCCACGTCTGTGCTCTCGCTTTGTTGCTTACCTCGATCAGCTTCTCCAGGTCTTTTGGTACTATCAGATCGGTAAACTTGAGGATCCTTCCGCTCTGATGCTCAGAGACTTTCTTCAGCAGCCCTGCCGTGATCTTGCCGACTACCGTACGCCCTGGGCCGCTCACAAGCAACGCCTGCTCTTCCCGGATCTTCCGAAGCTCCTCCCTGTGAGCGCGTGCATTGTCAGCCCCTCCCTGCGACAAGCACACAGCAAGCATCTTACGTGTCGGGCTCGTCGCGTTTCTCGCTGGCCTGGTCCTCGCCACTTCCGCAGCTCTCTCCTGATGCCTGGGACTCTTCGTCCTTGAGCTTGCGGTTTGCAAACTGGTACGCAGTCCGCAGCACCGGAGAGGAGACACATGCTTCTTCTATAATGCGGAATAGGTCTTTTTGCAGTGCCTGAATAGACTTTGGCATGTTTGAATTCATTGAAAAATCTTTCAGTTTCCGCATGATTTTCAAGATCAGCACTGCCGCATTTGTACATTTGTTAGTATTGATTGCTTCTATATATACTGCGATTGGCAAGATCTCTTCATTCTTTTTGTTCAAATCGTCTGCCAGATTTGATTCCTTTTTCTGTCTTGAGCTCAGTTTTGTCAACATAGCCTTGCATTCTTTTATCCATGGAGTTTGAATATCAGGCTGATTCAGCTTATCGGATACTTGCAAAATATCCCACGCTTCTTTGTCCGCGTCAGCCGTCTTGTTGACTGTGATCGCCTTGACGATCTTGCATCGATCAGCACCGACATCTATTTCCCCACCCTCTGCTTCAGGCGCAAGTTTCCATTGGGGCCGTCCCGCATGCAAATGTGGATGTCCATTTCTCGTGACATTCGGGAAGCAGCTGCATCTTTTCAAAGGTGCTAAATGGCACCATTCCATATCAGGTATGAAATGCAGTACAAAGTAGTAATGGTTTGGACGCCCTTGAACCGACACGACTTTGTTGAATAAAGTCTTCTTCTTTCTTGGAATTGACCGATCAAATTCCGGAATGGAACAAATCTTGTGCAAGTTGCATTGTTTCCACAGGGCATTGAATGTTTCAGAAAGCTTCATTGCTGCAACGGAAACGGGGTCTTCTGCTGGATTGTAAGTAATGGCATTCTCAACAATTTGGTCGATGTCCTTGGCAACCTCCCAAAGACTACCATACCGATTTTGGAGAAGTCGGGTCTTTACAGTTTCAAGATCCATTGGTCTTGAAACGATGAAGGGGTAATCAAATAATCCGCAAGCCTTCCAATCCAATGGGCTTTGAAAATATACTGAGTATCTTGACTGTTCAAGTCTCTGAACAATTGAAAGGCAATCTTTTTGCCAGTCTGAAATCAAGCTGACACTTTGGAATTTCGGGATCTTCAAGACGGTGCCAGCATCAAATTTGTAGTTTAAAGATACTTGGGGAAATTCTGAACGATTCAGCTCCATCATTTCGGTTGCACCGATGCCTAAAGAGGAACAAACTTCTGCGGCTGACATCGCATTTGTGCACGAAAAGAACTCATGCACGTCTGAGTATGAACTCTTTTGAAACTGGCTAATATGCCTGTAAAGCGATCAGACTTGGTTTGCACATTCAACACAAATCAACATGCTTGTTGGAGGGCTGTCTCGAAGCCTGGAACGAATGTTCGAATTCTTCACAGACTTTTTACGATCCAATTTCCTAACAAAGAAAAATTATTCAGAAAACTTGAAAGGTGGCAGCTTACAGAGCCATCATATAGCTTGGATGGATGTCGTCCACTTCTTGGTCAGGATAAGTCCAATGACAATACGCAGACCACCCCTCTCTCAAAGCTTGGACAGACTTCGAAGGGTCTCTATCTGGAAGAAAAATGATAGAACCATTGGGCAACTTCTCATCTGGATTGACATGAGCGAAGGAAGATCGATTGGCCTCCATCAGGGTGTCTGTTTCTAACATGAATTTTTGAGCAATGGATTGAAGACTTTCGAACTCTTGCACGAGATAGGTCTTTTTGGCATTTTGTGCTTCTTTGACTGGCGTCTCGATATCAGACAAATCTGCGTTTTCAAATTCGACGGTCATCTCATTTCCGTCAGTGCTTTCTGTGAAATTCGTCAATTTCTGTCGTTTACAAGCAGGTGCCTCAGAGTCCGATTTGTCAAAAAATTCGCTGACATTTTGTTTGAGCTGCAAAATGCCGCTGCACTGCATTATTCTTTGATTTTCATCAATTCTCCTTTTTCGCATTTTTTCGTATTCCGACATTTCGGAAATATTTTTTTCGCCTGATGACTGCGATTGGGCCTTGTCATTGTCGACATGGTCTGAGATCATTCTCTGAATGTCAATCTTCAATTTTTCCAGACCTTTCAAGGCGTTCAACCTAGCATATGCAATTCCTACGATTCTATCTTGTCTCTCGATTCTCAGCCTCAAATCGCCAGAGATTTGAACATTCTTAGCTTTCTGACAAATGTTGTCGATATCAGAAATTCGCATAAAATCAGATTGCAAAATTCCATCCAAAGTTCGACGAGGAGTCCAAACGAGATCAATAGGTTTCATGTCTTTTGGAGCCAGGAACAATACTTCACAATCATTTTGGTTGAGGTTTCCATCGGCTGACTTCACTTTTACCCATTCTATTGCTTTCACAACAGGTCGCTTGCTTTTAAACAATTTGCCTTCAGAGATCAATTGAAATATTTTAAATCCTTGCTTCTTTTCCCAGTCAACGTCAACGTAGATGAAGAGATTGGATGAGGTGTTTGATTCTAAATCACACCAAGAACTCTTTAGCTCTTCCACAAGTTCCAAACAAGCAGGGCCTTTGTCTGACGATTGCGTTTCAAGCTCGGACGATATAATTTTTCTCAAATGCAACATGAAGTCATCAATTGTCTGAAATTCGTCCTGGCGCAGAATATTTACTTTTTGACAAGATAGCCACTCGGAAAGTTTCGGACACACTGGAGTGGCATTCCAAAGAACACCGTGGCTTAATCCTTCTAGCACATCCTGAAGAACTCTTGAGCATCCAAATCTCCACACAAAATCGTCTGAACTGGTCAAGGAGATCACGTGGTTGTCTTTGGAATTCATATCTATCACTTTTGCCTCTTTCAACAATCGTGACTTTTCCTTCTCAATCTGTTTTAATTCTCTTTCTCGTTGCTTTTCCGCCAGTTTTTGAGCCATTGCTTCCTGATCTGGCTTCGCAATTGCACCAACTCTGATGAAACCAAATCTTTCATAGAATTTGATAGCATTTTCAGTGGCTTGCAAAACAACATAGTCGTAGTCTTGAGACTTTTCAAGATCTTCCAACAAAAGAGTGAGCAAATGTCCTCCACAGCCCAGTCCACCCAAAAGAGATATTTCGGCAACTCTGGTAAAGTCTTATGTTCAACTAAAAAATCAAAACTTCTCGAAATAGTGTATACCTGGGCCAGATAATGCCTTCGTTGTTGGGGTCGCCTGCGCGCTGCTGAGTTTGCAACTCGCTTGAAAGTTCATTGGACGAGTCCCAGAGGAACGATCTAAGCCAATGAGTCATCAGACAATCAACCTAATATGAGAGTTAGCACCAAATTCCTACCTCTTTTCTTCTTCACTTATGTTCGCCTCGCGTGCTATCGAATTCCACTCAAAATCTTTATGCCATGTCGTGAAGGTCGTTGCTGTAATGAAGCCCTGCAAAAAGCCCTCCTTTTCGGATCGCACTAGGTAGCCCCAAAGAGGGTCGTCGGTATCTAATCTGTCGGCCATGTACTCCAATCCAAGGGGTTTGGACTGAATTCCATCCATTTCTTTGTATGTCTCAAGGCGATGCTTTTTTAACGAGCGCCTTGCAGCCTCATTGCATAGCTGAATCATTTCTCCAAGATAATGAATCCAGCATGCGCGGGTGGGGGGCTTTACAATCACAGATCCTGCCAAATCTTTGGAGCATGCTTGAACCTGTTGCAGCTCGTACAATGGCTCTCGAACCTTAGCAAACAAGCTCAGGCGATCAATTGTCAACATTTGGAACATACCTTATCGAATGTGCGTCTTCTTGCTATGAACTTTCCAGTTTTTTCGTCTATACCGGTGTAACAGCCCCCCATCAGACTAGCCGAACTTGTGAAGGAGTCCTGCGCAAGAGTCAAAGGCCGTCACCGCGCTTAATAGGTAAAACGGGTGAACAGCACTTGATTGACTGAAAGAAGGTAAGAAACATCGCTTTCGGTGCTCGTGAAAGGTTCGTATACATGACGGTATAAAGATAGCTAAAGAGAGGGAGAGGCAAAGGAAGAGGGAGGGAGGGGGAGGGGGGAGACGGAGACGGAGACGGAGACGGAGACGGAGACGGGAGGGGGTCCAATGAGAAAGAGCGAGAGAAACGACAGGAACGACAGAGGTAAGCAGGCAACAGTAGCTGGTAGGCATGACAATGAAGAGCACATCAGCATCTGAGCTCATAGGTGCCGCATGGCGACGCTCTCAGGCTCTTAGGTTTGCGTGCCATGTGGAGTGGCATGTGGGAGCGCGGGAAACTTCGGAAGCACTTCACAGGGTCGCAGGGGGTGGGGTGGGTGGGGAGTCTGAAAATACATCAATGTACCCGGTCACCTCAAGTCCGACAAAATAAGGGGTATCATCAATGTCGCTGCCTTCGAGGATCATGGACGATGAAGGTAGAGAAAGAAGAGAGACGAGAGAGATTCAAGGTGTGACTGCACAAGGGAATTCATGTTCAAAGCGTCAATGATTGGAAAATGCAAGTAAAAAAGGGACGTGTAGATTTCTAGGTCATGGGGAAAGTGCCTTTCTTCGTGCATTATCAATATTCTGATGTAAATCACACTTGCCGCCGACATTATTGTGCACAGATTGTCATGTTTGTTGTGTAAAAATCACTTTTGTTGCTGATATTAAATTGCACAGAGTTGAACGAATTCCTAACTCTGACCCCTACCTGGCAGGCGTTGGTTTACTTCTTATTATTTGTGTTCGACAAATCCAATGGACTAGGAATGTTCAGGAAAAGAAAATAGAAACAGGATAGAATCACCTGAACATGGCGGGTATCGAATTTCCAAAATATATCTTGGAGAGATTGCTGATGGCTTGAACCCGTTTGAGCTGCCGAAGCTACATCAGCCTTTGAACATATCAACATACAAATGAACCAACCTCCAAATACTCTTTAGTCAGCAACTTACTATTTGCAATCGCTTCCTGTTGCAGTTTGTAATGTTCAGCATCTGCATAAGCCTTTTCCCTTGCGATGTGCATCTCATCCTTGATACGAGAGACATTCTTTGCGGCTTCTTGCTCCATAATTTCTTGCTGCTTCCGAATGCTTGCAACAGAAGCAGCAGTCTCAGCTTCGATTTGCAGCCTTCTCCTCTCTGTTTCTGCTTGCTTCTCTACTACCTTCTGATGTTCAACTGCGATCATGTATTGAGTTTTCTGTGCTTCCATCTCCTCGTAATTGCGTCGAACAATCTCGGGGATTTTTGGTTTTGTAACGCGTACTGCAATGATTCTTATGCCAGTATCATAAGTGTTGCAGTCTCGCTGCAATGCCTCTTTGATTCTATCATCCACAGTGTCGAACTTTTCTATGTAGACGTCTTGCAGAGTGTGCTGTGAACAGAACTGATTAATTTCATGGTGAATCTTGTCAAAAATCCAAATTTTGTCGTAGTCGATCCCATAATTTCTCACAGTCTGTATCACTCGATTTTTGTCGAGGATGTTAACAACTTCGACCTTCTCGAAGGTTATCTTGGTCAAGAATCAATTCAAAAAACGCATGAAAGATGTTGGTTGTTTTGACATACCATGACTCCACCACGCGTTCCACAAGGAATATTTGTGACTTCGTCAGTCTGGAACAACAGATATCAGAACGAGGGTAATAATGTGCGAATACATCTTGCCTGAATTGTTATTTGCATTTCATGCACTCGTGTGAAAAATGGGAACATGACATTGTATCCAGCTTCCGTGTACGCCTGTCATCCACCTCTAATCACAGACCACCATGTTATTGTTTAGAATGATTACATCCAACAACCTTCCACCAATGTAGTAGACTCCGACGTGGCCTTCATGGATCTTGTGAATGCTTGCCTGAAGAAACATAGCAAACACGACGATGGCAACCGGAATAACTCGTTCCGATGTGAACATCATCAATCAAAGCCACTGATCGGGATTAATTCAGTCAGTAGGAAGAATCGAGATGGTTGGATCAAAAGTTGTGTAGTTAGTTACATTGGAATTATTCATGTTCTTGTTTCTGATCATCATAAAAAGCGACAAGAGTATGCCCAATCACTGCTTGTAGACCTCTCGTCTTCTCGTCACATCATCACTTTTAAAACGAACGAAAACATAAACATTCGCCATGATTTTGAGCCTGAGTTTTAGTTAAGTGGAAAGAGGGAGCAGCTGGTATTTTAGTTAGGTAGGCAACCAATCCGCCTCGGAGCCTTGCCAACCGTTGAACACTCGGCAGAGGCTTGCCCGGCGCGCGGAAGCCAACTGAGTTGGCGGGGGCCCAACGTCCGGCGGTCACTGACGACCGACCGACGTACTACCGTACGGTAGTACGGTAGTACCGTAGTACCGTGAGGCTTGAAAACAGCAGTACGGACTCTCGGTGAGACCGGGCGCGGTCCTGTACCGTACGCGGATCGGACTGCCCGGCCCGGGCCCCCGGCGACGGCAAACCGTTGAACCCCGCGGCTAGCCGCGCCCCGGGACACGGTGTCCAATTTGAATAACAGCAGGGGGCCCCCGAAACTCGAGTCAGTACGGTCCCACCCCCCCAGTGAAGGTATCATTAATTTAACTTTGAGTACTGAGAAGATGAGTCGCTATTAGTCAACTGATGTAACGGTAAGTTGCCACAGACTGTCCCAGCGTGCCACTGAGGCTCCGACCAGTAGGATTCGCCGCAGGCGATTGAGTGAAAGTTTAGTACCAGCACCTCCGCGGAAGCCGCGGAGATCCTCTGGTAGTATCCTCTTTGAAGCTGCCGAAATGTCCTTGAGCGATTCTTCACTGCAAACGCAGTCTGCGCACGCTCTACCTGAGGCTAAGCCGCCGATGACGCGAGAGGAGATTTTGATCAATATTGATCGAGGAAAGATCAAAGGGATCGATCACGAATGGGTACGTAGATCGGTCACCAGGAGGCAACTAAGAGGCATGTACCAGGCGGAGAAGGTTCTCGACGAGGTGGTTGACCGAAGAGCTGGAACGAGCTTCAAACAGATTGCAGGGTTGGAGGGCACCAAGCAAGTTCTTCAGGAAGCATTGGTCTTTCCTTCCCTTCGACCGGATCTCTTCAAGGGCATCCGAGCTCCTCCAAGAGGTGCGGCACCAAGGGACCTCAAACTGTGTCGCGCATCACGTTGAGACATTTACGGCGGCTGTGCATTGCAGGGGTTCTTCTCTTCGGCCCTCCCGGGAATGGGAAGACGTTGCTGGTTGACATACTCAGCTTCTCCTCCGTTGCATGTTTGACTGGGGGGTTGTTTTGTAACAGGCCAAGGCTGTTGCCAGTGAAATGAACTGTACATTCTTTCACCTGTCCACCTCCTTGATTCGACAGAAGGTGAGAACAGAAGGTCATTAAGAAAACCATGATGTGCCACTGCCTACTATTGCTTGTCTCAGCAGACGTGTTGCTGCAAATACCCAAAGCGATGAAGTTGTTGACAAAGATGCTGAAGTGGGACGCGAGGGCCTTGTGACTGATAAAGCTTGTCTGATGAGTTTATATCCTCAGTATGTTGGAGATTCGGAGAAGGTTGTTAGAACCGTTTTTACGCTGGCAGAGCACATGCAGGTAAGTTGAGTACAAACAATAGACATGAAGGACAGAGACTGATTGGCAGGCAGCCTTCCGTCATATTCTTTGACGAAGTAGATGGTATCTTCCTGGCAAGAAGGGAAAATGATGCATCGTGGGTCAGGTGGAAGGCCTCTTTCAGTCTGTGTTCTTCCTCACAGGCAAAGACAGAAGCCTGCAAAGTGAATTACTCACTCGGATGGATGGATTGGAAACAGTGAAATCAGATTTGTGAGGGTTGTTCATTGACCTTGAAGCGTGCAGAACCACGACGGTCGGTTGCTTGTGATCGCAGCTACAAACCGACCACAGGTAATAAGTGACAGACGTGTATTAACCTGCTGCTGCACAGCCGGGATCACTGACGATGGACATGCAGGAGCTTGACGAGGCTGCCATCCGTCGCTTCACTAGGAGGTTTTATATCCCGCTACCAGACATGGAGGCTCGCTTGGAGATCATGAACAGATCGCTGCAGGTTATCCGAGGTGAAAAGCGGCAAGAGAGAAGGCTGAAGTCGTGGGGCAGGATTTGGAGGTGGACCTGAAAGAGACAAACCTCCAACAAGTAGCAGAGAAGATGGAAGGGTACACCGGCAGTGACGTCACGGTGCTGTGCAAGGAGGCAGCGATGGGGCCGATCAGAGATCTGTTTGCGCGGGGCTCTGAGCAGGTCGTTGATGAAATCTCCAGCTCGCGGCACCTCTCGAGCAGCCGTGTGAGTCGTGCCCTCTTGTCTTGACAATCTTGCAGGCGTTGAGAGAGGAAGCACGAGCCATCACTGCTTGCGACTTTGAATATGCATTCAAACGAACCCGTCCAAGTGTGTCCAAGAAGTTCCTTCAGGTGATCATCCCTTCCTTACGCAAGCTTTAGTCGGAGGCTCATTGTGTGAGACTCCCGTGCGGCCATCGGACTCGGATAACTTGGTTTGCGTGCGCAGGATCTCTTGTCCTGGAACGAGGAATTTGGGTCGTCAGCTGTCGGTCTGCCTACAGAGGCTACTGGCACTGGCAGCCTTGCGGCCGCAGAAACACAAAATTCCACTTAGAAACTTATTAGACGAGGGTCGCACTAGCGTGTCAAACGAAATTTGTTTGGATGACAAAAAATTTGAGCCTGGGTTTTACTTGTAAGTGGAAGGGACAGGAGCATCTGGTACTCCGTTCGTTTCAACTTGAAAGCAGCTGGTACTCCGTTCGTTTGAACTTCAAAATTATCATCAGATGGTGACTGGATTGTTCAAAAGCTGTATAGTCACCAGTGAGCTCAAGAACACATGTCTTCACGACGATGTCTGATAGATTCGCAAGAAATACAGTGCATTTTAGCAGTGAGCTGCTCGATTGCTTGAAACAACGATGATCCACAGCACTATCGAATGACGACAAGCAAGTCGAGTGGTTCATCAAGAATTTTTCATCCGATTTTCAAGAATTGAACGGTTGAGTTCAAAGCCTTGCCTCTATAGAAAAGTGAAGTGCATGAATCCTGACCGTAAGACTAGAAGAATTGAAAGTGAGTGATGACATGAGAGCACTTAAGATACAGCTGGATACCAATTTCTCACAAATCATGCATTTGAGCGCAACATGCAACCCACGGCAATTTGAAAGAAGGGTCAATCATAGTTGATTCTGTTGAATGGTGCATCCATTATAAGTTAGGCTTGCCTGTTCATGAAAATTTCATCTTGTCTTCAAAGAATATTTGCAAGTACACTCGCGGATTGTTTGAACCATGGGTGCATATTCCAGCAGAGTTGAGAAAGAAGCTCGATCATCTCTTACAGGTGTGATATGAGATCTTCATCTCATTCCTATCTCAGTTGGGTTGGATTCGAAGTCTCTCGATATCAAGGTTCATCCTCGCGAGTCAGGGAGACCCAGTTCATCGCCTCTTGCTAGTCCAGGGACAGGGGGCTTGTGAGCAATGAGAAAAGGGCTACTTGAAAAGCGTGCAATATTGACTTAACTTTGAGTAAAGACAGTTGGTACCACAGATACTACTTCCTTTTAAATTTTTATTAGTCCGGGCCGGGCCGGTATCTATTAAAATACCCGACCGGAAGTTTTGACCATTTTGACCCGTGGCCTCCGCCTGCCTTGCGCCACAATGCGCAGCGTATCTGGAAGGGGAGGAAGTGGTCGGGAATGAGGAGAGAGAACGGGAGACAGCAAGCAGACCAAAACATCTGAAGAACTGTTTGCCGCTCGATTGATAGGATGTCGAGGTTGAATCGCAGAAGGTAGAACAGAAAAGACTTGAAGGGAGAGCGAAAAAGGGATTGAAGATTGATCGAGGCGACTACGTTGAACAGGAAGATCAGAGCGATCTAATGTCAACCAGAAGAAGTGAAGTGATAGACTTAGAAAGAATTGACATCGCTTCTCAGGAACATTCCATCGAAAAGGGATGTGGTTTCAAAGGATGTTTGATGACCGGAAGATGAAATATGCTCTTATTGCGGGAGGGATGGTGGCTGGAGCGAGCATCTACATGCATTGGCGAAGGATGAGCCAAACTACTCCAACCATCCAGGAGATTCAGGACGAGGGGGATGAAAGTGAAATAAAAATCTTAGATGAAGGTGAGAAATAAATGATATTGAACTGATAGCAGCTCACATTCTGCTCTTCAGGTCAGATTCAAACGCAAGACATGGCATGTAAAGACAACCAACTAGTGGTAGGAAAGAATGGCCTGAGATGGTGGTATGAAGGAAAGCAAGGAAAGCACAAACAAGTCAATACAGGGAATGATCAGGAAAAAGAAATCGTTGACTTATCAATGTCAGCTGCTAAAGACGGAGACCTTGAAACTTTGAAGGCCATAGCTTCACAGGGGTCTGTACCTCCCTTGACATTTGACAGCACTCACTAATTCCCAGTCTGTGGAAACCTGAACTTTGTGACAAGTATGGTGGAACTCCTCTGTAACAGTTTAGTTTGTTTGAGAATGTCATGAAGTTCTTACGCATGCTACCATAGACATTGGGCAGCTGGGATGGGGCGATTAGATGCGTGCAAGGTGATGCAGTGCCTTCGTTCTCGCCTCAACACTCTGCTAAGAACACTGTTCAGCTTTTGTTGCAGATGAAAGCAGATCCTCTGGCACGTCTCTTTCGGGGAGGAGGAAAGGGAAGGACTCCCATGGTCACTAGCGTTTCAAACGATCTCCTGCAATGACATCGTCTCTAGCACTACGCAGCTCGGAATGGGCATCTGGAAGTGTGCAAGTACTTCATCCATGATTGCGGAGTTGACCCTGGCATACAAACGCATGACGGAACAACACCAATACACGTGATTGTAAAGTGAGAGTTTTCACGGGGTTGTTGATGCATACTTTTCAAGCTGGCAATATGGAAGGGACACATTCAAGTTTGTGACTTCCTCTCCAACTATGACATAGATCTTTCTCACGTACGATGTTTCTGGCTTGTTAACCTTCTCACTCAATGGCAGAAAAATGGATATGGTTGCGATTGCTCACATTGGTTGGGTATGGGGGGACAACAGGTAGTAGTAGTAGACTTTATTTGAATGTTACTGATTCTTGGGGATTGCAATAATCTGAATCCAGAATTGTGCTACTTGGCTGCTGGGGAAAGGTTTCTCGCTCACGACCCAGAACGAGGTTGGACACACCTGTTTACACAAAGCTGCACAGCATGGGCACAGGTCTTCGTTTATGCTGGAAAGCGGTGAAGAGTTCCAGCTAATACGATGCAACAGAGCTCTATGTGAATATCTGATTGAGAAACTTGGTATCACCAAAGGTTCTTTGCTTCCGGATAGTGAGGTATGCACATCGGCTATGACATGGCTGTTTTAAAACATATGGTTTGACATTCTAGGGTAAATATCCGAGCAATCTTGCAAGAGAGCAAGGTTACGAGGATCTTGCTTTTTGGTTGCAAGCAGTCATCGAGTAGCAAGAATCAATCTCTGCCGCTTGTCTCATAAAGTTTTGCACGCTCATTCGCAACGGTCTTTGCGCCGAAAGCCACAAGAGAATCTTTGATAAGAGTCCTCAAACAAGAAGCGAAGATCACACGATCCATACCCTCGTCCATTGTAAAGTTGTTGAGGTGAGGCAAAGAAGGAATCTGAACTTCCCTGTCATACAGAAAGGTGAGGGAAGAAGACCAGTGACAGCAGTGACTTCATCTCAATCTTTGACATCATCCCGTACGAAATCTCTGCTGATTTGGTTGTCAAGCGGAATTCTTAAATGTTGTATGAAAAATTACCAGGGGGATCATCCGCCGAGTGAGAGCCGATAGGATATGCAGCAATATGCTACGTATTGTCAGCGAGAAGATGGTTTTGCTTACATTCCATGCGGTGATTACTTGTCTGTTCATTCCAGTTCCAAAGGACAAAAACCCCGCGACGAAGCAATTGCTACCAAAAGGAAAGAAATCTTTTGGCAACACAAGTGTGGCTATCCACCTTGTCCAAGTCATACAAAACTCAAAGGAAATTCGCAACAAAGTACTTGGTCTTGTCAAAACTGACCGCAGATTTCAGATACCTTCACACAGAAGAATGATCAACTTGTTGATAACAAACTGAGAGATGAATACAAGATGTGTGCGAGAAGCTTCTTCTGATCACTCTTTCTGAGCTCTCGATACCATCGATTCTTTGACATCATTTGATGATCTAAGGAAGTTTTCTGATTTTGCAAAATAAGAAGCACAAAAGCAAACGATCCATGTTACCTTCACAACATTTGTTCCTTCGACGAGCTCGACGCGGTGGTGGCTATAAGGACCCACAACAATCTTCCAGAACCTTTCAGATGCATCGTGTGCGCTCACGTCGTTACCTTCAACAGCTTGCTAGGAGACTGATCGTTTGTGTATGGCTGACGATTAAGATTCAAATAATCAGCATCGACACATGAAGTCGCCTTCAAACCTGGTCGGATATGAAGAGAGTGAAGGCTTCATGCAGAGCCAGCTCGTCGAAGGGACCGGAAGAAACAAGAGGCCGTGGGTCGTTGTTGAAGCTAGCCTTGAAGACAAGAGTCACCTCACAGGTACCCTTGGTCGAGTAGATACCTCCACTCCCAATACTAGACTGTTGGATGCTGCATCCAGGCAAAACCAAGAACGAGCAGCCTTTGTAGGGCTTCCACGCAAAGACTCTGACATTGACGTTACACAACCCACGAATACCAACGCGTCGCACTCACTGCTCCAATGAGAGTAGAGATGAAGAATGCTCGGCGATTGACTGGAAACGCCTCCATCGACAAACATCATAAGCGCCTGAGCAAAAGCAGATCAGTTCTGAAACATTATCACCAATGTTGAAGACTTGATACAACGATCTTCGCCACAACAAAAACTCAGCAGCAGATCCGACTTTCTGTTTCGCACTTTCTCAACGAAGAGATTGATTTTCTTCAAGTGAGAACAACCTCGAACTTGGTGCCTAAATGTCCTCTTGGAGGAGGTTCCCCGTCCTGTCTTAGCTCCTCGGTAATCAAAGGAAACCATTTCCTGTCATTCTGTAAACGGCGAGAACAAGAAATCGTGAGGGCGACGAAAGATTACACCTCTTTCTCAACTCTTTCTCTCGCCAAACATCCAGCGGCTGTCGATTCTCGTTCTCAGTCTTGCAGTCTTCTAGCAGGTACCATCTCGTGAAGTTCGGTTTCCAGAAGTCTTTGATTCCTCCCAAGTACTTGGAGACTGTCCCGACCACCCCTGCTTCCTCTGCCCCGTGCATCTTGGCAGCATCCTCGGGGCTCTGAACATCTAGAGGGGGTCATGAGAGGAGGAGAGGGAGAGGGAGAGGAGGTACCATCGAAGTTCACTCCGCCGCTTTCAGACCGAGGGATGTGCTGCCAACCTGCTGGAAGGATCCATAGATCCGGATACGTCAAGGAAGTCACCAGCAACACCTGGACTTCCCTGCATTTCACCTGCCCGAGACGCAGGTCATCTGCCATGCCAGCTCCTTGAGCACAGCGCGCTATCAGCGTACCTTTCTCTCGACCTTGAGCACGTCGGAGGCGCTCTCGCCCATCCTCGTCTCGAAGAAGGACTTCTCGACATAGATGGTTCTCGTCGGGACGCAACCCGCTCGCATTCGGAACAGCCTCGACGAGTCGTTGAGCCGGGCTGGCCTCATACTTGGGTTGATTTCGGCAGAAAACTGACGCCATGACCTCAGTCGCTCGACGTTGGTTCTCAGCTCATATTGGAGGCTCTCCATGCGAGCTTCAAACACTTTTGCAAGCCGAAGATTAGGGGAGCTCATGATCGAAACAAACTCCTCAAACGTGACCACCATGTCGTCACCTTGTTTGCCGATCTCTTTGAGCAGCGCGCGTATTTCTTCTACAGAGTGTTTTCTGCCCAGAGATTCGATGACGTGCGAAAGCTCTGACATGTCTATCGTACCATTTCCGTCTTCGTCTAAGACATCGAACATCTTGTGTAGCTGATTTATCTTCACCTTGGGTAGGAGATGAATCGCGTGCTGTGCTAAAATCCTGCGCAACCTCGGGTCCATCTGGATGATCGTCAGGAAGGCGTTGAAGCTTATTTTCCCATCTCTCTGTTCTTTCTTGATGCTTTTCCGCAGTTTTTGAATTTGCAGATCTGTATCGCGATCTTGGAACAGCGTTTCTACAGACTCAGGGAGTAGTTCACCAATGCCTTCCTTGTCGCACTCGTCGAATACTTCGCGATAAAATTCGATCTCTTGTACGGAAAACATGGAGAAGATATCCAGTAGCGACGACTCTACCTTGTTTCGACCAGGTCTCTGCAACTCTTGGAGGATTCCTTCTTTGATCAGCTTCTCTCGAACTTTATTAGCCCTCCTTGCATCGAGTTTGGCCCTCCATGCTGCTTGTATCTTCCGGACAGCCCAGAACTCTATATCGTTCTGCTCGTTCAACAGGTCTATAAGCTGCGATCGCTCTATGCAGGCTGCTATCTCAGCCTCCGATACCCCCGATGAGCGGAGGTGATTCTTGAGCTGCGGGATCGCCAGACTCTCAATGAACTCGCGCGAGAGGATGGACAGCTTCGAGAGCGAGCGATCGAGCGATGGCTCGTTGCTGCTCACGTTTGAGATCTTGCGGGAGAAGGAGTGCGGGCCCGTGGAGGAGTGCTCGCTGAGCAGAGACATCCTCTTGGACATCTTGCGATTCGACGGCGACATCATGGAGGAGACGGAAGACTGCTGCCTATGAGCGAACCGATAGGGAGGAGAGTCAACCATCTTGTCCCACTTGACTCTCAACCTCTCTGCGTTTTCATCTAGTCGTCAGAGAAGCGGCGGCAAGGGGGAGAGGGTCGAGCTGGTATCTGCATCCCTTGGAGGGCCCCTTCCTCGCATCGTCCCCCCCCTTCGACCGCTTGTCGCTCACAGTCGGGCCGCCCGGCATCGTGAACAGACTCCCACTGAAGTTTGCTGCCCCTCACTAGCTCCTTCGTGAACAGACTCCCAAAGTTTGCTGCCCTCGCTACCTCCCCTCTTGTTTGTCTTTTCCACTTGAGTAATTTAAATAAAGAAAAATCGGGCTTGCGATGCACGGCGGGATGCGGTTCAGCCTGCTGATGCTGGAGGCGGAGGAGCGCTATCTGAGGGACATAGGAGCGATGCACAGCCCGCTCGTACCGGCTCCCCACCATCCGCTCCCTCACGTCAGGGGGAGGCTCAGGATATGCACCAAGAGCATCTTCTTTGAACCTGACCCGCCCGATCTCCCGATTCTCCGGATTCCCTTCAAGTACGTGACCGGCGTTGAGACGGTCTCTTCAGGTCCACCGCAAGGCGGTCGGATCACTAAGAAAGAGCCCATGCTCAGAGTGGAAACGTCAATGATCACCTCCATGCGAGCAAACAACAAGCCATCGCCTTACGTGCAGCACAGTATCCAGCAAGAGCATGTTTTCACTGCCTTGCATAGCTCGCTAGACTCTTTTCTACCTTTGATCATGCAACTTCTGGCATCATCTCGTCTGAACTTTGAGAAATCTGGTGAGTGTATCTGCAGACCCCCATAGTAAGATCGCTCTCTGACATTGGATGGCAAAATGAACAGCCGAAATGCTTGCTATGATATTCTCAGAGCATTGCAGTCGCTTTGTCTTCGACTTCTCATGTTTGCATCACGGGCTTCAAGAACACATCAAGATTCAATGCGTTGCAGAGGTTCAGCTCCCGCTCGTTTCTGTTCCTGGACGCGTTGTGATCACAGACAAGCGAATTTACTTTCAACCTTTCTCACACCTCTTCACAAAAGAGGTCATTTCTTGATGATAGCCTTTCAGCTGTTTCAAGCATCATTCTCGTCTTTGCAGGTTTTCGGCACCTCTCTGCAAAATATTCGAAACGTGATTCCTCGCAAGCACTGTCATCGTCCGGTGAGTCCCGTCAGATCGGGGCGAGGACGTGAAAGCATGGCAGATAGGCATAGAGGTTCAGTTGAAAGACGACCTACAGGCCTTCGATGGCCTTGCGCCCATTACGATATCTGTAGCAGGTGACCCTCTGGTCTCCTCCCCTCTCCTTGGCTGATGGGAGACTAGGGTACTCGTCCCGCAGCTCGGTGCTCTTCATATTCGAGCACAAGGCAAAGGGAGGCAGGGAGGTGAAGCAGCTTGCTAACGCATGAGCTTGTCGACTGCAGGAGGATCGAGACACAGCCCTGCAGGAGCTGACTGTCCTCAATGTCGGTGTGGTGCTGCATCAAGAGGACGTCAGGTCCAACCTCCTCCAGCTGCAGAACGCGTGGAGGGATCGGAGGGTCACCAACTTTGACTACCTTCTTGCCGTCAACTTTGCCGCAGGTTGAGAGGAGGAGCGGTGTTTAGATTCGCGGTGACTTTGATCGAAACAGGACGTAACTTCAACGATTTGGCGAAATATCCCGTATGAAAACTTCTCGCTACTCCTCGCCCCCTACCGCTGACTGACATCCTCCATTGAAGGTCATGCCATGGATCATAGCAGACTATCACAGTCTCTGCCTGGATCTCAACAGCCCCAGCTCATTCCGGGATCTCTCGAAGCCTATCGGTGCCCTCAACGATCAAAGACTTGCAAGCCTCAAAGGAAGATTTAACGAGATGCCCGAGCCCAAGTTCTTGTAATCTTGCTCTCACTTCTTCTTCCTCCTTTGATCCTCTCTCCTTCTTTCTTGCCTCCGGTCTCCTTGAGCAGGTATGGCACCCACTACAGCACTCCGGGCTACGTCGTGCACTTCCTTGTCAGGACGTATCCTGATCTCATGCTGCATCTACAGCGAGGTGAGGCGGGTCCAGGCCTCTTCTGACTTGACACCTGTGTTCCTTGCGTCTCCAGGAAAGTTTGATGACCCTGATCGGACCTTCTCTTCCATCTCCAACTCATTCAGGAGTGTCTTCACTAACCCAGCCGACGTCAAGGAGCTGATCCCAGAGTTCTATTCTGACGACACCTCCTTCCTCCTGAACAAAATGGACTTGGACCTTGGTCGCAAGCAAAACAGTCTGCCAGTACGTTCGCCCTCCTCAACCATTCTTCCTTCTCAACTCTCCTCTTGCGTCTCTCTCTCACGGTGTTGCCTTCCCTTTCTCCCTGCCAGTCTGTCGACTTGTTCCTTCCATCGTTGCTGCTCTCCTACTTCCTCCTCCCTCCTCCACCTCGTGACCTTCTGGCAGGTAGCAGACGTTGAGCTGCCACTATGGGCAACAGATGCCTCCGACTTTCTACGGCAGGTGAGCTGCTAGTGCTTCGCCCTCTCCCGCTCACTGCGCGCGTCAGAATCGCGAAGCTTTGGAGAGCGAGTACGTGTCGGAGCACCTGCACTTGTGGATCGACCTGATCTTCGGATGCAAGCAGCAGGGGTAACGCGGGCAGGAGGAGGAGAGGGAGGAGGAAGGGTGACCTGGTGATAGGGAGGCAGCGATCGCAGCCGATAACGTTTTCCACCCGTGGACGTACGAGAGCAAGGTAGAGTGGGACGAGCACAAAGATGAAATAGAGATCGAAGCTCTCCTGCAGCAGGTGCCTCCTCTCACCTTCCCTTGCAGCATCTTCTGTCCCCCGTCCTCCTTCCTCTTGGCTCGTTCCTGTGTCCTCCTCTTATCTTCACTGTCTGCCCACTATCCTCCATTTCCCTTTCTTCTTGACGTATGCTTTCCTTGTAACCCATTGCGGATTACAATGTTACAGATACAAGAATTCGGGCAATGCCCGGATCAGATCTTCCTGGAGGAGCATCCGTCAAGGAACAGCTCGACGGCATCGAAGGAGGAGAAGACTCTCGAGAGCACTTCTCACGAGCACCGAGAGACGTCGTGCCTGCCCTCCCACAGACAAGACGAGGACGGGGAGCGCAACGAGGAGGACGGGAAGCGCAAGGACGAAGAGAGAGGAGCAGGAGGGCCTGCAGGTTGGTCGTCCATCTCGGGTTTGACTTCAGCAGGGAGTCTGAGGGTGAAGGACACGATCACTGCGGTAGGACTCTTGACTGGCTGTTTCTCCTGCGTGATGCACGAACCGGCAGGTTTGCTTTGGAGGGCAAGAAGAGCTGTTGTCTGCCTCCCACGATTCCACTTTGAGATTATTCTCTCTTGCGCAGATGCAGCAGGTAGCTTCTCCAACTCATCTCCTCTGCTCTGCTCTGCTCTGCTCTGCTCTGCTATCCCTCCCACATCCCCTCTGCCCTGCTCCCTGCCTGTGATAGAGCACCTCTGAGCGTTTTTGCAAGCTCCGTTGCTTCTCAATCGGCCAGCTTGCATTGTCCTGCATCCAGCTGTTTCCCAGTCAGGCAGCCACTGATTTAGTGCTGGTCGGCTCGTGGGATCCGAGCATCTACCTCTTCTCCCTGGAATACGGGCGGGTGGTGCAGGCAAGAGTTCTCCTGCCTCCCCCTCCTCCTCTAGTCTCCTGTCAAGTTCTCCTCTCTCCCATCCTACTTGTCCTTCTTGCCCTGACGTCCCTCTCAGGAGGTGAAGTGCGGGCACGAGGACGCGGTTTCTTCGCTCGCCGTCTCCTCAGAGAGTTCAGGCCCGAATTTCCTTGCCTCGGGGTCGTGGGATGCGACGGTCAAGACTTGGAGTTTCCTGCCTCAAGGCCTCTCCTCTACTCCTGTCTCGACGGTCTGCGAGCATGAAACAGGTTTCTGTGCTCCTCCTCGCCTCCTCGACGCTGATGACTCGGATGCAGAGGTGAAGCAGGTTACCTTGTCGTCCTGCAGCGGCCGAGGAGGCTCACTCTCAGCGGATGGGCAAGTGAGCTGCTTCGGCTGGTCTTGTCTTGTCCTCAGCCCTCGACCAGGTGGCGCTGTGGGACGTCAGGGCCAGCGGTGACGTGCGATGGACCTCGAGGGCGCAGCGATTGACCTGCTTGACCTTTGCGGGAGCTGCGAGCATGGTCTGCCTCCTCTGCTCTCTTGTTGCTCCTGAGCTGTTTGCAGCTGATGGGCAGGGAGGATGGAGTGCTGGAGCTCGTGGATCTGCGATCCTCCCTCGACGTGGCAGTCACCACCTTCTGCATCGGCGGGGGAGTGACGTGAGGTCTCAAGGGTGCGGCTACCTGACCATGACGATGAGGGCGCAGTTGTGTGGAGAGCGATGGCAAGCAGTGGGTTGCAGGAGATGCGGAAGGGATGATGACATGGGGCCTGACGGACAAGAATGCCGCGAGTAGCAGCGTACGAGCACATGACGAGGGGATCACTTGCCTTGCGGTAGTGGAGGTTGACTTGCTGGCGATCTGTGAAGCTAGATGCAGGTGAAGGCGGGAGGCAGTAGGCTGGCAGCAGGCGCAGAGAACAACTCAATCAGCTTGTGGGACATTTCGACGTCGTGACGTGGCGCCCTTGTTGATGTATATGTTTTGACATTATAATGAAACCTTGAGACATGGGTGTCAAAGATGTCAGAGATCCTGCGACTTGAGCTCGCCATCCGCATTCACGTTCCCCCCCTCGTTGTCCTCCGCTTTGTCTGCCTCCTTCTCCTTCCCCTTCTCCTTCCTCTCCTCTCCCTCGTCTGGCTGCTCAGCGCATTCCTCCAACGGAGTCTCCAACACCTAAGAAGCATCTCACCTCAACTTGCCTGCAACTCGCATCCCACCTGCAGGATCTCGGAGAAGAGCGTGAAGATGTCGGGCATGGCATCCGAAGAGTTGCCTCTCCTGTAGAGCAGCACAGAGCGAAGGACCGGGCATTGCCACTTGAGCCAGAGCTCGAAACAACCGGCATCGAGCTTGCGACTTGACCCCTCGGACCCCGCCTCCTGCTCCATCCGTCAGCTGCCCCATCGTCCTTCGCGGCCTCTCTGCACCATCACCTTCCCATCGTTGACGATAACTTGCACGTCCCATCCTTTCAGCGCAATCTCCACAGCTCCGCGGATTTGCTCGACATGCTCGGCGAAGAGCTCTTGCTGGTCTACATCGACGGCCTTGCCAACCTGCACGCCGAGGTCACGTGGACGTGCTTGAGAGCACGTGCCATACCGGAGATGACTGAGCAAAGTAAGCGACTTCTATCGTTATGGTCGACGACCTCGTGAAGCTCCCGCTCCTGATGTCGTCCTCCAATATCTTCAAACCATCCATGGTTCGACTCCTCCTCCTCTGAAGCCAACAACAAGTCAGAAAGCTGGCATGAAAGTGACGTTCTTGCAGTCTTCAAGACGTTCTCGTAACCACCTTCTGCTGAAGTGGATGACTAGACGATGCTCCTTCCTGTTGCAAGCATGTCAAAAAACCACATCCTTCACATCTAGTGGCATACCTGTTGTCCGCTTGGCCGGAGAGCCTTGTTCTTCTTCTCCTTCCGAGTCACGGGCTCTGTCCTTGGTGTACCACTCAAGGGTCTGTCCCTCGGTGTTGCCAGCCCTACAGCACTTGACCTCATCGCGTTCTTGTCCTCCACGTGTGATCTGGCTGTGCTGGGTCGGCTGGTAGCGGGAGGTCTATGGGGAACGCTCAGAGCCAGCTTGTTAGCAGAGTTAGCAGGACGGGCAGACCTCTCGAAGCGGTAGCTCAGGCTTCCGTTACCTCCTGTCACAAAAGGAGAGCGGAACCTTGAAACAGGACCATTCCTCATCTTCGACGCGAAATCCAACCTGGCCTGAAGCTCGAGCAGCTTGGCCTGACACAAGCGAGAAGAGCCTCAGAAGAGTCAGGAATCAAGTATAAGCAACCTGTAGCAATCTGTTCTTTGATTGCGCTGACTGATAGGACGAGTGAAGAATGGCCACCTCGTTCTTCAACTTTCTGTTTTCATCCTCCAACTCTACCACTCGAACCAACAGTGACTGTGTGATGCCGCTGCTTTCCGCCTTGGCTTCCAAAACCTCCATGTTCTCCGACAGCCAGTTGTTCTTGCAAGTCTCTCACGCTAGACCATTCCTGTTATATCTCGCTCTCTTCCTCTCACCATGGCCGTTGCACATTCTTCCCCTATCCGCCGCATGGCCAACCAACCGCAGCAAATTTCGTTTCACAGCCTTGAAAAGTAGTGTATCAGGCCAACCTCAGAGATAACAATAGAAAAATGAAAAGACAGCAGACAACATACACACATGTACGTCAGCACTATATCCACAGTCTGTACGCTCGCCTCAGAAGATACACTTCTGGTCGTCCATCATCACCTGTTCCAACTTCGAACACAGGCGGAACACAGATCAACAACTCACCCCTCAAATACCATTTCAAATGGGGGGTACGGTCATTGTTGGAATACAAAAAGGAGGCGGGAGCCAACGGGGCGAGGGTGAGGGAGGAGAGGGGGCGGGGGGCTCGAGCCCTTTAACTACAAGGCGGCAGCTGCGACCAGCACAAACCAAGCAGCATGGGTTTCGGAGGCATGCCGCCCAAGAAGGAGAAGAAGCCCAAGAAGGAGAAGAAGCCCAAGGCTGAGGGCGACAAGAAGAAGAAGAAGAAGAGGAGGAGCGAGAGCTACTCCATCTACATCTACAAGGTGTTGAAGCAGGTTCACCCTGACACCGGTATCTCCACCAAGGCCATGTCGATCATGAACTCGTTCATCTCGGACATCTTCGACAAGATCTCGAACGAGGCCGGCAAGCTTGTGAGGTACAACAAGAAGGGAACGTTGTCTGCTCGCGAGATCCAGACTGCTGTGCGTCTCATCCTTCCTGGAGAGCTCGCCAAGCACGCTGTGTCCGAGGGAACCAAGGCTGTGACCAAGTACACTTCGTCCTCGTAAACAGCTCGATCAAATACAAACACTATCAACTGGTGTTATTCGACACCAAACCTGAAGCTGCTGGTGCTGTAACAGGCAGTTCGAGTCTGCCTGGCTTCTTAAATCTGGAGCTAACATTCTGATTCCGTCTGCTGTGATGTGACTGAGTGATTTTTAAATGCAGAATCATCTCGATGAGACTGGCTCATGGTTTCCACGTGGAAGGAATCATACAGTGAAGGATCCTCTCAAGAGATCCTCCTCAATTTTGTGCCAACTGCTTTCAATTACACACTTTAGCTTCAAACAGCATCGTTGTTTGTCACATTCGATCTCTGATGCCGTTCTCTTGTGGCAGTTGAGCATGGTGAGGTGTATGAAGAAGCAAGAGTGATCGCACTGTCACTGGTGCATTCTCAATTCATCTGGACCATCATGAGGAACTAGCACCTCGGGTGGGTGCAGCTGGAAGGCTACATCATACGGAGAATCACGCCCGACAGTCGCCGGCGACTCGATGAAGGAATCATTATATGTGCTGCAATGATTGAATCATTATATGTGCTGCAATGATTGAATCATTATATGTGCTGCAATGATTGATTCCAGGCAGTTTGATGTTCTCACTCCGCATGCTTGATGAGGGTCCATTGTCACCGTGCTTCCCTATCTTGTGAGCTCCGACTTGTGAGCTCCGGAACTTCGACTTTGACTCTGTCCAGTGAGCTAGTAGAGACTCGCAGCCTGGAGGCCCGAGGCAGCGTCACTGCTAAGGAATCTTCCGATCAGTAGTGCCTGACCTCGCCGCCTGGCAACTTGGGACTCTCAGCGGCCTCTTGCCGATGCCTGCCACGGTGAGGCCGGCGTGACGGTGACGATCATCATAGCAGTAGGGTCGAAGCGGATGGGCGGCTCCTCTGGTGAACCTCCGACTCGGAGCCCGGTCCGATCAGACCCTCATGTCACTGGATCCCTCAGGCCAGGCTACTGCGGCCGCCTACCGCCGGCCGTGCTGAGGAGCTTCAGGCTTCCTTTTACTGAAAGTTAGGCTAGGACAATCAGGAGAGTCGGTTCCCGGTCGGTGTACCCGACTGTAGCCGCCGTATGGCCTGTGCGGCCGTACAGTGTCAAGGTCAAGCCTCCTCTACTCTCCTGATCATTGTGAGAGTCCTACGGCAGTACTACTGATTTTTAACTAAAGAGGAGGCCCAAGTTTGACCCTCAGAACACTCTGTCATGTCCGAGTCGCACAGGCCCAGTCGCAGCTTCCGAAGCCTGGGTACGGCGGCGGGCGGGTCCCGGAGTCCCGGATCCGATCATACCAGCCGGGCTACTGAACAGCAGTCGGCAACACTGATGAAGGTTGTCCTCGTACTATTTTTAACTTAACTTTGAGTAAACACAGAACTACCCATAATAAAATTAAAATAGCTAATATTCGGGCCAATACAACCAGAAAGGGTAGGGTACGGAGACACTCAAAATAGGGGGTAGGGTCCATCTAATATTTTGTGAAGACAATGGACGACGATGCGCTTGTGGAGGAGGAGATAGAGGAGGTGGAGGTGACGGGGAGACCCGAGGGGCCTCCATGCTCGCTGAACGAACTCGAAATGTTCTTCCACGCCTATGTCGCTAGCCCAGGAAGGTGAGGACATTTGCCCGTGACTGCGAGTCGCTTTGGATCCGGTAGAAACCATCTGTGCTGTGGTCTCGAGGGCTGTCAGGAAGCAAGATATCGAAGCATGTCTCTTGCAAGCCCATCACGGGAAGCTTTGGATAAAATTTGATTTTGATGTTCAAGAGCTTCACTTTACATCTTGTTGTTGTCTTGAGTACACCACCACGAACTTGCCTTTCCCATAAAATCTGTGTTTGAAGGGGCCCGGAACATTCGTTGACTCTTTTTACAGCACTCAGTTCGTCAAGAGCGAGAGGAGTGAACGATCGGGATCCGTCATTGTAACGACGCAGAGACTGATCTTCAACTTCTACCGGAGAGCCCCAACGGATCCGACGAGTTACCCCGGCTACGAAGAAGTCGAGTGCAGGGGCGGGATGGGAGGAATCTGGAACGTCATTCCCCGCGGGATGATCGACGACATTGTCTTGATCAATGGAGGCATCTCAGATGGACAAGGCTCTTCGCACACCCGGAAGACTGTCCAAGGTACCTTCTACCTGACAATGAATTACTCGATATCACTTATGTGCCTCTTCCCAGTCGGGGGGAAGTTGATCATACGATGTCACGACCTGAGGGAGGTTGCTGTGTTCTTTCCCGACATGGCCTCGGCGAAGCGAGTCTTCGCTCTCCTGACATACGACAGGTGAACACGTTTGTTGCTCTAGGTGGCGACTCACTTTGCCGCAGAGGGCTCAAGGTTGGTGTTGGTGGAGCCACGAGTTTCTCGGAAGACCTCAAAGGAAACATCAGCGTATGCTGTCAATTCCAGAGAGCTTGAGAGGTTGGCTGACTTGTTGCAAGGCTGAGGAATGGATCGCTGCAAGACCTCCATGGTCCTTCATCACCGATACGAGCATGGCGTCCATCCCTGTGGTCCCAGCAGCACTCGCGGGAGATTGGAGGGTGACACATGTGAACTGGATGTATCAGACCTGCAAGTCGTATCCGAGGACACTCCTGGTCCCATCCTCTGTGACGGATGAGGAGATCGGGAGAGCAGCAGCGTTCAGGTCTAAGAATCGCTTCCCTGTGGTGGAGTTTGTCTACATCAACGGAGCATCCATCTCAAGGGCCTCCCAGCCTAAGGTGAGAGCTGTTTGTTCTCTCTCCCTTGCCTGAGCTCGCATGACACCATCGACCTGGCGGGCCGTCTGGTTCAGGTGGGGCTGAGCTTACGCCAGAACAAGGAAGACTTGAAGCTGTTGGAAAGTTTGTCGAGAGTGGGAGAGACTCGGCATTCTCTTGTGGTGTTTGACGCTCGGCCTCCCATGAGTGCGTACGCCAACTACGCGAAGGGAGGAGGGGTGGAGCGATACTCCAACATCGAAGTCTCCTTCCTGGGGATCGAGAACATTCATGCGGTCAGGAGCGCGTTGAGTGATTTCTTGAAGGAGGAGCTGTCCCTGTCGTCCGTGTGGATGTCGTCTGTGTCTTCTCTCATCTCAGGAGCCAAGCAGGTACAGGTCTCTCAGTCATCTCAGGTATGTTGACTTGTGTGAAATCAGTGCAGTGAAAAGGTTGCGGCCGGGAATTCAATTTTGCTTCACTGGTACTTAAACTCTCTGTGCACAAGTCTGTCCGTATGACTCATGCGATACTCTGTATTTGTTACTCAAGACGGTGACGTTAGATGATGATGATGGAGATGATGATGGAGATGATGATGGAGATGATGATGGAGATGGTGATGGAGATGATGATGGAGATGATGATGATGGAGATGATGATGGAGATGATGATGATGATGATGGAGATGATGATGATGATGGAAATGATGATGATGATGGAGATGATGATAGGGATGATAAAGATGAAGATGATGAATTGATGTATGGGGTCAAGTGGCCTTGTTGTGTAGGGTTATTGATTCGGAGTGAGACAGTTCGGACGGATGGGATCGCACTCCTCAAATCGCGTCGCTGACTGCGATCATATTGGATGCAAGCTCAAGGACGGTAGAGGGCTTCTGCGCCCTCATCGAGCGGTATGCCGACGATGAATAACATGCACGAGACTGACGGCGGCATACAGCTCATGGGTATCCTTCGGCCACAAATTCGATCAGAGGTATGGGAGAGAAGAGAGCAAGCGCGAAGAGTCTCCTGTTTTCATCCAGTTCCTGGATGCTGTCTGGCAACTGCTAGTCCAGTTCCCAGCTGCATTTGAGTTCAACGACAAGTTGTTGGAGTTCCTGGCCGACGAGGTTTATATCGGAAGGTGCATCTCCCTAACTGACCTTCCACTGATCTTTCCTTCTTCCTAGCCTGTTCTTCTCCCGCCCTGACATCCCCGATTGTTCAGGTTCTGCAACTTTCGGTTCAACTGCCAGCAGGAGAGGTTTTGCAACGCTCAGCAAGGTAACTAAGGCGTCGCCCTTGGTGTCTGCCCTCAGAGTTGCCCTGACAGGAAAGAATCTCTGTGGTTCAAACCCATCGGACAACATTTGGAATCACATCAGAAACTTTGAAAAATCTTTCAAAAATGCTCGTTACGAATCCCCCCCGGTCACTTCCCCCCTCTCGCCCAAGGTGCAGAGCGGCGAGCTGTCGGTGTGGTACAGGTATTATTCGAGGTCGATGCTGTTTCCTTGCGTAGCCGAGTGTCCTGATGCGTCTCTTGTGACCAGGTGGAGGCTCAGGAACGTTATTTTCCCTCAAATCACGTGGTTTTTCCCTCGCGCAGGTAAAGAATCGTCTACTGGGTGAACTTGATGGTGTTTTCTCACACCCGGTCAGATATACCCCGAACCGATCTGCCTTCTCATGAGATGCAAACCCAGCCAGAGATCAGGGCGTTGGATGCGTATTTCGACAGCGAGCCGCTCCTACAAGCCCTCCTCATCAAGCGAGAAGCTCTGCCGACATTCTTCCCGTTCCATGTCCAGTCTGCTGTCCAAGTGCCTCCTTTGGAGTCCGCGATCAGTCAAGAAGCGCTAGGAGATTCGTACGAGGTTGTATTTAGATAACTTTATGTAAATTAGATGGTTTCGCCAAGCTTATCAAGAGTTTATGCTCCATACAATGCACAGTATAATACAACAAAAGCACATAGCTCGCAGAATGGGCAACGACGACTTTTGTGAGGTTATTTAGAACCATTCACCGGCTACGTGTAAGAAAGCGTCATTGAACAGCGACGGGTTGGGAACTTGCTTTGAGCCGACGGCACAATAAATCGCTTCGTCGAAAGTTGTCTGGCCCATGTCTTCTGCCTGCTCCACCATGCACACGGAGGCAGGGGAGGAGGAGGAACTGGTGGACATCTTTTCAACCGAGTCGTGCTTCCTTAGGTATGGCCATCTTGATAGCCCCACCCTCCGGCATGCGCTCTTAAATGCAGTAAGAGATATTCCCTGCAGAACGAATTCACGTCACACAAGGCAAAAGCTAAAGCACAAGCCTACCATTCTCTGCGCCGCAACTGTTTGTTTCAGATGGAAAAGAGCTGAAATTTCTTCTAAAGTGAAGGCAACATGATGTGTTTTTCGTTGAATCTCGCCTTGCTTCTTTCTAGGGTAAATGTGGGCCAATTTAGTTGGGTACATGCTGTACCAGCAAGCGATTCTGCTTTCTTTCAAGGAGATTGTACAGCAATGATCTCCTGTATTGTGGATTCGAAGTGTACTGTGGGCAAAGAGCGAAGAAGTAGAGAACAATCCGATCAAGGTTTAGAAAGGGGAGGTAGATGTATGGGTGGAGAAGCAAGCGCGTGACAAAGGGCTGATACAGCTTTGCTGCGTTGGAGGATGGGGGTGATAAGGGAAGAGGACGGGCGCAAGTGAAAGGCAGAGACGAGGGGCAAACGATGAAGAGGACAAAGGTACCCCCCTCTTCTCCTCGACGGGCAGTCGAACAAGGGGTGGTAAAAGCGAGGGAGCTCAGGCCAGACAGATCGCAGAAAAAAAGTCTCTTTTTAGGTCAATTCTTTACAAGCTAAAAATTGTTTAAAACGTTTTTGATTTTTCGGAAGGTCAAAAATGATCCCCTAGTTCCCACCAATCGTTGTATTAGCAGGCTGTTTGGAACAAATTTCATAAAATTTCACAGCGTTTCGTCTCTCTACACCAAAGTGTGTCTTTTCAATGTAGTCGGAGTGCGTCACGAGGTCACCCCCCATTACACCCGGGTAGAAGCAGTAGTTCGAACACCACCCCTCCCACTTGGTTTGACCTCTATACACCTCATAGCCACCGGTAGTGTCGTCACGCAACATAGACTCTGCCATGGCCAGCTCCGACTAGCAAGATAAGAGCAATGCTTCCGGCGTTAGGGGGCCCCTGGCAGGGGGGTGGATGGTTCGACTCGTGCCCCTCATGCACGTATCATGTGTGGGTAGTATCAACCAATGGGTGGGTAGAGTCAGTCAAACAGGGGGGTGCCAGGACCATCGGACGTTGATCGGAACGTTCTGGTCCTCGGAAGGGCTGGGGTCGGGAGTCGCGGAGTCCCGCTGACTGGCCGTTACCTGCTCCTAGGGCCATGAGACTCCCCGTGGGCTCGAAGGGACGCCTGTGGCTCCGTCAGGTGACCCACTTGCGGCTGGGTGACGATGGGAGGCGTAATTGGTATCAGAATGGACTCTCAATCACTCAGCGGCGGGCGGCCGCGGAGATACGTCCAGGCCGCGTCACCGTGCTACGGCGGGGGCCACGAGGCCGCCGGGGGCCTCCACCGGCGGGCCAGCCCGGCGACCGTACAGTCAGAGGCGCCGCCGGGCGCCCTGGCACTGTCACGGATGGTGGTGACTGACGGATTGAGATAAAGACTCCGGGATTGACGGAGTACCGGCCCGCGTCACGCCTGCCCCAAGTCCATTTAAAAATCACGGTACTACGAGGACAATCACTGCCATGGCATTACTAAGTTTAGTATGAAGCGCCGCGTTCCGAAGTTCAGGCCCGCCAGTCCGAGCCCATCACCGGCACCCGGCCCGGCGGCCTGGCCGCCGCAGTGCGTCGGAGGGGCCCCTGGCGAAAAGATCTGAGGCAGGCCTGCCAAAATTCACTTGCCCCGGGCCCCCGGCACATGCCGCCATGGCTAAGGGAGCGACGGATGCGAGCGATCTGCATTGCCATAGCGCTGATCTCGCATCCCCACCAAACATCCTCCTTCCTTTGCACCCAAATCCTCCATTGTCCCCTGTCCCCTGCTTCTCAGTCCTTCGTCTCGCCGCCTCTGCTCGGTTATCGAGCCAATCAACCAACGAACCGGAGGAGGCCAGAGATGTCTGCTGCAAACTTCAAGACGACCTCCCTGAGCGAGCCAAGGTAAAGGATCTGACAATACCTGAAAGATGTTGATGACGTGTACATGATGAGCAGGATCAGCAGACATGGTCCTCTAAAGACGGAGTCAATAGAAGAAATCGTTCATGTCCTTTCCGTCGCGCCGCTCATGGAGCAAGAAGGCAGTTCTTCTCAGCGCCGAGAAACTGAGGCGAAGCGACTGCGAGCTTGTGTCAATGCGCTCGTGTAGCTCCAGCACTCTGATGCCTTGAACGTCTTTGATTGTTGTGTTCAGAAAGGTTTCATTTTCCCTCACCGGGAATGCAGCCTCGGAGGTACGACAAGAAATTCTTCAGGACGAGAAGTTTTACAGGTGATTGTGAAGGTTGCGAGCTCTTGCTGTCTGAATGACGACCATGACAAGTCTCTGCCACTCTATCTCTGCGATCCGACTCGGCGAACAATCAACGAAGGTGGTTGACGACGCCAGGATTTCATTGCAGGCTCTCCGAGCCCTAGCAGGTTCTCGTCAGTCTCACAGCACTGGGCAACGCTGACATGCTGTACTAGTTCTCGCTCCTCTGCCAGACACTCTGTCCTCCTGCGTGCAGACGCTGGCTGGTCGAGTCTGTGAGGTAACGCAAACGAGGTTCGGCAAAGCGAGGTGACCGTTGCTGGCAGAGGCTGGAGAATCTTTCCAGCAGCGACAAGGCCACGTTTGACTGGGCGTGTAGGAGGTAAGGTCTTGCTGGCTCGAGTCTGAGCCCTCAGTGTCCTTGTTGCTGCGCAGGCTCCATGTCGACGAGAGGGTGCAGAGGTTGGCCGGCGAGGCGTTCAAAGAGCTCGCGCTGCCTTTCTCCATCTCCATCGGTGAGCTCTCCTATTGCCGGGCCTCTCCCTCTCCCTCTCCCTCTCCCCTTAAGGTGACTCGGCAGGAATCCTGGAGGACGTGGCGAGCTTCGAGGAGGTGAGCATACAGGCTGGCGATCGGAAGTGGCTGAGCCTGCGCAGCTGAGGAAAGAGATTCCTTTCAAGGCAGAAAAGCTCCTGACCCGTGACGGACGGGTGGGACGCGCATGCAGTTTCTCCCTCTAGCCCTTCTGAAGTATCTCCTTCCTACAGCAAGTCCTCGAGAGGAGGGAAACCTGCTGGATGGCAGAGGAAGGGATCGGAGGCCTTGCTTACAGGTACCATCACTCCTTCCCCCTTGCTCTTCGCCAAATTCCCAACTCCCATCTCTCTTCTTCCAACGGAGCTTTCCTTCAGCGGCAAGATCATGTCGCCGACCCCCTTCACTCCCGCTGTCACTCGTGTGCGCGACGTTCTCTTCGAACGCACCAACGTCAGGTATGAGCCCTGTGGTCGGAGTCTTCGGCTCCTGACGCTCCTTCCTCCTCTTCTCTTCACTTGCAGGTACGACTGCTGCCTCATCAATCTCTATCCCGACGGCGACTCAGCTTGCAAGTGGTATGTCCTCCGTCTCTCTGCCCCTTCTCTCGTTCAATCCGCTGCTCCTCCCGTCTCCGGTTTCTCTGGTCTTTTCCTCCTTCTCTGAGATTTTTCCCACTGCGTCGCCGCATAATCGCTCCCACTGACTCCTTTCCTTCCTGCCTTGCCGGAGAAGATGGTGAATCTGCTCCGATTGATCTGATCTCAGGCATACGGATCCCGATCACGGACGTCTCTGGTCGCTGGAGGCGAGTACAAGTCCGGAAACCGCTGCATGCTCACCCCCTACAGGCGTGTGTAGCATCCTTCGGAGAGACGAGGAGATTCAACCTGCGGAGAATACCAGAGCCCAAGAGTAGGCAGGAGGAGGAGGAGGAGGTACTGTAGGTGGGGGAGAAAATGTGGGGTGAAGCTGCTTTCTGCAGGAGAAGTTCTCCTTCCACGTCTTTGAGGGGGATACCATGCACATGTTTCGTGACTGTCAGGATACGTTCGAGGTGAGGAGCAGGCTGGAGCCAGGAGGCCCGGGCCCTGTGGGAGGAGGAGGAGGAGGAGGAGGAGGAGAAGAAGAAGATGGATGTTGACGCTGATGCAGCACTGTGTCCTGAAGGCAGAGGGCGAACACAACCTTGGACCGAGGTCTCAATAGAGATCCTACCCTTCCCCCCCTCTCCCCCTTCCTCTTCTGCTGCTTCTGTCCTCCTTCCCTTCTCAACCTCGACCCCTCTCTTCCCGGAGTGCTTGCTCTATCTTTCACTGCGTGCTCGCTCAGGATTTGCTCTTTGTTCGGGTGACGTTGTACCCTCAGGATTAGCATCGTCTTCAAGAAAGCTCTTATATCTCCCTCCGGCAAGTCTTTCTAGTCTCTATCGAGTGCAACTCATGCGCTTCTATCAGGCAAACGAGGCCATGGAGGTGTCGAGATTCAGAGGAGCAAGAAAGAGAGCACCTCCAAGTAAAGCGCCTTCCTCTCCTTCCTCCTCCCCCCTCCCCTTCCCCCTCTCCCTTCTGTTGTTCTCGTCTTCATTGTTGCTTCCTCGTCCTTACATTTGTGGCGCGGGTCTCCCAGATTTGTTCTGCCTCCGAGGGGAAAGAAGAAGAGCAAGGAAGAGAAGAAGAGCAAGGAAGAGAAGAGAGGTGCGATCTCTCTCGCCAACCTCATCGTCCTCTCACTGTTGATCCGCAAGATTCCAAGAGAGGTGTAAGATAACGGCTCAAAGTGGTTGGGGTTCTTCTTACAGCCTTTTGTACTCAACTTAGAGAACTTACAAACAAGTCTGTTTTCAAAGATGCCCTGGCAAGGAGGAAAACTTATCGAAGCATTTACGTCACGTGTTGTTGCTGTCATGTGCTGGCAGTTGTCCATCATGATTATTTGTTGGACGGCCTGTTCTTGCGCTCGAGGGCTTCCAGTGCACTGAAGATCCTAAAGACGTCGGCGAAAGGAAGTTGAAGTCTGTCGAGCATGTCGTCTCTAGTGAGCAGCACTATCGCCCTGTCGTCTATCTTCTCCCTCACAAACACCGATGCATGCGCTCTTTCAAGCCCGGCTTCCTCCAGCACCATCCTCACAAGTCTGTAGTCCGATCGCTCTTTCAGGAAGACGCATGCAGCATCGGATACTCTCTCTTCGTCCTCCTCCTCCTCCACAGCAGCCTCTTCGACGACTTTCTCTTGTTTGATGACCTTGGCTTCGACCTTTTCTTTCCTGTTGGAAGTAGACACTTCGCTGGGGTTCTTTCTCGACTTGAGGATCGAGGAGTAGGCAAGAGCGTACATGCCAATGGTCGTCAATCCTCTCTTCCTCTTCCTCGCTTTCAGTCTCTGCGCTGTTGCTCCCCTCTCTCAAAGCTTCTTCAACACGCAAGAGCAGCTGAGTGTGAAAAAAAAGGTCAAGAAATTGACATTTTTTATCAACATCACGGAATCTTCGCTCATACCGTCTTGCCACGTTCAGCTGACTGAGCCACTGGCACGGGTCAAGCCGCAAGTTCGTAAGTCGGTCCGATCACTGAGGGTGAACTTTCGTTACTCAAAGTCTTCAATTGATTTTGAACCTCCGAAGTTCGTCTGAGTTTATTGAACGCAAACTAAACTTCAAAGGTTCGACATGTGAGAGTACGGTCGGGCATTGCGGCTCACTGTCATTGTGCACCGCCGTGCTGCAGCCCTTCCAACGTCACTTGTAACGGATGCCGCAGAGTTGACAAGGGGAGGCAGGGTCAGGTTCAATCTCAGCATTCAGCTGCTCCACACGTGAGAAGAGATTCAGGATCGGACGCGTGCTCAACCGGTGAAGTAGGGAGCAGAGGGAGCCCCGGTGATGGCAGGCCTGGCGCTCGTTGTGTTGGCATACAGCTGCATTGGAGGTTGCTGCTGCTGCTGCTGTTGCTGCTGCTGCTGCTGCTGTTCAAACTTTAGATTCGCACCCATCGTGGCGTGTAGATCAACGCACATGAATGAGGGAGGCTGTCATGACGCCTTCTTGCGATGTTCGCATCATATTGGCATCCATCGGCTGCTGGAGCATCGCCGGGGGGATCGCCGGCAGGTAGAAATTCCCGGACGACTGCAAGTTGGGAAAACTCTGCTGGGGGATACCGAAGTTGGCAGAGTGAACCCCTGAGCACAACCGAGTCAGCTCGAGTCACAAGACCGGGGGAGGAGGAGGGAGGCGAAGGAGAAGACAAGAGGAGCCGAGGTAAAGGACACAAAGAGACAGGGGGCATGACCCTGATTGAAACCATAGGATGCGACCGGATCCTGGATCACGTAAACGGGCTGGATGTTGCTCCCCTGAGCGTGGAGGAGGGACGAGGAAGCTCGAATCTGCTGCAAGAGGTACTCCGGGACCTGCGCAGTCTCGGGTCATGATGGCGCGCTGGAGGAAGTGACTTGTTGACCTTAGGGAGCTCCGGAAGGGGAGGAGGGTTGTCTGCAAGTCAAGGTGGTGAGGAATGGAAAGGAGGGAGGGAGGGAGGGAGGGAGGGAGGGGGGATACGGCAAGGACACACTTGGATCCCACAGAGGACCGTAGAGGATATCAGCCTTCCACTCAGCATCCTTGTCTGTGACCTGCCATGGGGTTGAGGGCAAGTTTTCACTAGCGGGGAGAAAACGTTGACCTTGACTCCGACCCACAGGAACGCGAGATGTGGGTACCTGCTAGACTGTCAGGCCGCCGGCCTCTCCTCTTCCTGGGCCGCACTCGTTGCGCATCGCGTCGTCTATGAGCTGCCACTTGGAGGTGTCGTGAGGCGGGATGGCTCGCCGTAGCGTGAGATTTCTCTTCTCGCTGTCTGTCGTGACAATCGTCTCAGCCCCTGCCCCATCACACGACGTCTGCTCACCGTGGATGTAGGAGACGGTCACTGAAGTTCCACTCTTTCCTCCTAGGAGGGAGGTGACCTATCGAGAGAGCAACCAAATCATCTGAGAGTTCTCAGGAGCATGTAGACAACCTCCTCAGTCGACAGGCGCGAGACGTCCTGCCCGTCCACGGACTCTATCTGATCGCCAACTGCAATCAATTGCGTACTATACGCAATGCTCAGATAGATACACGAATTGTGCAAGAGTGTCACTTGAAAGCCGGGCCATTCCGGGCGACAGCTTTGACAGTGTGCTTTCCATTCTCATACACGACGTCCAGCCCGACATCAGCCTCCTTGCTTGTCTCATGCACCTTTTACAGCCTCTCAGACCCGCTCGAAGGAAAGAGAAACAGGACGATAACCACATTTGGCCGGGTCTCGACCGCAGGCAGAGCTTGAGCTTCTTTTGCTTGCATCTGCCTCTTTGCTTCTTCTTGTCGTAAGGCATCGTTCTGTGCAATTTGTTTCTGCCTTTCAGCTTCTTTCCTCTCAGCTTCCTTTCTCTCAGCCTCCTTTCTCTCAGCCTCCTTTCTCTCAGCCTCCTTTCTCTCAGCCTCCTTTCTCTCAGCTTCCCTCCTCTCAGCTTCCTTTCTCTCAGCCTCCTTTCTCTCTGCTTCCTTTCTCTCTGCTTCCTTTCTCTCAGCCTCCTTTCTTTCAGCCTCCTTTCTTTCAGCCTCCTTTCTTTCAGCTTCCCTCCTCTCGGCTTCTTTCCTCTCAGCCTCCTTCCTTTGTTCTTCCAATCTATGAATTTCTTCCTGCTGTTCCATCTTTTTCTGAGTCTCCATCCGTGCCGAATCGACTTGTTGGGCTCCTTGTTCCTTTCGATGGGGACTTGTCAGTCGCGTCAAGGTCAGTACGCATCGTACTGCTGTCGTGTTTGCAGGTGCGTTGGCGTTTGTTGAGCGAAATCCTGAAGGAACTCGCTTCACAGGGGTTGCCACTTGTTGCTGAAAGGTCAAGTGAGCGATGTAAACAACTGCTGGTCACCAACAGGAGCCTGAACTGGAGCCATTGCGGTCACCGACTATGGAAGCAACAGGTTAGCCGAGTGAGATCGTCTTTTTGTCCATTCGCAGCAAAACGAACGGCTCACCTTGACGTTGGTCCCAGCGTTGGGTGGTAGAGTCTTCTTGTAAGGATGATGGCTGCACGGAAAGGAGAGTCATGGACGGATCAACGAAAGTTCCTCTACCTCTTGATGTCCTTGGTCTTGCTCAAAGAGGAGCTGCTGCGGAACTGGCTCTGTGGGTCCTTGTTTCCAATGAAGGTCAGGAACGTGGGCCAAAGCACACTCTATGATCACGTTGTAGAGCTCCCTAAGCTTGGTCTCGATGTACTTGGCTGTTCGCACCTTATCTGTCAAAGCCATGTATCATTCAGCTTCGTCCAGCGTTTGTTTGTACCTTCATCCCCAGAGAGATTGACATGCAGCAGCGTTCCAATGCTCTGATTCCTGCACTGCCTGTCTGAGTTTTGGCGACCCTACAGCCCACACTATCACCCGTTCACCAGCCATCGTTCGGAACCCACAACCTATGGTAGATGTCATAAGCCAGCAGGACAAGGCAGAGGACGAAGAGCCGCCCAGACCTCGAGCTGTTTCCCCTCGACCGCGAGCATCCGTTGGAGATCATTCCTCGCGTCTTCTTCAAACTTCTGGTGCTTGGGCTTGATCACTTCCCAATCTTCTTCGATGCAGAACGTAACTCCGATTGAGATCCATGAGTCCATTGAGATGGCGGAGCTCTGAATGCGCTCTTATCACTCATGGGCTGACTTGCAGCTGTCAACGATACCTTGCTCGAAGATTGGTAGTTCAAGGACATCGTGAGAGTGCCGGTAATGGGAGCGTCGACAGAAATGTTCTTGCTAGGTTTCACTTGAAATGTCTGCTTTATGTCCATTCCAACGAAGTTTTCCAGCTTCGAGACATTGAGAATGACCTGTCGCAACCAAGTCCTTGACAGAAAATTGAAAATCAGAGAGCATTCAAACCTCTCCAAGGAAATTCGAATTGTTCGTAGGATTTTTGTCGCTGGCGTCCCTTTGATTTTGAAACATTAGAGAACCTTCACGCTCAACGCTCCAAACACACCACAGAGTAATTTCCAGCTGAGAGGTTGATGCATTTTCCACTTCCAGCTGAAACTGCTGGTTAAAGACCTGGACGGAGAGTCACAAAGAAGAAAGATCGAATTTCAATCACAGGCTCCGTTGTTTGCAGGCATTGAGGGTTGAGCTTAGTAGCCACGGGCTGACTGTAGAACCATCTCAGTCTGGGGAGAGCAAGGAGAAAAGACAAGAAGTTCGTGCTTCTACTGAAGGGCACAGCAAGTCCATCGAGCTCGCCTTGACCAGCACACCAAGGAAATTTGGTTCATTATGCAAGCAAGGAGAGGGGAGGTGGCAGGGGATTCCTGCGAGATCGCTGGTCATCACCTCGAAGAGTTGCGGGAGAGCAGACGAAGTTGAGCCACAACATCTGGCGCTCGCTCCTCCTTCCCACGCAGCATCGACGCATGGCTCACTACCGCTGAGAGTACTCCGGACATGGCGCGGCTTACCCGCGGGATGGGGTGTTTCAAACTAAGATGTGGGTGGGGGTGGGGGTCATAACTGATCATCTCAGATGACCCGGTAGGTTGGGACCCATTTCGACTGCAATGAACCGGTGGGGTGGTTCGTGTGCTTTTGGAGGACCGGGAGGGTGGGGTAACGACCGACGTGTCAAACTGATCTCAGTGTTCGGCGATTGACCGGGCCGACCCTCCGGGACTCCCGGGTACCGTAGTAGTGCACTTTAAGTTAACTTTGAGTAAAGGTAGTAGTACGGTGTGACCCCATTTAGACCTGCAGCCGCAACCCCCCACCCCCACCCCACCCCCTTCTGCCCTGCCTGTCATTATATGCAACCACACTGCCGTCACGCCTGGCTAGGCTATTGTGCTAGCCACCCTACCCCCCTTGCTCGTTCACTGATCACGGTACTGGATAAGAAGATAATCATAATCGGAGGGCTCAATATTCCGCGTTCGATACCCCCTACCCCCCTCCCTCCCATGCATCAGGGGCACCGAAGTTACTATTTGAAGGGGAGCCGATCAACTTCGTGTTGGAGAGGGTGGGGTAGGAGGGTACCGTACCATCGCCAGCCAGATAAGGTTTTTGTAGGGGACAAGGAAGGGTGGGTGGTGTGCATTTGTGTCGAACAGTGGGGGGGTGTGGAACATCGTGGGGTGGGTGGAGGTCAAGTGTTTCGCGGAATGGTTTTGAGTTTGACGCGCAGGGATGGCGACGGCTGAATGAGGAGAGAAGATGAAGAGGAGCAACAGTGTGGCGGATGCGAAAACTAGGAAAGAAAGACAAACACGAACGAGCAGAGGCGAAGCAAGTGAAAAGCATGTCTTGTGCACTGAAAAGGCTCTCGCGGGGGAACACAGATTGTCAGTTTGTTGAAGTATTTCAAACCAAGGCCTGGCAATGCCCATGATACCCAAGTGACACCAAAATATCTGAACATCTTTGACACGGGAATATCACTCTCTCACCAGGATGTTCTCTGCTCGAATCTCAGCAAGTCATCATTCTGTTTACCAACAACGCATGCATGCCTCGGTGCATGGCAGTATTCACTCCGAGGGATTGAACATGCATAGAATGAGCCGTGAATTGACGATCGATGAGACCTCGGAGCGGTCAGAAGGAGAGCCGAAAAGAGTAGACTTCAATGAACTTCAAAGCTTTGATGATGAGATCATATTAAGGGCCTCACTATACAAGCTCTCGGAGAGGGGCGGGTGGAGGAGGAAGTTGGTAACACTGAGAACGAGCAGGCTGGAGTATGTTGACGATGATTCGAACAACTGGCTCGGCTTGAGCGTTATGAGGACTGTCATGCTTGATGAGGTGGTTTCAGCCATCTCTCATCAGAGCTCGGAAGAGAAATCATATTTTGCCACCTCTGACACATTGAAAGAAGGCAATTTACGCTTTTCTACTGAAACAGCATGCACAAGGCCACCAAGCGGGTTGAACACAGAATGTGAAGCCTCACAGCGTTATGCCATGTTGTTTGGGTTCACCATATCGACTACATATGAGGGCCATCATAGGGGGAGGAGTTTGCAGTTCGTGTGTCAGAATAACGTTGAAAAGCAGCAATGGGTAGCGGCAATCAATCAAATATTGAATAGACAAAAGAGTTCTGGAAGTACTCCCAAGGTTATAAGTGACTTTGCAAGATTTCGAGCTTGGACGAAGTTGCATTATACGAGTGCGAATTGTCAGATCCTCGTCGCAGCTCTTATCTATTGCAACTTCATGTTGAACATTATTGAATCTCAAGTTCGAAATCCAGATCAGGCTTTATCAAAAATTCTGACTGTGGCCGACACCTTCTTCACTGTCATCTTCACTGTTGAGCTCTTTATCAATATGTTCTCAACCCTGTGGAGAGATTTTCTCACCGACCCGTGGAATTTCTTTGATTTCTTCGTTGTCCTTATCAGTCTTCTGACGCTGTTCCTTCCAAACATCCCTGCAGCAAAGACACTGAGACTGACCAGAGCATTTCGCGTTTTTCGCCTTTTCAAACGAATTCCCTCTATGAGAAAGATCATGCATTCTCTCTTTAATGCTCTACCTGGAATGTTGAACGCCTACGCAATCGTGGCGTTGTTGATGAGCTTATTTGCAATTCAGAGCGTCTATTTCTTCGGCCAAATTGATCCCGTTCACTTCGGGACGTTTTTCGCCTCGATGTTCACATTATGGCAGGTCATCACAGGAGATGGATGGGCAGACATTGTCCGAAATCTTTTCCTTTACACCTCAAGCCCTATTCCCTGTGCGTTATTCTTTGTACTCTTTCAACTTCTCATCACTTTCACTCTCATCAATGTCGTGGTTTGCGTGCTACTCGATGGCTTCACATCTCCCAATCAGTCGGACATTGATCGTGTTAAAAGCTATTCGTTGTCTGACTTGCCGTACCACGAAGTCGCGTTTGGATCTCCTCTCAAAGAGCTTGCGAGATATTTTGTGTTGAAGTGCAGGGATGCAGATGAGCTCGAAATGGCGATCGATTTGTGTTTTTCAAAGATTGGTGGAGGAGAGCCTATAAGCTTTGAAGCCTTGTCGAACGGTCTTGCTCGTTTGCCAGTATCGCCTCCTATCGTCTTCCGAGCGAAGGACTGGATGAGGTACGTGGTCGAACGAAAGAATGGCGTCTTCATCGAGTCACAAATCTTTCTGGACAGAAAAGGCTTTCGCAAGTTTATGTTGCAGTCGGTCAGAAACTTGATATTTTGGCACGTCAACTTGAACGAAATTGATGACTCCTGGACAGCAGATCGTGTTCAATCATTTTTCATCGGCCTGAAGGCTCGAAATTTGATCACTGCAAAGCTCCTGAACAACAAGGAGTACACGGAATATGCGGCGAGGAGGGAGTATGAGATTCGAGTGATCAACGAGAAGAAGGGAATGATCATTGGCACTCTCAATGTCAGACTGCTCCGAGCCGAGGGGCTGGGAAGAGTGAGCGTGAGCGGGCAACCCACAACTTTCATCGAAGTCAAGCTTGGAGCAGAAGTCAGGAAGTCGAGCTGCGTGAGGAGTTCGACAAGCCCTCATTGGAATGAGATCGTCTCTTTCCCCTTGGCAGAGAAGGATCAGGTCGTCGAGCTCTTCGTGTGGGACAGCAGCGGGCTCAAGTGCTTGGTGCTGGTGGGGTACTGCCGGCTCGACATCAGCGACGCACCGAGGAAGAGGCAGGTGAAGCTCTGGTCGAAGTTAGTTGGGCATGAGGCGCACATGATCCCGGACAGCGAGGTGAACGGGCGTCTCCTTGTGGAGTACGAGTACGAGACCTTCTACTCGTCGTCGCCCGAGCGACACAAGCAGAAGCTCTCCTCGGTGTTGGAAGAGACCTCAGCTCAGCTCCAGCTCCTTCAGCGCAGGTTCAACATGGTGGAAGACATGACACGGAATACGTTGATCCAGGAGAGCAAGTATAGGCACGGAATCGGGCGAGTTCCTTCTACTAGCCTACACCAGGAGGGCGAGAGCGCGAGCCGCTTCAGCATCCTTGCTGCTTCTGTCGCTGACACGCAGCTCGCCAAGTCGGATTGAGTCCCGTCACCGTCGCTGCTACGGTTGTTCAGTCTTTGTAATATTCGGACTAACAGTGCTGAGAATGAATCATGGCTGTCCTTAAACTTGACCACTGTCTGATTGCCGGAATCGCCGCCGGCGGCTTCACCGGCCCATCGGGTGACTCAGTGTCCGGTCATGCGGCATCATAGCGCTGAGCCTAGGGCCTAGTAGAGTGTAGCTCGATACTTCGGTGAGGTAATTCAATTTGTTTTATTAGATTAGCCATTTCTATTTTATTAAACGAAGGGTCGCAGGCGAGGCTTCCCGATCTCGAGATACCTGTAACTCAGTTCAAAAGAGAGGTTTTCGTCTCTAAAACTTCTTATGCAGTAATAATAATCTGTGAATCTCTGTGATTCTCTCCACCCCTCATGTCATCAAACTCAAGACCACCCTACCCCAAGAAAGGATCCTTTCTTTGGGTTTCTCTTTCGGTCCAATCTTGCAATTGATCTAATTGCAGCACTAGTGCATTTCACCTCTCCCTGCCCCTCACCTCTGGGCCACGAATCATCGAACCGACGTTTGGGTAGGGGTACTCTGAGCCCTCTAGAGACAATTCCCTGTGCCTGGCTTTGACCACCCTGCCTCGGACCACCCTCTGTAGTTGTAACCCTACCCCTGTGATTTCGTGCTTTGAATCGACCACCCTTCTTTTGCAAAGAAAAACAACTTGTACGAATTTTCAGGGGTACCATTGACCATTGTTCTAATGATAATTCACCACCCCCTCTGAATGATTCTACTGCCCTACCCCCCCTAATAGACGATTAAGGATCAGAACCCACCAAGAACCTGATGACCCACCCAATTGGGGACATCATGTTATGACAGCTCCACCTACCCACCACTACCCACCCTATGTCTCCCCTGGAAGAACTACCCCTCCTCGAATCTATTTATCGAGCTTGTGCGAAATGGCTGGCACGCGAAACCTTTCACCGCCCGTTCCTCCTCGTCGCGTCCTTGTTACTTCCTGAGACTTCAGGTCCTGACATCTTATCACATTTTTACATTCTGCATCTACAAGAGCAACAGCTTCCTGCTTCCTACCATCAGTTCAACACAGACCTCTCTTACACTCGTCCTTCCCCCCCCCCCCCCCCCCCACAACAGCCTTGCTTTCCCGTCGGCTATCCTGCTAGTCGATCGACGCATTTGTGAAGCTTCAGCCCTCAGTCAATTTTGTTGCACTTGAAAGACGATCAGACGTGACCGAGGTTTCATAGAACATTCGAGCCACCATCTGCGATCGATCATATGAGCTCCCGAACAGAGAGTACAGCCGAACAGTTTGATCGGCTAAGGAAATCTTTGATCATCCAGGTGGTCGAGTCTTCGGTCGAGTTTACGGAGGCAAAGCCCAAGACAGCTAGCAAGGGTGACGGCAGGACGGATCAAAACTTCTTCCTCAGGCATGTCGCCAAGGTTGGCGCGAACTCAGCAAAAGATCTCAAAGAATTGTGTCTGGGCCATGCAGTGTCCATGACAGAGGAGCAGATTTCTGCGTCTGGTAGAGCATCCGAGGATGCCGATGAGAATATCGCTTGCATCGAGAACGAGCTCCAGGCTCGCCGCCGCCTGCATCAGTTCCGACAATCGTCCCGCTTCAGCCAGAGCATGGACAGCTTTGCTGCAAGCAAACCACGACGGAAGACGCTGTTGAGCTCGTCGATCGACAACGAGGGCGAAGCAGAGATTCATCAAGTGATACAGAAGAGACCGAGGAAAGATTACAACAGGTGCATCGGCGATATGCTGCAGCAGGAGATGGTATGCGAAGATCAACCCAGCCCAAGGTTGAATGCGGAGCTATCGAGCTCCATGGACTCGCTGTGTATAACATGACATGTCTAGTCTCCCTCCTTGTGCTGTTGTTTCCTCTTGTTGTTGCTTTACCCTCTCTTTGTTTCCTCTTGTTGTTGCTTTACCCTCTCTAAGTGAATTGAAATGCGAACGATCGCTCCTCAAACAGTCTCTTGACGAACAGCACGAACTCCATCTTGGTCACGTGGTGCTTCCCTGCTGTCACGTCAGTGGTCCCTCACAGCATGCGAGCATGCGGCTAACGTTGAATGTCGATGGTCCACAGTAGGTAGAAGACCTGCATTTTCTCTTATCCCCCTCCTCCCTCCCCCACTTCACCACCTTCTCACCCCCCCCTTCCCCAACTTTCCCCTTCCCTCTCCTCGTTCTCTTCCTCCCGGTGCTCACCTGGGTCACATCGAATTGAGGCTTGATCTTGAGGAGAGCCTAGAAAGAAACTCATTGCCCCTCCTACACCCCATGGCCCCCTCCTTTGCAGATGCTGCTCCTCCTCGCTCCTCCCCGCTCCTCGTCCTCGTCCGCCTCTCACCTCCACTGCTGTCTCTGGCGTCACCTTCCCCTTCCCGCTGGGATCAAAGACTGTCCAGCTGCTCGCAAGTGAACCAGAGAAGTTGCATAGAAGAGAGAGGAGAAGAGCGAGGGGGGAGAGAGGAGAAGTGGAGAGGAGAGGAGAGGAGAGGAGAGGAGAGGAGAGGAGAGGAGAGGAGAGGAGAGGAGAGGAGAGGAGAGGAGAGGAGAGGAGAGGAGAGGGGTGAGACGATGACAGGAATAAGGAAAGAGGAAGGGAAGATGATAGAGGGGAGGACAAGAGCAGAGGAGGAGACGTGATGCGGGACTACAGATGCTAATCTACGAGAAACAATCATGTGAAGAGGAGTCGATCACATTTTGTTTGCGATCTCATCCGGAGTAGATCTCATGCTCCTCTTCGCCATGACCTGCAACATCCAGGACGGACTTCAGCAACAAGGAAGCATTCAGGGTCAACATCACCTCTGAGAACTCCTGGAAGGAGATCTTGCCATCTCCCCGCATGTCGATCATCTCGAAGAGCCTCATCGTCTGACAGGTGAACAAGAACAAGTCACGCGGGGGGTTGAGGGCAGCTGCAGATGTTGCAACAAACTTAGAGGTTCCACCTGCTCCTCGTCTTCGTACGCTCCAATGGCCTACAAGGCTCGTCATCGGAAGTTTCCGGCCCACTGCATCTCAACCTGGAGGAGGAGGCGAAATTCTTCGAGATCAAGTTGACCGGACCCTGAGTGGGAGGATCAAGGTTGAAAATACCCGAGCTCCTCACCGTCTCGATCTGCCTCGTCGAAGATCTCCTTCAAGTGCTTCAGGACATGCTCTGACAGGGCTGTGAGTAGAAGCTCTAGTCCATTTCTTGACAAGGTCACCTGGGATCTTGTTGCTCCTCCTCGGATTCCTCTCCAAGCTCCCTGTCATGTCGCAAGTCAACCAGAGGGCTCAAGGGGAACACGCCTCTGACCTCTTGCCACATCCAGACTTCTCCTGACAAGCGTCTCGAAGCTAAAGCGCGATCTACGAGCAGAGTTCAGGGTGAGAGGCGGTAGCAATGTCAGAGCAGCTGCCAGTTCGTTGACAAGAACAAGTCGAGGTCGTTCTTGTTCCTACCTTTCAGTCGGTCGCTTGGAATCCAGAGAGTTTCTTGCTCTGCGATCAACTTCACCCAGAAGAGTTGCAACGATGATTACGAGAAAAATGATCATGAACATAAGTGATAGGCGAACAAAAGTACGATGACAATGATCTTTCAAGTAGCAGAGATGTGCGAAGAAATGTGATCTTAGAGCATCACGTGCATGCACCATGCTGACAATTCTTGCCCCATATTTTTGTTCCTAACCTTTCAGTCGGTCGCTTGGAATCCAGAGAGTTTCTTGCTCTGCGCTCACACCCTCTCAGTGGAACGAACCATTTCGTGCAGCTGCGGGGATGATGATCGTTTTGTTCACTTTAAGACTTACTTGCTTTCCTGGAACGTTTCCATCTCAAATGAATTTCTAGCATCTTGGTCCTTGTCGATGTTGCTGCAATCATCATCATCATCATCGCCACCACCTCCACCCACAACCACCACCACCACCACCTCCACCATTCCAACCACCATCATGAACTTCATCATCACGAATATCTCTTCAACACACCCTCTTGTTCGGCTAGAAGGTCTCGATGTTCCGAGAACAAAGTCGAGATTTCTCTTCTCGTTCCGTGCACCGTCAAGACTTCTCCGACCTCCGATGGTCTTCTCGGTAGACTGAGAGGGTAGGCAGCGAGTGAATACAAGGAGGAAGGCAGTGATTCGATACAACAGAGACAAGAAATAGTAGACTCGCTACCTTCTTGCGCATCCTTTCAAAGTCCAAAGATCTGGAAGAATAAATAGATGAGTGTCGAAACACCCCTCTCCTCCCTCAAGCGTTAAAAAATGACAGCCACAGACTCCTTCTCCTCTTCCTCCTTCATCACTATCTCCCCCTTCTGCCCCTTTTCACCACCACCATCACCATCACCATCACCATCACGTCCTCTTTCTCCTCCTCCTCCTCCTCCTCCTCCTCATATCGTCTTTCACCTCCTTTCGCCTTCTTTGCTTGCCGGCCTCACATTCTCCTCCTCTGCACCAGTGGACAGCAGCTTGAGTTCCTTGATCTGCACGGCATCTCACCGGAGCAACACGAGGCCTCGCAAGACGAACTTGATCGATGACAGAGGCGATGGAGATAAGGAGGCGAAACAGTCGGAGAGTTCTCCTGCCCGACAGCTCTCAGCGACAGCAACAAGCACGAGCATGCCGCACCGGTGCTGCTGCTCATGAATCACGTCCACGATGCACTCCCGAGACTTGTAAAGCCATGGTGAGCGAGCGAGCGAGCGAGGGCGAGCGAAGGTTTACCTTGAGATACTCCACGGAAGTAGCTGTCACAAAGTTGCGGATGATGTTGGTGAGGAGGAGAGTCGTGAAGACCGGAGGGAGGAGGGAGAGGATGAGGAGGAAGACCTGAGAGGAAGGTGAGGGAGGCAAGCGAGTTCAAGCTGAGCTGCGTTACCCCCGTCACTGTCGTCGGGCAAGTCTGATAGGACCCTGACGCCCGTCGCTCCGAGGACCTGGAGAGATGGAGGCAGAGAGTTTTCTCTCGGAAGAGCTCGAGGGAGAGAGCAATCATGACGACCGAGGCGAGGAGGAGGTGACGGATGATGCGGAGGAGGAAGCCAGGACCGTTCTTGTCGAACCAGAAGAGCTCTTGGTGGTGATTGATCACCCTGCCTCCTATCCTCCTCCTCCATTCGCTCCTCTCCTTGAGACTGTTGCTATCTGCCTGCAACAAGTACCTCGGAACAAATCTGCAGGACGCTGTCAGTGCTCCAGCCTCTGCTATGCTCCGGGCCCGGGGACCTGGCGTGCTGCCGGTGGCTGAACTCCTCGTCGAAGATAACTTTGTCATCGTCCGGGTTCGACAAGACGTGGCGGAGGCTGAAGCTCAGCAGCCGGTTGGAGGAGGCAAGCTTTGTTCCCTCGCTGCTCCATCCGTCAGCGATAGAGGGAGGAATATGAAAGTAAAGAATCCGGACTCGAGGGCGGGGTAGGGCAGGGCACGGGAGGGCATGGCATGCAAAGGAAATTGAGGAGAAGGGCGGGAAGGGAGGGAAGGAGAGAGAGGAATTGATGGGTTCAGGGCAAAGGCCGTAGAAGAGAGAGGGAGCAACGAATTTTGACTGGAAATGATCAGTGAGTTTTGAGACTGACCTTGATTGTCCTGCTGACACCGGAGATGAGGGAAGGGCTGACATCGAGAAGGAAGCTGGAAGGTGCCTTGACAAAGGGCCTGAAGAGAGTTTTCTTGTTGCCGGGGGAGGAGGCGATGGAGTTGGATCTGTACCGAACGACTGAAGGTTGGAAGTTAAATGCCACGAGATGGAAACAAGGAGGGAGGGAGGAAGGGAAGGAGGGGAGAATGGAGATAGAGAGAAACGATCTGTAAGAAGCAATGGCTCACAAGAGAGAAGGGAATGACATTCGCACAACATGATCACAAAACTAGAGACAAACGAGCAAAAGAACATCACAACAACGATATGGGTGGAGGCAAAAACTCACTTGTCCTGTGACTTCGATGGCGATCTGAATCTCATCGTCTAGATCACATTCGGTGATCTCACCCTTCTTCTCAACCATCTCAGAACTTTGGGCTCCGTTTCCTTGGACAGCTGCATCTTTGTTCACCTCCCCATTCCCTTCCCTTCCCTCTTGCCCTTCCGCTCGAGCTGCACAGCCTTGCACGTCCTGGTTCTGAACCTCCACCGCTCGATGAGATTTCATCAGCGCTCCGTCAAATTGAGAGGTAAAGAGAGAGATCTCCTGCGTTGAGGACGAGACCTCAAGCTTGTCTGCTGCACTCTCCCCGTCTCGTCTCGTCTCCTTGCTCTGCTCCTCCTCTTTCCTCTCCCCATTTTGATCCCTAAATTCCTGCCCACCACACCCATTCTGCCTCTTTGCGGCCATTCCATCTTTTCCTCTCCCTTCATTGTTCGGATCCACAGGCACCAGGGCGAGCATGATGGTGTGGAGCTTGTAATCGACAGCGAGGGCGAGGAGGAGGAGGAGGATATCGTAGATCCAGAAGCACACGTATCCTCCATCCGTTGTGCTCTCGCCGGCATTGACATACCAGGCGATCCACGCGACGAAGGAGAGGAGGAGGAGGACGAGCCAGTCGAGGGGGGAGATCTGAATGATAGCGGATATAATAGCGGAGCTTCGCTTCATCAAGTAGAGCCCGAGGTTGAAGTCCTTGGGGATCTCGACCTCGCTGTTGGACAGCACTGCCTCCACGTCCACAAACCTCGAGAACACCCGCAGGAACACCTCCATCTCGTCTCTCCTGCTCGTCCAACGCATCCACCCAAGCCTCGGCTCGTGCTGCCCGACATTGGGCGAGAGGTGCAGCACGTCGACCCCCTCCTCGATCTGATCCGACCAGCTCTCGTACCGCCTCAGCTGGGAGAGGTTCACCCGGAGGAGGAAGAGCGAAAGGCACAGGAAGGTGGCTGTAACGCCGAAGAGCAGCCAGTGCATGTGCTCGAACATGTTGTGCAGCTCATGGCCGAGGCTGATGGAGTACCCGACCTTGTCCATGAGAGACTTCTGCATCCCAACAAACTCGTCATAGCCCATAGCAACGACCCGCCCCGCTCACCTCGCTGCTGATGGAGAAGTTGAGCAGGAAGGCGATGAGGGAGACGAAGCCCAAGGTCGACAGCTCCGCAAAGATGGCATGAATAACAGGCATGTACGCCTTTGGAACAGCGTGATGGATCATGTTCTGCACTCGACAGTCACAAACTTCTCTCCAGCACCTCGTGGAGCAACAATAACCTTGATCTTTTCGAAGATAATGATGATGGAGATCAAAAACATGAAAAGAATGAAGCTTGCGGGGCTGGAGTGAAAGTAGAAAACACGCAAACACAAGGCAAGCACAAGATTCAGTGCGAGAGCAAAGCAAGGGAACCGATCACCTTGCGTCATACTTACAGACGGGTTTGGACCCGGGACCCTGCTTCCATATCAGATGAGATTCTCTCCCTATCCACGAGTCACCTCGACGAAAGTCCCCCCCGAGCAAAGGTATCCTACGCACTGTCAGACATGCTTGCTAGGTGTCAGAAGAATTTCTTCAACCTGGTCCCAGGCAGACTTTGCCTCCATCGAGGCTTTGATTGATAACACAGCTCATTGGCCAACGAAAACTTTCAGCTCCTTTGAAGCAATCCGAAGAGCGTTCTTTCACTCAGCTCTTCTTCTACCTGCTAACTTTGCACAGGATCCTTTGTAAATGTCTGCGCCAGACATTTCGGCAGCCATCAGCCATGGCAAACCTGCATGTTGCTGTGCAACTTCCCCCGATTGCTCACAGGCCGGACGGAGCACTTCGAGCTCCTTCCATCTCAGCAGCGGGGCAGGGCGACATGTCGCATGCTGTCCTGATCTCGTTCACAACCATCATGGTCGATGAGATCTACCTTCACTCCTCCTCCTCCTCTCTCTCTTTCCCTCTCTCTCCCTCTCTCTCCCTCCCTCTCTCTCTCTCTCTCTCTCTCCCTCTCTCCCTCTCTCTCTCTCTCTCTCTCTCTCTCTCTCTCTCCTCTCTTTCGCTCAGCTTGTTTTCACGAGCCTTCAATGACCACCGCCATGGGGAATGTCGTCTACTCTATCGGGCCGTGGACAGTGCAAAAAAACCTGTACAGAATCGCTGATGACCGGTAGTCATGACTACCATAAAGTACAATATCATTGGTGGGGTACCAAGCTGTTCTCCATTGAATTTTCCTCAATTCCCGGAAATGACCAGAAGCGGTTACATTAATAACGGAGTACACAACTCGGGCCGGGCCCGGGGCCCGGGGCCCGGGGCCGGCCAAGTAACTCAGCAGTGGCCCGGCTGAGTCCCTTCAACTAAAAATCCTTCCCCAACTTCTTCCCCCTCCCTCCCCTTGCCCTCCCTCTAGTTGGAGGCCCCACTGCTTGCTGCCCTCCTGCCTCCTTCGTCCACGCTCCCTCCGACACTCTCCTTCCTCCCAACCTTTCCTTTCCCTCTCTTTTGTTGCTTCATCATCTTCTTCTACATCCGCACAGACCTGCTTCCCTGACACTTTGCTCAACTCCTGTCTCGGCATTGCCAGCACATGCAGGTGATAGATTGAAGTTTCGACCCAGAGCCTCCCACTGCCTCCATCGCCTCGACAACTCCTTGTAGGAGGATGCCGTTCAAGGATGAGAACGTCAAGAGGCAACGACAGAAACAGCTCAAGACTGTTGAGCGGGCCCAGACAAAGGAGCTGTTGCATGCCCTGGACATGCTGGTTCCCTTCAGAGAGCGCAACGATCGCGCCCTCAACGGAGTTTTGAAGTCAAAACGGAGCAACTTGCACCTCCTTGAGGACCTAAGGGAGGCATTGAAATCAGCGCAGGAGAGCACTAGGGGGGTTCGTGCATTCCGGATACCCGCAGGGCTGCTGAGGGAGGGGATGCTGAGTAGTCGATCAGAGAGACTGGTGGTTGTAGAGATGCCTGGCTGGAGGGTCGTGGACGTGAGTTGCAAGATGCAGGCGGACTTTGATAGCGGTCTGATGTTCGGACAAGTGGTGAGGGGGGGGGAGAGGGAGGAGAGAGATGGACGCCTGACTTGAGATCTCAGCGAGGACAGTGTCTCCTGCACTTCATCGACGAGAGGGACAGACACAAGCTGCACGAGCTGTCGAGGCACGCGAATGGGAGACGGAGGAGCAAGAAGGCAGTAGAAATGGGAGTGAAGATGCGATTCTTCTCCCCCAACAGCATAGTCCACAGAGCCTGTACGCTCAAGATGTGGCAGGACGGAAGGGATGGGAAGATGGTGGTGTGGGTAGAGGGGAGCTCGGCTGTGATTGAGGCTGAGGACTGGCACTCAAGGGACTTGACGAGCCTTCGCGGAGTCTTGCACTTCGACAGCGAGCTGTCAAGATCGACACCTTGGCACATTGACAGGGCGATGAGATTCCTTGTGAAGAGGTAGAAGAGGGAGGGACGGAGGGAAGAAGGAGGGATAGGTGGGTAAGGGATGAGAGAGGAAGGGAGGGAGAGAGGGTTGGTCGGTGAGTGGAAGAGAAGGGGAGGGGGGAGAGGGGTTTGGGAAAGGATAGCAAGGCAAGGAGTGGGAGGGGTGGAACGAGTGATATGGGGGTGGGAGGAAGGCAGGCAGAAAGTAAGGGATGAGAGGGTTGAGGGAGGAAGGGAGGGGGAGCGAGGCTCTTTGACGTGCTGACTGGGATGATGCTGAAGTCACACGGGGCTTCTGACGCGGCTGGTGCCGGTGCTCGAGAGCTCAGACAGCAGCTCTTCGGTGCTGGAGAAGATGGCCAAGTACACGGGAAGCACTTTAGGTGGGGCAGGCTGACCCGCATTGATCGTTGATGGTGATGGTGGTGAGCCAGACAACTTGACAAGCGCCCTTGGGAGGATGGTCATGCTGCACGCCGAAGTCCACCTGACCATCGAGCTGGATCATCACACGCACCTCCCTGTCGCGCACGTGCATGCAAGGATCCGACTGCCGCACGTGAGGACGCGGGAGCTGTCTTGTCCGATCCCCCTGGATGAGCCGTCGGTGCTGCAGGTGTTGGGAGCGTTCCGCACCCCTTGGAAGAAGCTGCTGCGCGCTTCGACTCAGGATGACTTTGGGCCCTCGTTGTGCGGTGAAGCGACAAGTTGACAACCTGTGCGCTGGCTGATGAAGTTGTAGACGCGAGTCAGATAGTGCGATTCATCCCGAGCGTTGACGAGGAGACGAACGAGTTCTGCTTCCTGGCCTACTTCATTCGGCGAGAAGATATGTGAGCAGTGGGCGGGAGGAGAGGAAGGAGGAAGGAAGGAGACGAGGAAAGAGGGAGATGAAGAGGGGTTGGAGGATGACTGATGGAGAACAGGGTATGTTTTCATTCCAGGAAGTTGCAGTTCAACGACAAGAGGATGGAGCAATCAGGGCAGGTAAAGAGACGAAAGAGAGAATGCATGCTCGTCTTGTCGACATTTTCTTGTGTCCGTGTTTGAGGCAGTGACATGTGTCAACGCAAAGTTGACACGTGTCCTCCAGGTGTTCGCCGACGCTTGGGAGGTGAGAGAGAGAGGGCGCCCCGTGCTGGAGGAGAGAGGAGGGGCGAGGAGGATGATGGTTATGGTCAGGCGCCCTACAGCTTCTCGTACACCATGTCTCGGACAGGGGAGGAGGCTGATCGGGTTCTGCTTGCTCAACTCGCAGAGGAGTCGGGGGATCATACAGATTGGATGTAGCAGAGCAGAGGAGCGAGGCGAGAGGTGGGAGAGGGAAGGGAGTGAAAGAGCAGAGCGAGGTTGTAGCGGGGACCGATTGTATATATTCATGATTACAAAATGTAAAGTATTCAACAACAGAACGAGGGTCAGGAGAAGAGGCAAGGATTCAACAAGGACTAGGGGTTTGAAGTCTTCAAGAATCAATGTTGTGTATTCGATCAATCGTTAAATTGCAGAAAATCATTCCAAGTGAAGGCAACGACAAGCTCTCAGGAAGTGAGGAGCGCAACCACGAGAGTCTGACAAGACTAGTTTTCCATCTTTCTGAAACTTCTGCTTGCAGCTATCTCTGTTGTCGACCATTTCAAAATTTCCTTTATTTGTTCTCCATCTCAGAGTCGTCAAGGTGCTTGAACTTCTCCTGAAGAAGACTTCAGCCCCTCTTCCTTCTTACCTCTTCTCCTCCCTCTCCCTCCCTCCCTCCCTCCCTCCCTCCCTTCACAAGCTGCTCCTCACCCCCCTGTGCCCCTCCCTTTCTCCGCTCCCACCCCTTCATCCTCGTCCTTCTCTATCACCTTCCGTGGGAGAATCGTAACCTTGTCTTGCTCCGAGCTCTTCTCCTTGGGCTGCTCGTGGGCTGCCTGTCGCTCAACAAGTTTCTCATCTGCCGACTTGCTCTTCTCGATGCTGCTTTGAATCTGAGGGAAGAGGTTCAGTTGCGCCTCCACGACCTTGATTGCCCTCACCGAAGAGAACTTCTCTTCGAAGGACTTGGCACTGTCATGTGACTTGCCTCCCTCCTCCGAGTGTCTGTGCAACACGCTTGACCGCTGGTTGAACGACCAAGATCAGAGAGCGAAGCGACATAGTTTCTCTCACCTCCAGCAGTTTGGCATGGGGCTCGTCCGATTCTTTCTTGTTCAGGGATGCCGAAGACGCGGAGACTTCTTGTCTGCCAACCTCCTTGCCTGCCTCTTCTTGCCTTGAAACTTCTTTGCGGAGATGCCGAGGGGCAAGCTGTTGCGCCTCCTCTGGCCTAGAGGCTTCCTTCCGGGGAGCGTCTAGCGCTTCTTTGCGAGCAACTTCTTGTCCAGCAACCTCTTGCCGACTGACCTCCTTGCGAAGTGGCCGAGGAGCTTCCTGCTCAGCCTCGTCTTGACGATCCTCGTCCTGATGCGACATGCTCTGCGATGCCCTCGACTTGCGCTCCTCTCCTTCCTCCATCTTCTTGAGATGGCTCTCCGCATGCATCTCCTCCTCCGTCTTGCCTGAGCTCTGCTTCTGCAAGCCCTCCAGCCTGTCCGTCGCTGCATGCTGTCCGTCTGATCGCTGTCCATCTGATCGCTGTCCGTCGGCTGACTGCCCAGGTGCCTCTCGATCGTTCATGGCGGTAAAACTCTACAACTCTCAGGGTCAGGATACCTTCAGTCCTCCTCTCTCACAACTGACCTGCTGTTGTGCGTCCTCCTTCCTCAGGTCGGAATCTGCTTCCGCCATCTTCGCTTGCTCGACTCTCTCCTGCTCCTTCAGCTTCTCCAGGTGGATCTTCGCCTCGGCTTCATCCTCCGTCATCCCCTCAGCCATCAACTGCTTCTTCTCCAGACGAGCCTTGATGTCCTCCTCCGACTCGACGGGCCTTTGGACCGCAGCGCCGTCGTCCACAACGTCGGACTGACTGTCTGCTTGTTGAGCTTGCTCGCCGAGACCCTTGAAGCGCAGCAACCAATCAGAACAGCATCATGAGGGCCGAGAGGACAGAAGAGTAGGAAGTGAAGTTAAGGGAGTTGGGAGCGGAGGAGGTTTGAACTCGACAGATTATGGAAATACCTGCGAGGAGTAGTCCTGTGGATAACCTTCCTGTTCTGCGTTCCTCTTGAAGTTCTCTTCAAGGTTTTCGAGCCTGTTCTCGGCATTGTGCACCATCTTCTCCTCCGCCGAGTTCGAACCTGACACTCTCATTCACTTTCTGCCGCTCACGAGCCCTCAGGCATCACTACCCGCCGCGGGATGGGAGAACACGTTGGAAGCAGGAACATGAGCAGGAGGGTTATGGTGGGTTTGCACGAACTGGGCTTGTTTGGGCTGCACCAGCATGACACGAGGTTGGCTGGCCTTTTCCGATGGGCTCCACACCATGACGAGAACGAAAATCGCAAACATTGCCCCACCTTGCAATCATGTCAGAGTTGAACCTCCCCACTCCCCACGGGGCATGCATCTTTTAGAATAATCGGATCATATCAATCCATGGCACGTAAGATCACCCAGAATGACAAATTAACATACATGAAAGTCCAAAGGCAAAGAGGCATGCAGCTCATCATTTGATTTGCAACAGACAAGCCCAACAAGCGCAAAAGTTCTTTCAGTCACCAGTTGCAATGGATGCCCAGTTTCGTTGGTTCTCTTTGTCAGCACTGGTTTGATTGTGATGGTTGGCAGGTGTTTTCTTCGTTGGTGCCTCTCCTTCTTCCATCGATCCAAACTCCAGATCGTCCTTCTTGTGTTGAAAATCTCCTTTCCTTTAAACCGTCCCATCAGACTTCAACAAAATGCGAGGTCGACATTACTTCCTCTGCACATTATTATTCGGTGCATTTTGGTGATTTCCGGATCGGAGCATTGTGAGCTCTGCCAAAGATATTCAGGAAATACCCACAAAATGCAAACCAAGTTGTAACAACCAAGTCAAAAAAGGAAGCATTCATACTACACTCCGCGATTTGCACAGATGTGACCTGCTGGCTCTCATACATTATTACATGAGCTGGTTTTCGTTTTGTCACCAACTGCTCTACAATAGCTATCACCCGCCTACTTCCGTTTTCTGATCTTGAAACGCCCATCTACACTACCCAACAAAAGCAGATCTTTCTCACTGCTGTTTGCTCCAAATCTTCTTCATTGCCCCCCTCTCCCAGCCTCCTACTTCTCCCTTGCTCAGCTCGGCTCCCTCCACACTCGCAAGAGAGCCCCTCAGCTGGCTTCCTCGTCAGCTGTCTCCTCCTCTCTTCATCTCCTCTTGAAGTACTAGATCGTCCTTCTCCTCTCCATTGTATGCCATCCTGGGTCCCTCCTCGCCCCGCCCCTCCCTCCCTTCCTCCTTCCCGTTCCATTTCCCGCCCCCACCGCCTCCTCAGCTCATCCTCTCCAACGCCAGGGTACCGTTTGATTGACTAATCACTCCAGTACTAACCTAAAATACTTTTAGTTCCCCACCGGTACTGAGATCCGTCCTTGTGACTACCCCCACCCGCCCTTGCAACTTTCCATTTGCTATTCCGATGTACCCTGTATCACTTTCAGAAAATATAGTCATGGATATATGAAATATGCAACTAGTACCCACCTTGATGATCCTACATCGTTCCTGCACAAATGTTGGACCCTACATCTCCTCACTACCCCACCTCCTTCCACTCCCCCAGCAGTGATGGACGTACTCAATTATTCGTTGTTAGGCCTCTGCCTGAGGCGGGCCCTCGACCGCCAACCCACCCAGTCCAGCTGACCGGGCGGCGGCGTGTGAAGGGCCCGCCCGGCGGGCTCCGCGGCCACGCGCGCCGGGAGCGGCCGGGCCGCTCGAAAACCGGGTCAGGCTCAGTGCGGCAGTCACGCCGCCGGTGCCGCGCAGTGCGCCACTGATGATCGGCAGCCCGGCCGCGGGGGCGGGCCGCCGGCCGCCCGGGCCGGGGGCACTGAGCCTCCGCCTCGGCGGAGGTGTGACGCCGGGCCCGACCGCTGAGAACTGAGAGGCGGCCCGGGCCGGGGGCCCTCAGCCTGGCAGGCAGCCTGGGCTGCCGCGGCCATTGAGTGGCAGCCGGGACGGAACTTTACCGTACTGTCACAGTGACGATGCTCAGCGGCTCCCCCGCCCCCCCCGCCGGGGCCGCCAGGCTAACTTGAACCCCCGCCTCAGTCCCGCCTCGCCGGATCGGATCACCCCATCCCGGGTGCCGGCCGCCCGTCACCCGTGGGGCCCCCGCGCGGCGCCGGGCCGCGCACCGCGGCACCGTGCCCCCAACCGGGCTGGCCCGGCCGGCGGCCGGCACTCAGCCGGGCAATCATTCATCCGGATCCGATCACCATGGCAGTTATACACATGTAACGGTTAAACAAAGGATCTCGATTCCCCCAAGTGGAGGAACAATCACCTACACAATGTAGGTAAGATCATATCCGAAGGGGTGGGGTAGTGGGAGAAGGTGGGGTACAAAGAGGGGAAGGATGGGGTAAAGATCGTTTTTGTGTGATGACAGGAGGGGTTGTAAGGATACATCGGTAAAAAGAAGGGTAGTTGGTCTACCCACCTTAGCAAATTACAGCAAAATGGTCTAGTCGATGGGGGTAGGGATATGGTCGTTATGGAAACGTTACGTACATCCTGCTACCGTAACGGGTCGATGGCGTAATGGGAGGAGGGGTAAGGTCGCTCATCCGCTTGGCGGTGGAGAGCCGAAAGCTCCTCCTCGATGAGAGGAAGGGATCCGCACTTGTGCCTCCAGGAGAGCGCAAGATGGTGGTGGACGAGCTGGAAGATGAGCCCTCCCACAGTAGGGCCGAGGCGATGGGTCACAAAGACTTGGCGGCTTCGAGGGGTGCCTCCTGTGCGAGAGAGCAGGAGGAGCATCGTAGAGAGCCTTTGCAGCCTGAGATCAGAGCCGACACCAAGAAAGATGGAAGGCAGCATGATAACGTGCCAGTTATGAAAAGAGAGCCAGCGAATGAGCATGGGGCTCAAGAGCCCCAGCCATCACCACGTGCTCATGTCACAGGCCGTGAAGGTCTGGAGACATTTAGCACGACAAGCATGGAAAGCCCTTTGCCACAGTCCAAGATGGAAGCGGAAGCGTCCTCCAAAGGTGCTCATCGTGGGGAGAGCGAGCTTTCTATCCTTGGTCTCAGCATAGTTCGAGGTCGAGATTCGCAACTGTTTAACCATGAAACCTCCCAAAATCTTGAGTTTCAACTCAATTCGTTTCGAGACATGTTGATGAAGGTGAACTATCTTAGTTTGCGGCAGCAGGAAGGTTTTTGACGAGCCTTGCGTGACTTGCAGGAAGTTGGAGCTCGTGAAGCGTTGGAAAGTCGGCTGGAGAGGGCCTTAGCCGGTGAAGCAAGCCGAGGTAGGACAAGTCACATGTTGTGACCTGGACTGTCCTATCTGCCTTGCTTGATCGACAACTATGAAATTTCGATGTTTTTTCAGAGCTAGTGGTGACTTGCTGCGTTAGCAGGCATATCGCTCGACGTATCTGTGGAGAGGGCGAAAACGCTCAAGTTCTTCAGGCAGTACCTGAGTCGCAGGATGTGCTTCCGATGGCAGAACAGAGCAGGAATGATTGCCTTCCGCAAGTGGTTCATGGAATGGCGCAGCTCATGCCTGCATGACGTGCATGCACAATGTGAAATCCTGAGTGGAAGGGAAGGGCAAGGGGAGGATGCTCCTGGGGGCAGGTCGTCAGCTGAAGGCAGGGAGGCTCAGGCTGCGGCCTGCTGGTCCTCTGTGGACGAGATGTGCTCGACTGAACCTCTTCCTCTTGCTTCTGTTTCGACCCAAACGTGGGATGTAAGGATGGACGAGGGCGACGAAGATAGTTTCGAGGCACAAGGGACGGTGTCGAGGCGAGGGGAGGGATTTTCCAATCGCTTCCACGATCCTGATTTGCAGGACTCGGAATGCCAGACGGTGGACCGTGAAGTTGTAGACGCCGAGGCTCAAACACCTCAGAGCCTGGACAGCAACTTGTCCGAGACGGTCACCCGCCATTTGCAGCACGAATCTTCTCAAACAGAAGCTGTGAATGTCGCCGATGAATTGCACGTCATGCACAGAGAACGTCAGACGAACACTCAGGGCACCCACGTAGAAATTCAGACTGTGCGGAATCACAACGACGAGATGACGACGCAGACCGAGACTTCCGATCTTGTCGACATGTCTGCTCAAACAGCCCTTGTCAACATCACCGATCAGTCTGCTCAGACCACGACGGTACTCAACAATGCGATCCACACGCAGACCATTGCGGTCGAGCATGCGGATGAGGACCAGATTGACGTGGCTCGAGGACCTCTCCCTCCTCCCCGCGAAGTCTCAGAGACCTTCGCTCCTGTCGCACTGGGCGCCTCTAGTCCCTCGCTGTCGGGCGACCTCGACCTCTCCCTGAGGAGCAAGAGGGACGACATCTCTCCCATTGCGAGGTCATCTGAGACGAACTTGCTCTTTGACGAGGTGAGTCAACAAGTTGCTGCCTCCTCCTCACCTTCAACTTCGACGCCCCCGACTGCCTCGCTGGTTGAGCCCAGCAGCGCTGACGCCCTCCAGCAGGCGGAAAGGAGCGTGACATGGTGCGTGGAGAGGCTGCAGGAGCTGAGGAGGGAGCACCACGAGGACGCGCATGTGATACAAGAGATCGAGCACGTCTTCCTCCACCTCCTCCCCGTCGCCAAGGTTCTGGAATCCGTTGCTTGCCTGTGGCCTTACTGGGATCTTTGCAGCTAACGGCTGAGGCGGGTGAGGCGGACAAGCAGCATGCTCTCGCTGAGGTAAGGAGGAGACTTTCCTCTCCCTCCACTCCCTGGCCTGAAGTCTGACGCTCGCGCTGTTGCAGCCGCAGAAGCTCAACGAGTTTCTCCATGAGGACGAGAGCAGGTGATGAAGTTGGATGGAGTGCAGGAGGAGAGAAGGAGGGAGGGAGAGCAGGAGGAGACGGAAAGGTCCACACAGCAGACACGTTGACCTGACCTGTTCATGGCAGGGGGGAGTCAGCGGCGTCGAACTACAGCACAGTGAGGAGAGAAGATGATGACGACAAGTTCCAAGCCAAGGATGTGGAGGTAGACAGCTCGTCGAGCGATGAGGATGTCGAGAGCGGGGGAGAAGTGGAGAGTGGCGATGAGAAGTCCGAGATGAAGAAGATGGTTCAACGAGTGAGAGACCTCGAGGATGAGCTCATGTCCAGCAAGCAAGAGTTGGAGATGGAACGGAAGAAGAATGCGGGCGTGGTTCGCGTCAGGGACAATGATGATGATGAGAGTGATCGGGAAGACATTGGTCAAGACCTTGTGAAGAAACTCCAACTCGACATCGAAGAGGTTGATGAGAAAACTCTTGAGACGCCCTGCTTTACATGTCAGCAGATGAACGTAAAGCTGATTGCGATGGCAGAGAAGAATCGGTCTTTGAGCTCTCAGGTACCTGTCATGATCATCCATGGAAAACCTTGCAAGATGTGCTGCTTTGCCTGCCTGCCTGCCTGCCTCTCATCGCTGCCTACTGGAGTCAATGGAGAGGAGGCGTCACAGTTTGAATGCGTCAAACCCTCTTTGACTCGTTGGGCTGCTGGAGCTGAGGGCTGACGGTGAGGAACTTGGGCAGGTCGAGCGACTGGCTGAGCTGCTTCAAGAGAGCAACAGCGACTACGAGGAGCTGCTGCAGGAGCACGAGAAAGATCTTCACAAGTCTTCCATCGCTCTCAATGTAGCTGCTGGGCTCCAGCTGAGAGGGAGGGCGGGGAGTAGGCCTGAAGGGAGGGGCTTGGGGATAGTTGGGGAGGGAGGGTGTGCATACACCAGGGAGGGAGGGAGGGAGGGAGGGAGGGAGGGAGGGAGGAGAAAGGTTTTGGCTCGACAATGTCTTGATTGATTGTTTAGGCTGCTTTGACGGCAGCCCAGCACGTGGGCAACATGAAGGCAGAGGCCATGATGCAGGTGAGGAGGAGTAGGAGGAGCAGGAGGAGCAGGATGGAGGGGAATGTGGGACAGCCTAGTCTCTTGTGTTGTTGTTTTGATTCGTTGGCGATGAGATTGACCGGATGGACTGAGCAGGAGCTGGTGATACTGAGGCGCGAGAAGGAGATGAAGGAAATCTTGTCGGGACAAGAAAACAACGCAGAGGCGATGGAGGAGCTGGAGGAGAGAGAAGCGAGGAGGGAGGAGAGGAGGAACAGGCCAGGGGGCGAAGCACTCGATGCTCACATGATGTCAAGTATGAAAGATGAGATCGAAAAGCTCCTTGCAAGAAGGTAACAAGCAGAGTCTCCTTCCTGCCCCTCGCTTCCCTGCTCGCTTTCCTTTTTCTCTCTGCCTCTTCATCGTCTGCTGTTCTCATCGACTTGCGTAGGGCCAACGACCTTCAAGCGATCGACGAGCTACTTCAGCGACAGGCTGCCAATCAGCTGCAGGAAGACCAACTGCGTGAGGTATCTAGGGTTCTCACTTCTGTCGCCTCCTCTCCTTCTCTTCTCGTTCCTTCGTTGTTTCTCACTCCTAGTTTCTCGTCTCAATGTCAGCTCAATTCCCCTTCTCCTTCTTTCGTCCTCTCTCTCTCCTCTCTGAAATTCTTCTCTTGCTTTCACAGGAGAATCGACAACTCAAGGAAGAAATGAAGAGGCTGAGAGAGGAGCCGTCCCAGGTGTGTTTGCACCTGATCTGTTCTGCTTGCAAACAAACCCCCCCCACTCTTCATATTCACCCTCATGTCTTCAGCTGCGCGATCAGGAAACGCTTCAGACGGTTCAAGACTTGCAACAAGAGATTGAAAGAGAAAAAGATGTCAGTATCCGTTTCTCTCATCCTCACATCCAACGACTCTTCTCCTTTGTTCCTTCTATTCTCTTCTTGTCACCTTTCTTACATCTCATCTCATCTCCTCTCCTCTCATCTCATCTCATCTCATCTCATCTCATCTCATCTCATCTCATCTCATCTCATCTCATCTCATCTCATCTCATCTCATCTCATCTCATCTCATCTCATCTCGTCTCGTCTTGTCTCGTCTTGTCTCGTCTCTTCTTTTCTTTTCCTAACCATCTGGGCAGATTCACTCCAACCTCAGCAAGCAGAACGCAGAGATCGCCCATCGCCTGCAAGTGGCGCTCAACAAGCAGAAGCAGCTTCAGAGCGACAAGGACAAGGCGGCAGAGGAGGAGGCAAAACTCGCGGCAGAGCTAGCAGGAGCACTCTGCGAGGCTCGCGGGCTGAGAGAGGAGCTAGAGGTCCTCCGGAGGAACAGCCTCCACCACCAGCAGCAGCAACAACAGCAGCAGCAGCATGAACAGCACCTCATGGCGGGGGATGTAGATCTTGACGACACTGAGGCGATCCTGCAGCGAGGAGACGCGGAGGAGCTGGAGATGCAGCTGAGACTGGCCGTGAGCGAGATCATGAGGAGGAGGGCAGAGGGAGGGGGAAGGTCTCCTGGGCCCGCCAAGGAGGAGGCAGAGCGGGGGCATGCGGGAACTTTCATGGACAATTGGGAAAGCAGGAGGTGCTGCAGCTCTCGTTGGGCCGGAGGATTCTGACGCTGATCCCCTGCAGGTTCTCAGGAGCTCTGGACGAGATAGAGGAACAACTGGCGAGCTTGGAGGGGCAGGTGATGAGGGAGGCGACGGGAGGGCGTCATGCTTCTCATGTCAGCTTCGCCAGATCCTCTTGTCGCTGCGGGGGGAGGTTGAGGGGGTGAAGGAGCAAGTGAGGCAGAACAGACATGCGATGGAGAAGAAGGTGCAGGAGCTGCTGCTGGAGAACTCCCTCTGTCGTAGTCACGCCCGTCAGCTCGAGCAAAGTCTGACGAGCCCGCATGAAGGCCGGGGGGCCGCTGGCTCGGGGCATGCGGACTGCAGTCGTTGCGCGCGGACAAGGGAGGAAGCGGAGTATGTGAAGGAAGCCAACGCTAAGAACATCGAGATGCTTACGGTACCTTCCGTTCTCCTCTGACCTCTCCTCGGATCCTTCTGTTTGCCCTTCTCTTGTCCCCTTCTCGCCTGATGCTCCTCTAGCTGCTGCTGCCCTGACTGTGTCGCAGGAGATGCTCAACGACACGCAGAACGAGCTGGAGAAGTGGAGGACTGCAGCACTGCCGGGCAACGACAAGATAAGGAAGAAGCTCCTTGCCGAGAGCGGCTTGTAGGCTGCTGTCATGTAAAGTTGTACATACAAAAATGGGGAAGGGAGCTGTAGCTTGCTGTAAAGTGATTAAACCATTCAGACTGCATTCCTTACAATGTTCGATCAGGCTAAGTGAACTCGCTCGGGCTCTGTCTGCACTTCCTTGCTTTCAACCTCGGAGGACATGAAAGGCAGTTTCAGATTGCCGAACCAACCCGCCTCGCCCTTCTTCTCCTCCCCCTTCTTGTCTCCAAAAAAGTTAGGAAACTTGAAGTCATCGCCCTCGGCCTTCTCTTGCCTCTTCTCCTGCTCTGCCCCACCTGCCTCAAACATCTCAAGCAACGGATCCTCCTTGTTGCTATCCGCCCAAGACTTCGCAACCTTGTCGCCCTTGTCCCACTCCATCCTATCTAACTCTGGAAGCTTGTGTGCTGGAAACCATCCATCCCCCGGCGATTCTGCAGCCTTCAAGATGTCTTCGTTCTCCAAGAGCTGCAGAAAAAGGTTCATATTGTAAACACAAAACACCTTCACCGAAAGACCGCACCTCAAAATCTTGACACTGGTTCGCAGCAGCTCTTGAAAGAATGGCTTTTGAGAGAGACATTACACTGACGCTGGCATCGGTAGGATAGAATACTTCCAGGGCCTAAAAAGTCTTCAGACGAATCACTTGATCCAACGTCACACTCACTGGAACGGCAAAGAACGCCGTGAGCGCATCCCCGACACTGTTGACCTTCTTGCCTCGCAAGAATCCGGGGCGGTATATCACTAACCTCTTGAATCCAATCTCGGCTATTTCTTTTTCTGCTGCACCCTTTGCCTGCAAATACCCTGAGTTCCCTCTCCCTGCGGGATGATCAGATATACCTTAGAAAATGCCAAGTGGCTTTCTGATTCAGCGTTGGCCGACGACAGCAAGTGAAAGTGGAGGCATCCATTTGCGACCAATGCTTTTGCAAGATTGACCACTTGAACATGGTTTGTCTTCTCGATTTCCTCCAACCCACTTGGTCCCAATTTTTCCAGAACACTCCAAAACCCGTCAACTCCTGCCTCCTCTTTGACATGCCTGCAATGCAACAAAGGTCATGCGATAGCCGGTGACGGCTCTCAAGTATTACCCTACAAAGCAAAACGCGACATCGTAACCAGCGAGAGCTTCTTCATCAATATGATCGAGGTCGATCATTATCTGCTTCACGGATTCTACTCTTCTTCCTTGATATTCTACAATACTCTCAGTATTTGCAATCATGATCTCCTCGAAAAAGTCAGTCTGACAGATATCATGAACGAGCTGTCGACCCGCCTCAATCCCTGCTGGTTGTTTTCCAAGCACCACTAGTGCTCGCTTCAAACGGTCGTTGGAAACCGTAGACAGACCATGGACAACACGAACTCGTACAACATTCTGACTCTCAGTGTCCTCTGTTGCTGCTGGCTTGGGGGATTCAAAGCTATTCAGCTTCAAAGCCGCTGCTCCTTCTGGCTCTGCACTGCGACCATTTCCGACAGCAGCCCTCGACATGCTGTTCTCCTTCTGAAGTTTGTTACCCGCAGCGTCAGTGGTTTCCAACGAATCGTAGAACATCGTCTGACCGCCGAAGAACTGGTCAAACCCCTCCACATGCAACTCCTCCGGATCAACTTGCCCTTGCGCAACCACATCTTTCTTCCCAGCGATTCCGAAGAGGGTGTCAAATTGGCATGCGTCAGTCGGGATGATCGGCTCATGTTCATCATTAACAGCTGGCACGCCACCGCCTGCAGCTGCTCCTCTGGACTCGTTTGATGCTGCCGCAGCTGTTCCTGCGTTGTATGACATTCTCCTCCTTCAAATGTTATACAATATCACAACATAAATATTCCCGCCACTGCTGATTCCGGCAAAATCCTGTGAAAATTGTCACGCGACTTGAAAAAATCGGGAACAGACTTTTTCCTCTTCAAGGGTAAAAGAACAATACGATATACAGGATTACAAGCATGAACACGAATCAACTTTACCATCTTGAATCATTTTCTGAAAGTAAAACAGATTCATTCAGTTCTTTTCATAATCCTGCACAATCAAGCCTCATAGTCGCTGTCATTTACCCTTCAAACACTATATACGAGTCTCTAAGCATCAAGTCAGTATGGAATAGACCATTTACAAAGCCTATCCTGGAGTTATTTGAGCCCCTCGTCAGATGGCACTCAAGCCATAGACAGGCCAAACGCACAAACCTACAACTCATCGCTCCTCTGTGACAGATTGCGTTCCTGCTTACGCATGAAGTCCAAGAAGCTGAGTTAACGAGGAGAGCTTCTCTCACAGAAGCACGGCAGCTTCTAAGTTCCCTGCATATCTCATGTTCCTCTCACGTTCCTCTGTTGCTCTCGCATCTTGTTTGCACTCCGTTGTTCTGCCTCTTGACCTCCATCACTAGTAATGCATCCCTGCGCTGCGACTGAAGGTACTAAAATTTGATTATACCGTATTATATATGAGTAAAGGACTTCATACAAATAATTATATATTGTAGCAGAATGTTGAAATTACTTGGTTTGAAGTAAACGTTTGTATGAAAAATTGATCCATACTTTATAACTCAGGATCTTGGTACAACAAATACGGTACAATCTGTATAGGGAAAGTCTACAACAATTTTGCTATTCGCCTACATTCCCTACCAACAATTGTGCCGCCACAGAAAAAAAAAATAGAGAGGTTTAAAAAAGTCTCCGCCGCTCCAGAGATGTCTGCGCCTATGACCCTCCAATAGGACACTCGTAGCAATCCTATGGCATACATGGACCTTCTGTCCCTCTTTACTCCTTCACAAGGTAAAAGCATCCACCTGGGGGTCAGATATTTCATAATTGGACTATCAATAGAACAATGCGATGTCCCATGCATGCGCATCGGAGATATCCTACAGTTGCGGGCATGTATATGTATAAGTGTTTTTATCTTTGTATACGGAAAATTTTTAAAATCTGTCATCATGGCTTTGATTTACATGTACAAAACGTTTTAAAGTCCTTTTCGGGGGTACCGTACCCAGAAACTCAATCGAGACTTGTAGGGGTGTAACAATAACTTATATAACCCATTTATATGATTATACCGGGTCAAACTTGTGTACAGCCCCTCGGCGAGGCGGACTCCCTGGTTGAGTCGGAACATTGAGGCGAGCCCGAACGGACAAGACGTAACTGACAATCAAAACAGGAGGCGGGAGCCAACGGGGCGAGGGTGAGGGAGGAGAGGGGGCGGGGGGCTCGAGCCCTTTAAACTACAAGGCGGCAGCTGCGACCAGCACAAACCAAGCAGCATGGGGTTCGGAGGCATGCCGCCCAAGAAGGAGAAGAAGCCCAAGAAGGAGAAGAAGCCCAAGGCTGAGGGCGACAAGAAGAAGAAGAAGAAGAGGAGGAGCGAGAGCTACTCCATCTACATCTACAAGGTGTTGAAGCAGGTTCACCCTGACACCGGTATCTCCACCAAGGCCATGTCGATCATGAACTCGTTCATCTCGGACATCTTCGACAAGATCTCGAACGAGGCCGGCAAGCTTGTGAGGTACAACAAGAAGGGAACGTTGTCTGCTCGCGAGATCCAGACTGCTGTGCGTCTCATTCTTCCTGGAGAGCTCGCCAAGCACGCTGTGTCCGAGGGAACCAAGGCTGTGACCAAGTACACTTCGTCCTCGTAAGGAGTGAGAGGAGAGGAAGGATGCGAGGGTCCAACTGGTGTTATTCGACACCGAACGAGAAGCTGCTGGTGCTGCAAGAGGCAGTTCGAGTCTGCCTGGCTTCTATCGATCTTACCGTCTCGTACTGTCTAGTCTAGGAGGCCCTGTGGGGCAGAGGAGCAGAATGGAGGGTGTACAATAATGTGGTAACAGATATAATACAACTGGTTATGGATCCCCAATCTTTCTTGGCTTGAGAAGTCTCGAGTAGCTTAGAGCATACAGTGACAAATTTTCTTCACGGAATGAAGGTTTGTTGGTTGTCGCCTTGACAGCAATACTCAGTGTACAACAGGATTGTGCCATACAGAGCGATCCAAGGAATTGCTCTTGTTTTCAAGCCTGGGCTACATTAGAGTGGTCAGATCAAGCCGTTGTGAAGCTTTGTCGTGTGATTGCGCTTTAGCATTTCTGCGATTTATTGGACAGAAAGTGAATGAAATGAATTGCTCGGGACTGACCAGGCTTTGGATTGGGTTTACGAATCCATTGAACTCCATTGGTGAAAAGCCTTGTCTGGGGTCCACGCAAGACAACAAGTACAATCTGCACAAGGAATCTCTGCGTGTCTCAACATTCTCAACCAAAGCATCGAGGAGATGTCTCGATTCTTCCGCATTGTAGCGCTCCTGATGGCATGCCGGCATATCCGCACGTATCATGCAAGCATACATCATCTCGCATTTGCGCGCCCAAGAACATTCGGCATTCTGGAAAGGGACCTGCACAGACAAAGCGAAGACCGGCAAATCATAAGTGTCAAGGGACAGCAAGTTCATCGCTTTCAAGTCAAGTCAACATTTATCAACATCGAAGTACTCCCCCTCCTCCCACCCTTAACTGCCCCACAGGGCCTCCTAGACTAGACAGTACGAGACGGTAAGATCGATAGAAGCCAGGCAGACTCGAACTGCCTCTTGCAGCACCAGCAGCTTCTCGTTCGGTGTCGAATAACACCAGTTGGACCCTCGCATCCTTCCTCTCCTCTCACTCCTTACGAGGACGAAGTGTACTTGGTCACAGCCTTGGTTCCCTCGGACACAGCGTGCTTGGCGAGCTCTCCAGGAAGGATGAGACGCACAGCAGTCTGGATCTCGCGAGCAGACAACGTTCCCTTCTTGTTGTACCTCACAAGCTTGCCGGCCTCGTTCGAGATCTTGTCGAAGATGTCCGAGATGAACGAGTTCATGATCGACATGGCCTTGGTGGAGATACCGGTGTCAGGGTGAACCTGCTTCAACACCTTGTAGATGTAGATGGAGTAGCTCTCGCTCCTCCTCTTCTTCTTCTTCTTCTTGTCGCCCTCAGCCTTGGGCTTCTTCTCCTTCTTGGGCTTCTTCTCCTTCTTGGGCGGCATGCCTCCGAACCCCATGCTGCTTGGTTTGTGCTGGTCGCAGCTGCCGCCTTGTAGTTTGAAGGGCTCGAGCCCCCCGCCCCCTCTCCTCCCTCACCCTCGCCCCGTTGGCTCCCGCCTCCTGTTTTTCGATGGAAACGGAGTTTACTTTGAGTACAAGAAGAGTTCACTGAGAGTCCCAGGGCCGCGCCCCCCGGGCCCCGATCCGATCATAGTACGGTCCGGAATATAGTACCGTACGGTCGCCGGGCGGCCGCACGGCTCAGTGACACTGCGGCGGAGGGCCGGGCGACCGTACGGCGCGGCGGGCCGGGCCGGCCCGGGGCCTACCGTACCTCGGCCGCCGTGAGGGCGGGGCCCGTAGTACTAGTAGTCCTGGCTCTGAGGGTACTAGGCCCAGTACGGTCCGCCGGCTCCGGACTCGCCGAGTCACACGCCCAAGCTCCCGTCCGATACGGTCACAGTGATCAGGCGGGAGTCGGGCACCGGCGACGGGCCGGGCCCGCGAGGCCGGTCACACTGAGTACTGAGTCGGAAGCGGCCTGGCTTTGAAGTTCGGACCGCGGCCGCTTAAGTTAGTAAGCCGGGAACTTTGACTCAGCAGCTCACATGATGGTTGGCAACGATTGTACTCAGTATGATACCGGGAAGCTACGGTCGAGCTAAGTTGCTGACTGGATTGAACTCGGGCCGTCGGAGTCTGTGGATCATGCGGCGGCCGCCGATCAAAAATTAGAAGATGATTGTCTCGAGTAACCAAACTCCGAAAGGTTGGATCCGAACGACTTGGCTCGTCTCTTTGGCATCTTCGATTGTGCAAGGGCACCCACTTTCAGCTCTGTGCTTGCCGATGACAAGTCAAGCGAGACTCGAGGGCTCTCTAGGACCTCTAGCAGCTCTCTATCCTGCCTCTCTTGAATGGCCATCGCGGCGTTGTTGCCGTAGAAATCCACTAGATTTGTGTCAGCTCCAAAGGACAACAGCAGCTGCAGCATCTCCGCTCTTTTCGCGTCACGAGATCCAGCACAAACATGAACCAACGACTTGCCATCCTGATTGGTGGATTTGATGGCTGCAGGAATGTCCTTGGCATACCACATGAGCCTGCTGAGTTGATTGAGATCGCACTTGGAGACAGCTTTGACAAGCTCTTCTTGAAGCCACTCTCCCTCCAGCCCTCCTCCATTCTCCATCAGCAGCTCGGCCAGCTCGTCATGCTCGTATTGCACCGCGTAGTCCATCGCAGTCAAGTGCAAGTTATCACGCAGGTTGACGAACCGATTCAGATTTTCTGCAGACTTGAGCAGGAACTCAGCAATCTCGATCTTGCCATGCATGGCCGCGACATGTAGAAGCGACCGTCGAGTGTTATCCCGGATCTTAGTGAGGGGAAGTTCGATCTCCTTCAGGGCCTGTAGATCACCTCGTTTCACAGCCAGCCTCGCCTCTCTTTCCTTCCTCTGTAGCAGAGCAAGAGACTCCACCTCCACCCAGTCATTGATAGTCCAGTCCGACACCGAGGCAGCGTAATCCTCGTAAAGATCCTCAACTCCTGTCGGTGTGTACTTTACGAACGTTCCTGGCCAGAAGAAGTTACTGTTGTATGCTCCATGTACTTGAATCCCTGAGATGATCACGTACTCACACATATCTCGGTCCACAGCCAGCTGAGCCGTTCGTTTCACGTCTGCAAGGATGCACTCGTGTACGGCATACGTAAGCTCCACCAGCGATGGTACTTGCCCGTATCGCAAATAGCCCACAATTTGCTGCTTCAGCAGGGACATCTCCAAGTCCGTAGGGTCGAGCTGTACGTTGAGCTTTCCCGATTGAATCTCACGCAATGCGGCAAGCAGAGCTCCGCATGCTGTTGAGGCGTGCTCCCGACCAGGACGGTAGACAATGCCAGGTTCCCCCTCCCCGAGCGCAATGTGCGAAGCTACCCAGATGACATACCGCTCCTTTCCGTCTATGTTCGGGGCATGAGCCATGGCAGCTCTGAAGCCTGTTCGTCCACAATACACCATTCCAGCAAGAGAAGCAATGTTAAAGCTCGGCTTCTGCCACGTCGAGTCGATGGCTTCAGTGAAGGGTCTGCACAGTTCGTCTCGGCAGTGACTGACAAGGTTGATAGAAGTCTTGGAGTTGAAGCCGTGATCGTTGAGCACTTTGTTGGCATGCTCGATGAAGACATTCTCTGGCACAGCTCTAGAGGGAAAAAGAGTGTTAGATGCATGCTGATTGTTTTTATCAAGATGCAACATGGAAGATCATAGTTTACCTGGGGAAGTTTTCTTCGAGTCTCTCCAGGTATTGATGGAAGCTACTTGCAATCTCAGCCTGTGCAGATGACATTGGAAGGAAGATTAATTTCTATTGATCGAGTGCCAGTAGGTTCGGGATGAGAAACGATTTACGGGGTCAAGACAAGGAGGAGGGATGAATCTAAATGTTCAGAGAAGTGAGGGGAGGAGAAAGGGAGGATAGAGGCGAGGGATAGGGATAGCAGCTGCTTTGAGACGAGGTCAGCTACGAGAAAGCAGTGAAGCCAGCGGGCGGGAGGAGAGGCCCTGGTAGGATAAAGGGAAGGTGGGTGCTATTTTTCCCTTGGGACGCAAAAGGGAACATAACTTGTTTTTTGAAGTAGGGGTGAAGGTGCTGAGGTACCCACCTAGGATAGGGTATTTCTCTATGACTGAGAGGGGTTATATTTTGATTATGTCATTGTGAAGGGTGGGGTGGGAGCGCAAAAGGCTGCATGAAATAAGTAAAGTTGTTTTTTAAAATTGAGAGAATACATTCATTTTTCGACGGAAACCTCAACTTTGTTCTTGTAACTTCAACTTTTGGTTGAATGCAACTATTTTTTTGAGGAGTAACGTTGAAATCTGGCTCCAGTCACGAGTGGCCGGCCGCAAGCGGGGGGTCGCATTGGGCGGTACACTCTGCCGTAAACAGCCGGTGGCGGCTGCCAGCGCCGGCCCGGAGGCTGCGCGATCCGATGATCGGATCCGGCGGGGCGGCTAGTGTGGCCCGGGCCCGGACCGCTCAGTCGGCGGCGGGCGCCGCGGAGTGGCGGCCCCCCGGGCCCGGCCCACCGGCGGGTTCACCGGGGGCCGCCGGGGGCCCGGCCGGGCCGCGGGGGCGCCCTGGCGGCGCGACTCCGGGTAGGCTCAGGCCGCCGCGCCGCGCTGCGGCCGGTTACTGCCGCACCGCAGTGCGCGCGCGGCCGGGCAGAGCCAGTTCCCGGCCCCCGGGCATGGCAGTACCGTACCCGAACTCGGGAGTCGGGCCCGTTTCCCCGGTCGGACCGTGACGGTCCACACTGCAGTGCCGAACTTCAAAAGTGCGGCCACTGGCCAGGGCCGTGACCGCCGATCAGGCTCAGCTGGCACTGGGCCCGGGCCGCGGCACTGCCGGCCCCCCGGCACCCCGGGCCCTCTGGCACCGTCCGGTGGCAGGACCCGGTAACCCGGGACACTGTGATGCATCATGCGGCATTGAACTTTGAAGCGGCGGTTGCGGCTGCGGCTGGGCCCGGCCTGCCGTTCGGTGGCAACGACTCACTTCCGATGCGGCCCGGGGCCACGCGGTGACTCGCTGAGAGAGGATAGGCTAACTTACTAACGCTGTCTTTGCTCTTCTCGCCGTTTGGCCTGTGCGACAGTGTCAGGGTCAAGCCTCCTCGACTCTCCTGATTGTCCTCGTACTGATTTTTAACTTAGTAACTTTGAGCAAAAAGACTAACAATCGGATGATAACTGAAGTGACTGAGGAGCCTTCACGGCGTCACGGGCCGGTCCGATCTGAGCGCCACGGACCGTAGGTTCACGACGGTCACTACGGCGCCGCACTGCGGCCGGGCAGCCGGGCTCAGCGGCCTGAGTCTGACTCGGGAGTCAGCGGCGAGGCCGGGCGGCGCTGGCCCGCCGGGATTGGCGTGGCGTGGCGCGGTGTTGCCGCTGGAGTCCCGGCGGCGTGCCACCATCGTGACCGTGCCGCTGCCGCAGTGCCAGTGCCGGCCGGGCCACTGAGCCGCCGGCGCGGGCTCACGCGGCCTGCCGCACGGTGGCACTGCCACTGTACCGAGTCCCGGGTGGTCACTGAGCTCACTACCTGCTGGCCCGGCGCCGTGACCGTTCGCCGGCGGCGGGTACGACCGTACGTCGGAGCCAGATGACTCAAGTGACGGGCCGGCGGCCGTGGCGATGCTGCAGCTACTGCCCCGGCCCTTAGTCGATCGTGAAGGCAGTGCGTAGCAACTTCTTTCCCTCCTCCGTGCCGCTCAGCGGAGTATCTCTCAGAACACATTTCAGGTAGAGGGCCTGTTGGTAAGTTCAAACCAGCACAAGTTGCATTGGTCTCAGGTCGAGCACCTTGAACGTCTCTAGATTCTCCTCAGTCGTGAGGAGGTCCAACTCTTGCATATCCTTCTCCTCAAGCGTCCAATCGAACACATCCATGTTGGCAAGCTGCCCATAAAGGAGAGCAGTCAATTCTACGCTGGGACCACCAACAAATTACCATCCTTTCCTTCTTGACCGACTTGGGGATGTAGATTACGTTCTTCTGTACACACCACCTTCCGAGGATGTTGGCAGGGGGTTTGTTGTACTTCTCCGACATCTTAAGGATCAACGGGTGTGAGAATGCCTGTCCACAAGTCAGCCAGAAAACTACAGATAACACTTCGTACCTTGCCATCCCTCAGGGCCCGGTAAGCTTGGACAACAATGCCCTTCGACTGGCAGTAGGAGATGGTTCTCTTCCTGTACAGGAACGGGTTGACCTCGATCTGATTGATCGCCGGAACAACCTTGGCCGATTGCTACAGAGTTGTTCATAAGGAATCTCATCAACACGTCGGCAAGCGCACCATGAGCTCCTCGAGGTCCTCGATGACGTAGTTGCTCACCCCTATCGACCTCAGCTTGCCCTGAGCCTGCAGCTCCTCCAGCACCTTGCACAGCTCCCTTTCACTCTCCTCCTCAGGATCCAAGAGAGACGCACACAACCTTGTATGCCTCCACGTGCTTGCTGGGAACTGGCCAATGGATCAGATACAGGTCGAGATAGTCCGTCCCGAGGTCGTCGAGGGTTTGCTGGACCTGGAAGGAGCGGGTGACATCGTTCTCCCTCCTATCTCCCGGACTTCACCTGCTTCCTGACTGCATCTGCTCCTTCGAAAATCTTGTCTGTCCACACCTTCCATGCTGAGTGAGCTTCAAAGGACCCGCGAGCAGCACAAGGACCTTGCTGGCAAGGAACAACTCTTCGCGGGGGATGCCACTGTCCTTGATCGCAAGCCCCACTTCTCTCTCGTTCCCATAGAACTGAGCACAATCCAAGAAGCGATAGCCACACTCGAGAGCCGACAGGACGCACTCCCGCGCCGTCTCCTGCTTCGATCCTTGCGCCTCCTGCCCAGCCACGGCCGCCGACGCGCTCGCAGGGATGAAACCGACTTTGTACGTCCCGAAGCCAATCATGGGGTGTCTTGAACCTTCACGGGATGAGCAACCCAGTGACGTAAGTGAGGGTTGCAGGAGGTCCTCACCGTCATTGAGCTCGATGGTCGGGAAAGACTTGCCTTGCATGCACATCTGCGCGCCAGCACCTCCTCCGCGAACCCTTCCACCATGTCAGAACATCCAGGCACACAGCCTAGAAGGAGGTCTTCACAACCTCAAGGAAGGCAGAGGTTGCTGTAGGAAGGCTTCCGCCTGATCAAATGGAGTTTCATCACCGAAATGCTTCTTAGAAGGGCCAACGATTCTGACAGAGTCGCTGCACTTGAACATTCACAGAGGTGAACGAGAGGAGAACGGGCAGAGTTGAGAGAGGAGCCACAGCAGACATCATCTTGATGAAGGACAACCTGACAGACAACCGATGACGCCACTAGCAGCATCGTCGTCAGCCCTGCCCCCCCGCGACGCATTGACAAAGTCAGCATTCCTCTGGAACCAAGGATATCCGTGATTATCCGTGCTGGTATTCGTGCTGGTATTCGTACTGGTATCCGTGAGTATCCGAAACCTCTGAGGCAGGGCGTTCGCTCACCCCCCTCCTCACTCCCGCCTCTCTGTGTTCCTCCTCTCCTCCCTCCTGCATTCTACTCCCCCTGCGAGCCGTCTTTGCTCGCTCTTCCTCCCACTTCTCTCCCGTCCACCTCTCTTGTCGTTTGGCGATCAGCCTTATCGCTGTCAGAACCCTCCGACCCTTGGAGTAGGTGCATGTAGTCTGCCCGCTCGCTCCATAGCGAGTCTAGTCGGCCCTCTAGGGCTGCCGAACAGAGGGGAAGCACTTCGCAGCGACATGGGGTCGAGCTTTCGGGCAGAGCAGCGCTCCTATGTGAAGGTCAAAGGAGTTTGTTGACGACGAAACAAGGCGCCATGGATCGACTCAAGAGGTTTCTCCGGCACGAGCTCTATGAGCCTGCAGTCAGGATGAGCGCGACTGAGCTGGGAATTTCTCTGAGCGCAGGGGGATGGGGAGGGCTCTTTCCCATTCCTGGTGCAACGACCATCGCTGTGTTCTTCCTCCTCCTCCTCCTTCGGACAAGATTCACCGTGACTCCAGTTGTCTCAGCCTTGTCCGTGGCGATCAACCTGCTCTTGACACCTATCCAGCTTATGCTGATCCCTCTCTTCATGCTTCCCTTCTCGCAATGCTCTCCGTCTTCCTTCCTTGCTCAGGTGCACGAGCTCCCTCTCCTCGTCCTCGTCGTTGAGTTCGGCCAGTGCCTGGCTGGCTCCGTGCTGGTCTGGACAGCAGCGGCTCCTGTTGCCATGGCAGCGCTCTTCTGTTGTGCGGCGGTAGGGACGCGAGCGATGCGTTGGATGAACAAGGGGAAGTTCGAAGCCGAGAGATGAGAGAAGGAGCAAGTCTTGAGTGGGACGGAAGTTGATGGGAGGAGCAAGGGAGTTGAAATGTACAGGACGAATTTAATGTACAGGCGAAGAAGTCCCACTCCTGATACGAAAGAGTTTGATCTTTTGAGGCTCCAGCTTGTCCTCACCATTCGATGGCTCACCCAACTTCCTCACTGAGCTCTTTAGCTTCTTTCTGACCTTGGGGAGCCTCTCCTTCACCTGCTCGACCTCGACTTGCTGCTGTTCCCCATCCGTTGCTGTGCTCACGTCCGTAGCAGTGACGCTCACGCTCAAAGTCGAGCTTTGCTGCAGGTTCACCGGACGAAGGGGAGAGGAGGGGGGCCTGAGGGGAGAGGTTTTGTAGGGGTGGTGGTATAATCTCTCAACCACATCCGAGTCGCTCTGCATCTCGGGAGGCATCTGGCTGCCCAGGATCTGCTCGGTGAAGGGAGAAATCACACAATCCTTCTTCTTGTCGATCTGCATGCCGAATCTGTCTCCCAGTGCGATCATGAAGGCCCGGAACCCTGTCTCGTGCAGACCGGACTGAACGTTGACGATGATGCTGTTGTGGCGGGAGAGGCCGGTATGGTGGGTCGCTGCTGGGGAAGAGACTACGGGAGAATCCTGGGCTGATTTCAGCAGAAAACTGCTACCACCAACACCTCCTCCTCCTCCCTCCTGTTCTCTCAGAGTCCGGCGGTACATTTTCTCAGCATCCTCCTTGGAGATGAAGGCAGGCAGAAGGCGATAGGTGAGCAGGAGGTTGCAGAGCTGGTTGAAGTGAATCTCGTTCCCCTGCTCGCCGAAGCAGAACCTCTTGTAGACCTTGGGGTTGAAAAGAATCTCCCCGATGCGAGCTGCGCAGAGGATGGGCCGCCACTCCAGGCCGAGCAGGTCGACGATGAGCTTGAGAGCGGACTTGAACTCGTTGAAGCTCATCTCGTAAACGTCATCGTCGCTCACACCTTTGGTTCGGTTCGCCCTTCTGAAGATCTTGCCCGCTTCTTCTCTGGTGATTCTCCTGGGTAAGAGGCCGATCTTGTTAAGGAAGTTGAGAAACTCCTTGAAGTCCATGGTGGTTGATCGCAGGTCGAAAGCTTTCAGAAGGCCTTTCTCAACATCGTCTTCGGAAGAGCAGAACCTGTTGTACCAACCAGGATGAATGACCAGGTTTTGCAGCAGCTCCGTGTAGTCGGAGAACTCCTTCGTCCCACTCACAAACTTGCGGTTGCTCATGTTCTCTGAAGGGAAGAGGAGGGCTGCGGTGCTCCAGATGAGGTACAAGTGTCCGTTCCGCGATCTCTTGAAGAAAGCAAGGAGATGCTTCACCTTGGGGCTCTCCCCCGCCCCGTCCTGCGAGAGCTCGAGCTGATGTACGAGTGAACGGAGCGAGTCGCGAATCGCCGAGTGCTCCTCGAGGGAGATTATGACCCCGTTGCCGTACTCGCTGTAGTCAGGCCCTCCTAGCTGGGGCCCTTCGTCCTCTTGGGCCTGACCGCTGATTGTATCTCTAGACTGCCATGAGCGGAAGTTCTTGACGTAAACGACCTTGGAAGGGTCGCCCTCAGCCATCACCCGCCAGGTGGAGTTGTTGTAATACCCGCAGATGGCGGGGAACCTCTTGAACGACTGGCCTACAGCCTTGATGGGCTTCAAGCTCTGACCCTGCTGGGCTCCCAACTCGTGTCTGACGTGTTGAATGAAAGTTCGCGGCTTGTCAAACCTGATCCTGCCGTCGTTATCCTTATGCTGAAAGCAGGTATGAGCCACAGCCTTCAAGTCGTCCTCGTGCCTGAGCTTGACGCTGATTCTCTCCTTCGTCCACACGCATTCAAAGCAAGCAGCTCCTTCAGTCCTGGGGTCAAGTGGAGGGTTCAGCAGCCACGGCTTGACCGGCCTCTTTTTCCCTACAACATACTCCACAACAGTTCCCGTCAGCTGCGTCGAAAACGCATTTCTGACAGTGGAATTGAATCCGTTCTCTTCCAAGACCTTAACCTGCGTTGTAAACAATCCATCCTCCCCCTTGTGATGCACTATCAGGTACGCAACCGGTCTTCCTGCAGAGTTCTCACGTGCGAACTCTTTCAGCAAGTTTTCCTTCTCCAAACTTTTCTTTGCTTTCTTCATGATTCTGCCCCTGGAGTGAAAGTACCATTCTGTCAAGACACCCTGGACGAACACAGCAGCCTGTGGAATGTGCAGCCTCCTCCTCGCCTTGCCATCAACACCATGGAGGGTTTCAGCCTGTGCAGCTTGCGGTTGAAGTGCAGGAAGAGACCCTTGGTGAGACAACTTGTTCATCGAAGAGAAGAAGGACATGGAGGACAGGGCTCTGAGTGGATCAGGCGATCGTTCCGGAGAGGATGATGAGGATGAGGGAGAGGAGGATCCCTGCCATAGCAGCGCAAGTACCTCCTCCCCTACTGCGTACATGCTGGCAGTTCGACCAATGAAAGCAGTTGGTTGGTCTCACCGGTGCTTATGAGGGTACAAAGAGGGGTGGTCTTATCCCTGTGCACTTGACCCACGTCCATCTCATACAGCACATCTGAGGCGGCAGCCGGCCGCTCCCCGGGGACCGTGGCGTGAGTCACTGAGTTCAACTTGCTTTCGTTCAACCGTCTTGACAATCCGCCAGAAGATCCGCCAAGACGGTGAGCCTGGCGGCCGGACTTCCCGGCGTCCCCGGCAGCGCCGGCCAGGCTGACCGGGCGGCGCCCGGCCGCCGCCCCGGCCCGGGGCCGGGCCGACGATGATCATGGCATCGCCGAGTCGGATTATGGCCCGGCGGCCCGGCCACTGCCGCCGCGAGCCCGCCACGCAGCCGCTCAGCGGCGGCCCGGTCCGGCGCCGGCGGCGTAAGGCTTAGTCCGGGCCCGGTCAGCCTCCTTGTGGCTGGCACCGTCTGCGGCATCATCGGCCAGCAGCCGCCGGCCGCAGTACGGTGTCGGACCGTACCCGGGGCGGGCCCGCACCGCGGCCGGGCCGCGCCGCCGAAGCAAGTTCCACCCCGGGCCGGCGGCCCCAGGCTGCCGGGCGGCCCTGGGCCGCCGCGGGGGCGGCGGGCCGGGCACTGATACTCCCGGTTGAAGCGGCGGCTTATCCGGGGGCCGTCCGAGTCCGGGCGCCGCCGACCGCCCGACACCGTGCCCGCTGCAGCCTGATTCAGTAGATGCCTAGGCTGCTTTTTAACTTACTAAGTTAACTTTGAGTAAAGATGCGGGCGCCGCGAGACTCAGCGTGAATATGATCGGCGGCGGTGAACCAACTTGACTCGGTGACAACTGAGCGTTAGGTCATGAAGAGCGATCATAGTAGTGCACTTACAAGGGCGAGTGAACAGATGATGCGCAAAGAAGCTAGATTTGTTAACTCATGTACAGCGGGATGCGGCACGCCCACCGGTCAGCGCCTTTTACAATCCGGTGATCTGGCTGCAACTCCAGTACTCTGTCTTGTTGCACAGTACAAGTACAACGGAAACGAGATCTGTCTCCAACTCTATCATTGAAAGGGAGGCCAGGTCCTCTCTCTCCCATTCCTCCGGGATACGAACCACAATTAACAGTGTCCGAGGCTGTACTATTGTCTGCTGTACATAAAAGAATCTAGCTTCAAGCTTGCATCCTCCTCGTCCCAAGCACAACTTCGCTTGTTCGTTGGGACAGTTCCCTCATCAGCTAGTGCTACTTATACACATAGTGCTCGTAGTGCTGCTACTACACATAGTGCTCGTAGTGCTGCTACTACACATAGTGCTCGTAGTAGCACTAGCTAGACCTCGGGAAGAGGAGGTCCATCCAGGCAGTCCGCTTCGGTGAAAAGAGCATCCTGATGCAGGAATGATGATTAGATGCAAAATTGCGGAATGTTTCGTTGAACACTTAGGACTGAACCAAACGTGATAGCCTTGAAACGTTTTTAGTCCTCCCTGTAGTGCAACTGCCTATGACGTGTAGAAAACTCTCTTTGCCGCGAGGCTGGTTCAATGTAAACAGCCTGCAAACCCTAAAGTAAAAACAAACAAATTTCATTTTCATCTATTGTACACAGTTCAAGAAACAATCTACAACGCCCTCCCGGACACATGCATCAGGCTCTCCTCCAGCAGCTCCTCCAAGCCTGACTCCAGCCAGTACGGTCTCGTCTGAGCAAACAGCACATGCATGGCTGCTTCTTCCTCCCCCTCACTCGCTCCTGAGCCCTCCTTGCCAGCGGGCCGTTTCGTCTCGCTTTTCCTCGACATATTCCGTCGGTTGTAGGGCCACTTTCTGATGCCCATGCGACGGCAGGCTAGCTTGAGAGAGGACAGAGAGATCCCGATGGCCTGGGCTGCCTCATACTGCGTGAGATGAAAGAGCGACTTGACCAGGGCTTGGTCGAGGCTGACGGGCTCTTGAGGGGAGTAGCTCAAGACGTTTCCTCGAGGGCGAGGGCAGACCTTGACTCTGGTGGCTTTGACTTCCATGGGGAGGGACTGGGCAGGCGTTGTCACAGAAGAACGACACTTGAAAAGACAAAGAGGAGGGGAACAGGCGTGAGGAGACGGCGTCGCGGGGAGTAGCGTGGTGTCACCTACGAGTTTCAAGTGGGGGAACAAGCGGGCTAAAGAAAAAAAGATATTCTTCTCCGAAGAGGCTGCAAGAATTCAAAAGTGAAAGAGAGTAGTTTCAGCTACGCTCGAGCCTCACGTTTGTCAGCATCCAGTCAAAGCTGACGAGGTAGACGTCCTCCGCCCAGTCACTCCTAGATATATATGACATGTTTTGAGTATAGTAAGACTGTAACGAATTTCAATCTTTGAGAAAGATTGTAACGAATATGAATCAACAACATGGCATTGTTGTTCGCGATCCTGTATTTATGATTGTGTTGCATTGGAAATAATCATCTTCGAATATTACCACTCTGAACCTTCAAGAGCAGGTTGCGTGAAAGGAGGGAGCAAAGCACCGTCAGAAAGGGTGCTAATGTGCCGTTTGCCAGCATCGTGAGAAGAAAATACCATGTGCGCCAGCTACCCCCTATACACGTTACAAACAGAAAACCAAACATTGCCATAAGAAAAACTCGGTAAAATATGCCATTGACAGCTCGCTGTGCTAGGGCTCTGATAAAGTTATCTTGCACTCAAAGCTAGGTTTAGCCTTGATCGTCAACAAAGTCAGGCGAAGGACTCTCGAAGGACTGAAAGCATACAACTGCTAGATGTGCTCTAGAGGATGAACCCTGGTGGCAAAGAGAGCGCCTCTAGCACGGGTGGTTTCCTCATTCCTGGTAAGAAGTGGAGCAGAAGCTTGCAAAAAATGAGAGCTTGCACAAATCGAGTGTGCTCGTGCATGCAAGGACTACAGGTAGTCCTTGCTTGGCCTATTCAGCTAGAAGGGTCTGATCTCTCTCCTCATCTTGTACGCCACGCTGATCTAACAGAGGTTCCTTGTGCATTCGCTGTAGACGTTTGCAACCCGTCAAGCTTCGGGGTGTGACGAACTTGTTGTGGTGGTTGTGTGAAGCATGGTTGCAAATAAAAGTAAAAACAAACAAATTTCATTTTCATCTATTGTACACAGTTCAAGAAACAATCTACAACGCCCTCCCGGACACATGCATCAGGCTCTCCTCCAGCAGCTCCTCCAAGCCTGACTCCAGCCAGTACGGTCTCGTCTGAGCAAACAGCACATGCATGGCTGCTTCTTCCTCCCCCTCACTCGCTCCTGAGCCCTCCTTGCCAGCGGGCCGTTTCGTCTCGCTTTTCCTCGACATATTCCGTCGGTTGTAGGGCCACTTTCTGATGCCCATGCGACGGCAGGCTAGCTTGAGAGAGGACAGAGAGATCCCGATAGCCTGGGCTGCCTCATACTGCGTGAGATGAAAGAGCGACTTGACCAGGGCTTGGTCGAGGCTGACGGGCTCTTGAGGGGAGTAGCTCAAGACGTTTCCTCGAGGGCGAGGGCAGACCTTGACTCTGGTGGCTTTGACTTCCATGGGGAGGGACTGGGCAGGCGGTTTCAGAAGCAAATCGGCAACGGGAAAGCTTTACAGGAATCGGGAGTTGGGGGAATAAGGAATAATAAGAAAGAGCCAAACCAAGCATATCCGCTGAAAGAAAACAAAACAAAACACGGAGCCTGCAGTAAAGTAGTCCGTGCTCATTCTGACCGATTCATCTTGCAACGGTTGGAAGCCAATTGGCCACATCCTAAATAGGACCGGTACCCTCTAAAGACTGTCGTCGATACCCACTTGTTGCTAACCATCAGTAGGTAAACAGGGTGGGTGATGACTGTCTGTTGGGCTACTGGCGGTACTGGGCACAATAATAATCTGAAATTGACGAAAGGAAAAGTTACACTTTGAGACACACGGAGGCTTTGCATGGGGTCAGCAAAAACGGCCCCGATGATCGGACCTTGTCATCCGATGATCATCGTCCCATGTGACAGGCGGCGGCGGCCCGTCAGCGCGCCGGACCGTCCGACGGTCCTCCGGTCCGAGTCTGTTCGAGAACTTATTTTTTAGACCCGGGCGGCCGCGTGACTTGAAAAACGGTGACTCAGCGAACGCCGGGCGGGCCGGGCCGCGAACGGGGGGCTTCGGAAGCTGCTAAGTGATGGTGTGACTGTCCGACTGGCACAGTGTACGGTAGCGCCGACTCGGACGAGCCTCGGAGGCCCAACCGGGGCGCAGCTTCCGGCGGCGGGCCATCATCCCGCGGCAAGTCCGAGTCAGTGACTGGCGGCCTAAGCCTCCATCGAACCGTGCCCGGCCCGGGGGCCGGGGGCCGGACCGGCCACATGAAGTCACGCGGCCCGTCTGGGCCGGGCCCGGGCTGGCGATCCGGCCGGGGCCTTAGTGGCCGGGCCGCCCGTCACTGGGCCGGGCCCCGGCGGCGCCAGCCTGGCAGGCCGGGCTGCTAGTTTCGGAGGCTGTATGGGATTCAAAACTTGAAAGAAAAAAAGTTCAGTTAAAAAAAAGGTCTGCCTCGGAGGCGAGCCCGGCCGGCACACTTGATGATGATCCCCGAAAAACAGGAGGCGGGAGCCAACGGGGCGAGGGTGAGGGAGGAGAGGGGGCGGGGGGCTCGAGCCCTTTAAATTACAAGGCGGCAGCTGCGACCAGCACAATCCAAGCAGCATGGGGTTCGGAGGCATGCCGCCCAAGAAGGAGAAGAAGCCCAAGAAGGAGAAGAAGCCCAAGGCTGAGGGCGACAAGAAGAAGAAGAAGAAGAGGAGGAGCGAGAGCTACTCCATCTACATCTACAAGGTGTTGAAGCAGGTTCACCCTGACACCGGTATCTCCACCAAGGCCATGTCGATCATGAACTCGTTCATCTCGGACATCTTCGACAAGATCTCGAACGAGGCCGGCAAGCTTGTGAGGTACAACAAGAAGGGAACGTTGTCTGCTCGCGAGATCCAGACTGCTGTGCGTCTCATCCTTCCTGGAGAGCTCGCCAAGCACGCTGTGTCCGAGGGAACCAAGGCTGTGACCAAGTACACTTCGTCCTCGTAAGGAGTGAGAGGAGAGGAAGGATGCGAGGGTCCAACTGGTGTTATTCGACACCGAACGAGAAGCTGCTGGTGCTGCAAGAGGCAGTTCGAGTCTGCCTGGCTTCTATCGATCTTAACCGGCTCTTACTGTCTAGTCTAGGAGGCCCTGTGGGGCAGGGGAGCAGAATGGAGATCGTGAAGGGTGGGAGTGTACAGAAGGGATGAAATGTAAGACTCATCCTGTGTTTTTATGGTTTTTCATGATTGATTCGCGTGTCATGTTTGGTTGATTGTTCATTCAACGTGACCCTTCCACCGGGAATTGTAATTGTAGTACCTCTCACTTGTCAATGGCCTGAGTGGTTGATGATTGTGCTGACGTGTTTATTCTCGCTCAAGTGTCAGGTGTCTGTCTTGGAGATCAAGTGCTACGGTACTACCGTACGCGGTCACTGTTTCGCCTTACGGTCGTCATTATTGCTATTGACTGCAGAATGTGAAATCGGTCAAACTGCGATGCCAAGTTGAATTGATGGAGCCTGAGATCGTCCGATGATGATTCCAGTGGGTCTGAGGAGGGCCGAGCGGCTCTGGCGCTAGCTAGTCGGACGGTCGTCAATGCCCGCCGTGGTGGCACTGATAGCCCAGCAGTAGTGCCAGAGTCATTGACCGCCCGGGTAGTACTTCCATGCCGTGTCATCAGTTCAAATATGATCACATCAATGCGATAAATTCCAATTCAACGATCTGATGACAAACAGACCAATAAACCAGGCGTGAGCCCGGCGGGGGTGGGGAGAGGGAGGGGCCGCCATCTCACGGGCCGGGCTTGCCGCTCAGCCGCTTGTTATCGGAACTTTCAGTGGCGCCGCCGGCACTGAGCAGGCCCTCGGGAGTCTTTACTCAACGTTATCAGTGTCAAAACTTTCATCAGCCTGAGTTGTACGAGGACAATCACTGTCATCACTGACACGGTTGATCATGACTCAGTACCGTACTGCGGCCGCGCGGCGAGCCTCGGAGCGCCGCCTGAGGCGGGGGCCCTGAGCCTCCGAGGCTTCAACAGTGACCTCCGAGGCTCCAGTCCTCCGACTGTCCGACTCCCGGCCTGATTGTCGGAGGCTCGTACTGATCACCGATTTTTAACTTAATTTTGAGTAAGAAGGCCCGGCAAGCCTCCGGCCCGGCCCGGCCCGGCCCGGCAAGCCTAATAAGTTGAGGAACGACTCCATGCTCACTGAAGTGCGGAAGCATGTACGGGCTTGTTGGTCAGATGAGTGAGAGGGCAAGCAGATACGCTGCCTCGCTAGATCTGCTGTGAGCCGAAGAGAGGAGGCAACAACATACTCAACCAGACCATGGCGGCAGAGGTGATACGATGACGACGACGATGTAGTGATCTGGTCGGACGTGAGATGATGATGATGATGATGATGATGATGATGATGATGATGATGATGATGGTGATGATGATGATGATGGTGATGATGGTGATGGTGATGGTGATGGTGATGGTGATGATGGTGATGGTGATGGTGATTGTATACACGCGCTGACCATGTAGAGCTGACACCCATTGGAAAGTAGGTGCTCTTGGAAGCGTAATCCTACTTGAACACTGAGCTTTTCTCCTCCATGAACAGGCAAACTTTCTTGCTGCAAGTTTGTCCTGATGAAATTTGAACCATCGCAGCCAAATCCTGCAGGCCGAGTATGGACTGGCGCAGAGCTCTACTTCTTTTTCGTGGAGTACGTTGGTTGTTCATGATGTTGTAGATACATGAGAATGACTACCTCTAGTATAACCCTCGTCATGATCCAGTAGCCCAGGAAGTCGTAGGCGGTATTCGTCCTCAGTTTACATCTGGTAGGCGTGCATTCTCTTGTCCAAGGTTTGTGTGTGAGCTCCTGCAAATAGAGTTGAAGGTTTTCCAAAGCTCTTTGATATGCCCAGAACGAGACTCCAATGAGAGCAGAACCCCGGTCAAGGCTTGTGATGTGTTATCAGACGGCTCATTGCGAACATGTTGCAGCATCGAGAAAAGGCGCATGGCTGTGTCTTGTTTGTGGGAGGATCTGTATGGGCGATGGATTGGGCACCTCCCTTCACGGACTCAATGGATGGCGTAGGAGGGAGGAAGGAGATTGGAAGAAAGTCTCTGATCTGCTTGCAGGCGGAAGGGTTTCTTGCTCTTGCCACCATGCCATCAGGTCATGAAGAGACGCAAATCCGGACGAGAGATAACAGCAAGAGGTAAGTGATGCACGCAAGGGAAACAGACCTGCTTGCCGCCAGCATGATGCTCCTTGATCTTTGGCCTTTTCTTCTCCCTGCAGCTTTCACTGATTCTCCCTGTTTGCAGTCTGATCCAGGTTTGGAAAGTGTTCGTGGACAGCCAGCAGGAATCGGTGATTGACAGATCATATGCTCCCTCGCTCGAGTACACGTTTGGTGTTGATTGCGGAGTGAGAACGAAGATTGCATTTCAGCAATCTCAACTTTGCTCTTCAGATTGCGTTGGCTCTGTCCTGGTGTCCAGCTCGCTGCAGCCGCACCACCTTCAGGTCCAGCCCTTCCTGGCCCCTCGACCGTTGAGCAGCGCACAGGTTGGGCATCTTTGCGGCGGCAACGAGCAGCGGGCACATCTTGGTCTACTCGGTCCCCGTGAGCTCCCCTTGTGTTTGCGGCCCCTCCTCATCGGACTGATTGACCTGCCTTGCAGAGCTCATCGGTGCCCCATGACAACAACAAGTTTGTCTCCCTCCACACAGAAACTCAAGGGTTCCACCTCACTCACGGACCTCTCTTCTCGCTCCTCGTCAACGAGGGCTATCCAACTTGCCTCTCGTGGTCCCCGGGGGAAGCAGAACCCTGGGTGGCAGCAGGGACCACGGCGGGCTCAATATTCCTGCTTCCCCTTCTCCCTGAATTGCTCGGTGCGTGCGGGAAATATCCGGATCCTTTCTGACTGCGGGGAGGCAGAAAAGCAGGAAGGCGGCGATGCTTGTGTGGAGGAGACGTGGAGGCAGTCGGTATATGAAGGAGTGAGAGAGGCGCATGCCTCGGAGGCTGCTGCAGTTACCTGTCTCTCGTGGTGCTCAAGGTGAGGAGCGGGAAGAGTCTGTAGACGATGATGCCATTGCTTCCAGCGGGAGTTTTGCAACAGGGGGCATCGACGGCAAGGTGAAGCTGTGGAGCATTGAAAACCTCAACTGGCCCATCTTCGTGCAAAGTGTGTCTAAGGGTACGTGGGTGACGTCGCTCGTGTGGGTAGACGGAGGAAGCAAGCGGCAAGCAGCCCAGGGGAGGAAGAGCAAGGGAGGATCGCAGAGCGATGAGGGAAGACCAGCCATCGTCTTCACTCTGGACGATGGACGTGTTGGCACCCTAGCGATCAAGCAGATGGTGCAACGGTGGATTTTTGCACGAGAGTTCACTTTTTGGGACTCGATGTAAGCGAATCTCAGCTGCTGGGGCGTTGCTGAGCGTGCTTTCAGCTTCGATGAAGCAACGGACGTGCTTCTTCTTGCCTCCTCTGAGGGCACGATGCTCGAGATGCCCTTGGGCCTGCTGGACCCCGTCCACCTGCCCCTCCCGACCTCGTTCCTCATGGCCGAGTAGGCGGGAGACGCTTCTGGCCTTGGAGGCTCATTTGTCTGCAGGCTTGCGATGAGGCAGAATGTGATGGAGCTGCGAGTGAGCAACGCGCCCGACCGCCTGAGCAGGAGCCTGAAGCAGAGATTCGAGGCGTGCCCGCAGGTACGACATGAGCGACAGCTCGTCTCTTCTCTTAGAGCTGGCAGGTTGAGCGTCGGATTCGAACAGCGGCGAGATCCACCGATGCTGATTCCTTCAAGACTGCCGACCGTCTTGGCAAGGATGGGCAAAAGAAGGGGAACGAGAAGGGAAAACAAAAAAGTCCGGCAGCCGGCAAGAAGCGGAAGCAGGAGGAGGAGGACGAAGGTGCCATACAAGATCTGAAGCCGCAAGTTGAAGCTCAAGGGGAGCAACGAAGGCTTTCCTTCCCCCCTGCTCAAGTCGCACTTCACCGCATTCGCTTGTTTCAAGGTAAGCTCGGCTCCCCCCCTGCCTTGCTCACAAGAAGGCAGGCAGATTGCAGGCTGTCGCAGCGGCAGGTCGCTCAGGAATCGTTACGTGCTTGAACCGATGATGGGAGGAGACAGGGAGATAGTCAGACAAGGACAGTCTGCTGGTGATTTTCTTTCTGTTTCCCTTCATCATCTCCGCACAATATCTAGCCTCAGTCAGAAGCATTTTCTTCTGCTCCTGTTATGGACAGGTGACAAGTTATTATTTGCCCGAAGACCCTCCAAACACTTTCGTCTTTAGCTCTTCGATCTCTCGCTCTGCTTCCAACCGCTGCACGTGAAGTTAGACCAGGCACAGCACAAGTCCTCTCCTACACCTTGCTGCGCTCTCTTTCCAGAATCTCTTCCAGGCGCTGCAACCTTGATGCTGCGTACCGATTCAGAGCAAGAAGGCAAGCGGCTTGGGAAAGCTTGCCTGTGGTGCCGCTACTTCTTCGGCTGCTTGCTCGAGAAGCTCGTGAAAGTGTATAACGCGAGGGGACGGAGCTGACCATGCGGTTAGGAGCTAAGTTTTGGAGACTAGAAGCAGACCTTTGGACGGTAGTTCCTGAGGAGTAGGATACCATGCTCTGCCTATCATCTTCCTCGTGGGTTCGATGCGAGGCTTCACTCGGAGCCCTTCTCGATCCTCCCACATCCTGTGACCTCCAGTCATCAACCGACAGAGCACAAACCCCCCGGCCCCTACCAATCCCGACTGCATAACCCAATCTCGGATTGAATCTGCTTTGCTTCTCGGCTCAAGGGTTTTAGTTGTCAGCTGCGAGTTGTGCGTATCGTCAAGCCCCCGAGCTGATGCTGGAGTTTGCTTCCGAGATGCGACGAGCTTCGACCCTAACAATCGAGTGAGAAAATCCACTACCATCACCGAGGAAGTGTTCACCTGGAAGGGGAGGCAACCCTCTGTTTGATGTGCCGCCTGCTGAGGAAGCACTTGTCTTCAATCTTGAGTCGTGTGGCTCGCTACTGGCTCTACTCCCTCCAACTTGGTCTCTTCCAGCTTCTACAACTTTCGATTCTTGCTCTCCACGGCCGTTTGTCATGCCTGGACTTGAACGCGGATGAAAAGTGAGAAGCGAGTCAGCAGCCCAGGGGTAACCTCGTCGAGAGGCTCCTCCAAACCCCGTGGCAGCGAGATGTTTTGTCCTGATCGCTGCTGACTTCTTTCTCTCCATCATCGCCTCCTCCTGCAGCACCCGCCGCCTCCACGCCATGTCGGCCTGCGCTTGCATGGCTGCACCGCAAGAGTTTAGCCAAGTTGACGCGGAGCCGTTGACCTTTACAACTGTTTTAACCCAATTCTCATGTTAATATGAAATCAAACATATTTATTTGAATATTTTCATGAATCATTCAAATATGTCGAGGCGAGCTCACAATTCATGAAATAACCGTTACCATACAGTAACGAGCAACCACCGCAAATAGGATGGCGGAGAGGTGAAGCAAAGGGAGGCGACAAGGATAGGAAGACAAGTCAAACACAGAAAGACAAGTCAAACAACTGGTTACAATCTTCTTGTTCTTCTTGGATCTTTCCCGACCTGAAGACTAGTCTTCGACTTCAGCACGAATGTCGGTCGAAGGTGAGATTTGCTTGTAACTCGTGTTGATGTTAGCGAATCCGCCAGACTGCATGCACAAAGAGCATATTTGAGCAGCTGTGAGAGCTTGTTGCATATATGTTACATATCTTGTGACTCCTGTCGCCATTCCCAACTAACTACGAGCCGTCACTGATGAGCTTTCAGGCAAGCTTTCATCGGCCGGTCTCGAGGGCTTTGGGCTGTGCTTTGCCTGTTGCTCATGCATCTTCTTCTGCATGATGCTGAGCTGGATCATCTTTGTCATCGTGACCATGACCAGCTCGCCGATCCCGGCGCCATGCAAGGCATTCGACTATGAGGTGTCGATGATTGTTAATTGCAAGCACTCAACCTGACATATCGTACAGTACTTCCCGCAAGGAGGGATTTATGACTTCATCTTGTACTACCTTGTCTTGATCTTCTTGCTTCCCTGCGTTTTTGGCTGCTTGTACTCGATCTCTGGCCGATCCAGTGCCCTTGGCATCGGATTTCGAATGCTTTACCTCATGCTCACGATCTACGTCATGGTGATGTCATGACCTCTTCATGTCGATCCCTGACCTCCATGCAGGCATGGGGAGTGATGATGTGGAGGTCGATAGATCCGCAATGCAGCGCCGAGTACGAGAAGCCTGAGTTTCAGAACCTCTTCTTTGTCTTCCAGGTGCAGGTAGTCCTGTCCGTCCTGAACGGCTTCGGCTCCTTCTTGGAGCTCCTGGGCCTCCCCTTCCGCTCTGCGGGGTTTTCGGACAGTTACACTCAGATCGATGAGAAGGCTCCTCAGAACCCAGAGACAGAAGGGTTTGTGTGACGTCATGTTGTTCAAGCATCAGCTGGGCAGACTAGGTGAACCCCGGTCCTCCGCTCGCTCCTCGATCTTGCGATGGTTGTAGATGGACACGTAGGACTTGGACCTTCTTGACTCCGTCGGCTTCTGCTCCGAATCTTTTCCTGTTTCTATCCGTGAGCACACGCATGTTGTTGACCCGTCGCTCACCGGCATTTTCTGCGGGTCTTGACTGCGACTCTTGGCCCTTGTCTCTGTCAGGAGCGCGATTAGACGCCAATATTCCCTCATGTAGATTTCTTTCTAAGGGTCCGTACCTCTTTGTTGTCTGGCCCTCTTTCCTCTCGTGCTGCTTATAAACATCGTTCAGCCTGCTCCGCGTCGGCTCTGCTTCTGCTTCCTTGTGATATTTTGCTGCCCGCTTGTGATCCAGCTGGTCTGCCGGGCCCCAAGTCTGCAACGTCTTCTCAGCTTCACCTCCTTCGCTACGAGCGGACACCTGCTCCCTCCTGCTCCTCGACGAGCTGCTAGGAAGGCTCTTACGAATTGGACTGTCTCGTTTCGCTTGCTCGTTCTGGTTCAAGGCGCATGCGGACACGTTGGAGATAGCGGCAGACACTTGCGAGGTCACCGACTCTTCTCCCGCGCGCTCCGACAGCCTGCAAATCAAAGTGTCAACTGACCTCCTCCTCCCTCTCAGAATAAGACACGACAGCTTGTGAAGAACGTCCAGCCCCCCCAAGGAGGAGATCTTGATGCTGTTCAACTCGCTGCCGTGGGCGAGGTTCCGAATGGCCCTCACGGCGTTCTCGAGGAGCTCGGGGGATGAGGACTGGCGAGGGGATGAAAAGGTCTGAGATCAACAAAGTCTTGTACCTCGTTCTTACAGATGTCGAGCAGAGCGCTGATTCCATTGCGCTCCACGATCACGTCCTTGGAGTCTTTGCCGCAGGCGATGTTGGCCAGTGCTGAGCAAGCTTTTGCCTTGAAAACAAACACCAGTATGAAACCTTTCTCCTCCTACCCCTCCATCCTCTTCTCTCTGCTTGCCCCTCTCATGCCTTTGCTCACACTATCGCATCGCATCGCATCTAACCAAAAGTTCGGCTCCCCTCCTCTCCCCTCTCCTTCCCTCTCAGATCAACTTGTACACACAACCACATAGCTTGAATCACCTTAATCCCGTCGTTCTCGTTATTTCTCACAAGTCGAATCAGATACTCCACCCCTTCTCTCTCCACAATCGCGTCTCTTGCCGCGTTGCATTTCAATGCCATGTTTGACAAGAAGGCTGCAACATATTCGCACGTTTGTGCAGTACCAGACCTTCGAAAGACATGTCAGAATTAGAATGAAAAGAATGGTAAAAGTAAGCCATCTCACTCCGACTTGATATATTTCATGATACGAGGGATGCAGTTCAATCGTAGAAGGTGGACTTTGTTGACTTCCTTTCTTGCAAGAACACAAAGAATGTTTGCCGTCATGCCTAGGAGACATTGATGTCACAAGTCTTGAAATGGCAATCGCTCTATTCACATCTCATCTTTTCCCAGCACCAGTCTGCCTCACACCAGCAAAGGATTTGCTCGAGGGCCGAGGAGTACTTTACATCAGTGAAGGAGGCCCGGAGTGAGCCGAATTGAGCAATCTTGCCAAGAGAAATTCACAACCACGACAGCAAATAAGTCAAAAGTATTACAAAGTTCTCGATAATCTCATCAATAGTCATCAAAGCATCGCTTTCACTCGAGTCATTTGCTAGGTCGAAGTAATCTTTTTTCTCCACAAGATATTCCTGGCAAGTCTTGTCAGACTGTCTCAGACTCTACACCACAAAGACAATGCGACTTGGAACTTGCGTATGACTTGATGCTTTGATCGCTGAGCTACATCTTCACGATGTTTACATCTGTTGATCTCCCTCCGGAGCTCCTCATTCTCTCGCATCAGCCTCTTCTTGTCGCTAAGTTGCTCCCCATCAGTTCAACCAGCATCGGGTCGCATCATTCACCTCCTGCTCAAGGCCTGGAGTCTTCGGTTTGCGTCATTCAGATGGTTCTGTAAGATTTTGATGTGAGCCTTCAACTCCGCAGGCTTGGCTGGTTCTGATCCCTCGCTAACAGTGACACACTCGCTCGATATCGTTGTGTTGTTATGTGACATGTTCACGGGAGAGGTCACTTCAGCTTCACAGCTCGGTTGCCAGGTGTCTGTCAAACCTTTGTGAAGCTCTTGGACCTGATGCAAGAGTGTCCTTCAGATCGCCATGGCAAGGCTCAAAGCGAGCAGGAGAGCATGACACATACCAAGATGGAGGTCGTTTGCAGCTCTTGAAGCAACGTGTCGCAACGAGTCTTGACCATGTCGAGTTGTGACTCTCTCAGTTTCAGAGATTTCTACAGCAGTCTGAGCATAACGTCAGGACAAGTCCTGAAACAAAACCTTCAAAGCTTCATTCTCGTGTTGTAAATCCTTCAAAATCTCTTGATCTACAATCCATCAGGCACACGATAAGTAGAGAGAGCTTACAAACCTTGTTCTGCTTGTATTCTCACCCTCTCCTTCTGTAACTCAGTTTGCCCAAGCTGATCTCTACTTGTGAATGAGCATTCTCGTCACAAACTTACACATCATTTGCTCACCTCAGATCGCGGATCTGTTTTGAAAACAGGATTTCTCCGTCTACAAGCTTGTCAAGATCCTCCAGAAAGGTCTCGGCTGCGTCTCTCTGCATCCCTTCCAACGCCATCCTGCATCTAGCCCGTCACAAGTGTTGCAGCAGTATCGAAGCCTCACCGCAGGCGCAGTAGAATTCCATTGCAGTCCTCCTCACTCCCCGCGTCCTCAGTCTCTGCCATCCGAGACAGAGTTCGGCTCTTCTCTTCTTCTTCCATGATCATCTGAGCCTTCAACTCGCGACTGCCGCTTCAGTCACCCTCCTCTCGCTGCCTCATCCCACTCATACTGACTCTGCTGGTATGTGTCACAATCTGGTATTTCTACTGCAAGGCTGCAAAACTCCTGCCATAAGTCTTGATCGCCTTCTTTCTTCATTTCGCTCATTGTTTCTCTATGCTTACACGGCGATCGGCTACAACTTGTTCCCAACAACTTTTGGAGAAAAGCTGCTCAGACCCCTCGCTCACTCACTAGGCCCAGTCCGATGACCTCAGTATCCCACTTTCTCCCTCTATGTCTCTCACTCTATCACGGTTTGCATACATCCTGTTGTATGTGTGACTGCAAGCACTCCAACGCTCCTCAATCCCCCGGTGCTCTTCAAGTGTCTCTGGCGGGACTGCTTTCCTCGTCTCTCTGCCAGTCACTCGCGTCTTCCCTTGCCTCTAACTTGTCTTCCCTTCTTCATCTCGAGCTTCTGCTCGTGGCACAGCCTGCGGCACCGTCTGAGCCGTCACTGTCGACTGTCATTGAGCTGGGCTCCTCCTCTCGGCAGTGGCATGATCGGTCCGGCGTCTCACCGTCTGCTGGCTCACCCGGCGCACCCGCAGCGGCCCGACGAGCCCCGGCCCCCGTGACCGTACTGGCAGTGAGTCGCCGGGGGCCCGGGGGGCGGAGGACCGCACTGCACCGTTACCCGGTACTGCTCCGACGGCCGGAGGCTGACTGACTCACCGCCCGCCGCTGCGAGTCACTGAGTCGCCCGACGGTCACCGTCCCGGCGGCCGGCCCACTGCCGGCGGCCCCGCGGGGTACGGTCACAGGCCGGTGGCACATGGCGGCGAGAAGAGGAAAAACCGGGCCGACAACGAGAGCCAGCCCAACTTGATCCAAACTGCCTGCAGTGCCAGTGTGACTGCTGTCCCCCAAACTTAACTGATACCTTTTATCCCGCAGTGACTACCGTGACTGTGATCATATCCGGGCAGCGATGATGACCGCGCCACGTGCCAGTGACTCCGCACTCGGACTTGAATCATGAACTTCGGAATCTTGAAGGTCGCGGCCCCGCCGGGCCGGGCGGCGTCCGACCGGCGGCCCGGTACGGTACTCGGCCTTGACTACCGTCGTCAAGAGTTCTTCGGTTTTGAGACAGGTTTTGAAATGGCGTGCAGTGAGGGTGGTGAACAAGATCGCAAGGGCCGGGAGGAGGAGGGAGGAGAGCAGGAGGCTTCACCTGACTACGGTGGAGGATCGTTGAAAGAAATACGTGCGGGAGAGCAAGAAGTGCGAACAGGAGAGCAAGAAGTATGCGCAGGAGAGCAGGGAGGGGAGGCAGTCATCGCAAGCACTACTGGGGCCCCCACCCAAGAGGAGAAAGGTGACAGTGAAACTGTTGATGATAGCAAAGCTTTGTTGCGGACAGGAAATGCGGAATGCCATATGTCCTATATGCCGATCGAGGGGGCGGATCAGAGTCCGGTTGATGAAAGAGTCACACAGGAAATGCAAAATGAAGTTAGCCCCTCTGCCTCGCCTCCCGAGAGCGAAGCAATGCAGGATGGAGGCGTGAAATCCTCTGCATTAGAAGGCAGTGATTTTGTGGAGCGCATGCCGCAACAGAAAGGAACAGGCGGTCACTTGGACTCCCTTGTAGAAGAAAGAGCGGTTGAAACCGATGAGAAGCTCACTGACAACAGGACGTTGACCGATGGAGATCAACCTGATCGAGAGGAAGACGCTCTTAATTCTCACTTGTTTCCACCTCACAAGTGTCAGAAGCAGGTCGGCAATGGACCTCAAGAAGTCAACTCAAATGTGCAAATGGAAATCTTGACGCAGAGACTCTGTGATGGCGAAAATGACAAGTGTAAAAGAGGAATTTTGTTCGGTAAGACGGACGAAGAAATGAAACAGTCTGGATTGTTCGACGATGATGATTTCACCAGCAAGAGCTCCATTTCCAACCTGGTATCCATCGTTGTTGTTGATCTTTGTTGCAAAATCTTATCATTTTGTTTTGTTGGCATTAGCTACGTCTTGCGGGCAATTCGCAACTCCTGCCTTCCTACTTGAAAGTAGCAAGAAGCTTCCGTGGAGGCTTGTGCGCAAAGTCCCTCATTCAAGCAGGTTGTGCACGCCAAGGATCACAACGTTGGCATATCTGACTCAATAATAGGATACTTGAAACAAGCACAAGTCGTCCGGCTGTCCGAAGATATCATCGACCTACAGGGTAAAACAAGTTGCACGATGCTTGTCTCTCACTCGTGTAGCCCTTAGATCCTGCGTGCTCCAGTCCAAGAAAATCGAACGCTCCTTCATGCATTAATACTCAAGCTTCTGCGCTTCTCAGGATTTGAGCTCATTGAGTTTCAGTGCTGTTTGTGAAAACTCTGTACATTTATCTACCCATCGCCACACATTAGCATAACATTAGCATACAAAGCCTTGCTGGTTACTCCCGTCATTGTCGTTGTTCTTCTATTCTACTCTCTGGGACAGAGAAGCTGTTTCGAAAATAGCAATGATCTCGGCTGGTTGGCATCCTCTTTTAAAAGCGTCCACAACCTTCAAGAATGTAGTCAGCACATCTGTACATGACAATCAACACACACTCAACCTTTTCGAATCCTTCTTCGTGCTGCTTGATGATCTGAAAGGACATGGTGATTCCATACCTGGCCTGTATCTGCCGAGCTCTCCTATCAAGGATACTCTGTGCAAGATCCAGCTCGAGGTCCAACTGACGAAAGTACCGGTATCCAAATGTGGCTTCTCCATACTTGATGTACTCTGCAACAGGCCCGAACATCTGGACGATGGATTGTCTGTCCATCTCTTGTTTGGTAAGCCCCTCAGGGATGAACCCATCGCCCATGACAGAAGCTCGTAGCTTCTCCAAATCAAAGTTGCCTGAGCGCTTCGAAAACACCTTGACGATGCTGTAGCCATTCCTGTCCGGCAGGATACTCTCCAGGGGTAATCCGCACAGGTAAGCACCGATAAACCTTCCCGCTTCTCTTCTAACCCACCTGTCACCACTGTTGCTGGTTTGGTCAAGGATTCGCTTCTCATTCAAGCCATCCAGCTGCCTCCCAAATACTGTCACAAAGATGTTGATGATCAATGTGATGTATCCGTAACCAGCCAACAGGTCCGGTGGGATCAGGTACAACCACGGACCAGGGAATCCGGCGAGAATAAGAGAAAGGGCCCCTGTGATACCGAGAACGCCGACTCCCTGATACCGAAACTTGCTGAACGAGTCGACGGATATGCCCATCTGTTTGTCGGGATCGGACATTCCGGTGACGGAAAGCATTCGTTGCGGCGTGGTATCTTGGGAAATCCTTGGAGCCGAGTTCCACCACAGCAGTTTCCCTTCTTGCTTCAGGCGATCCAGTGCAGGCACAGTCGCGTTAGCGTCTCCGATCAGATTGATTTCGTTGAGTTCTGCATACACGGTATCGTATGATCTGGAAAACCTTTGACTTAATTGCTGTGCTTGCGATGCTCGCTCGGCCAGCTCGACACTTTCCATCTTTGCCATGTATGTGTTTACAACTCGACTGAACTCTTCATACTGGATGAGACCATCACCGTTCGCATCCGCCTCATCAAACAAGTCATCGATGGTGTTATCGGCCTCGAAATTCATTATTGTCTTGAGCCCTTGCAACAGTTCCTGCTTGTCGACACCTCCGTTTATGTCCTGATCAAGTCTATCGAACACCGATCGGATTCGGAAGTCCTTGTCATCTTGACTTGTTTCAGAAATTCTGGAATTCATACCAAGAGGATCAACCTCTCCTGGTCGACCTGTCAGCACTGCTCCCCAGCTCTTGTAGAGCGTGTCTGCAAAACTCCCGAAGAGCTTCTTCATTCGTATCTCAGAGGATACATCAGTCAGTGTCGATCTCCCCGCACGAAGCGTCGACGCCTTAGCTTCAGCCTCCCTTGCTACTACAAGTGCTTTCCAGGCATCATCTGCCAATTTTCTTGCCCTCTCCTGTCTTTCGCCTCGACTGTCCTCGGCCAACAAGAACAACTTCTGTGCTTTGCGATGACCTCGATTACACGTCAGATGCCTCGTTGACTGGGAACGACCTAGCAAGCCTGTCTTTGATACGAACGCGTCCACGCTCAAGGGAAGCGTGCCAACCAGCAAGCAGAACATCACTTGCTTCATCCCAAGTCTTGCCTTTCCCATGGGTTCAGCTATCGACGTCGGCTTATGTCAGACATGATCGCCCGCCTCAGAGTTTCTGACTGGAGCCCTCACAGCCGCTGGAGCTGAGTTGGTCCGGCCCGGGCCGGCTGCCTCCGAAGCAAGCTCGCCTCAGCTTTGTTAGACAAGGCATTGCTGACGACAGGTCACGAGCACACAGACAGAAAACGGACCAGGATAATAATATAATAAAAGGTTTTGGTGGGGGTGGTCCCCGTGTTTCCGGTCCATTTTTGTTCATCCTAGATACGTGTGATGGGCCACGTCACCTGCGTCGGGTTGTATGGGGGGGACAGGGGTGGGTGCTCCTTGTAGCTCATTTCGAGGGTCATCATGCATCCCTAAAAAAAAACAGTCGCATGCTTACACTCATCAACCCCGTTCAAATAAGTTTTATCCCATGACCCCACCCCTTTCCACCCTCCTAATCGGACCAACTCGTCTATATCTTTTTAATACCCCAGTGTTTCGATAATTTTCAGAAAAAAAAATGTCAGCATCAGGGGCAGACTCGGCACCTATCCACCCGTCTTTTTGACCACTTATTTAATGCAGGGGTACGCAAATAGCTGATACTCTCTAAAAGAAGTTGTAAAATGATTTTTTGTATTTTCTTTGGTAAACCAGGAGCTATGGAGCGCCCTCGAACATCAACACCCTACCCTACAGTTTGAGTCAAAATATACCCCACCCATCCGTACGCTCGCAACGGAATGGAACATTTTCGGCGAAACCCGAGTCGGTGCAGATATGTGAGGAAGTACCCGTACTCGCAGGTCTCCGGCATGACCCCACCCAATCGGGACTCTTGTGTGCAACCATCGTTGCTAGGGGCAGATTTGGTTCAGGGGGTCCTTGCCCTTCTGCTGATCGGTAGGGTGGGTAAAGCAGGATATGCGGTTTCTTTCTTTTAGTTAAAACAAAGGAACACATGGGGGTGGGGTAAGCGGGCAGAATTTTAAAAAGTCCGGCTCTCAGCAATCTGAAAACACTCATATTCATATCAATCCGACTGACGGGGGTACCTACCTCTGTATATGTTTGCGGTAATTTCCGGTGCCTTCCAACAAGGGTAGGGAGTATTTGGGTGCAGATGACTGGGAAAGCAAAGAATAGAGCTGAGGGGTGGGGGTCCTAGTCTTTCGATCGTAGTTTTAGATTTGCAGGGGTAGCGGACTCAAGCACAAAGGAACGGGTAGGGTGGTCTGAATCCGCTTGTGTCAAGGGGAACGGGAGCCAGGTGGGCAGGGTGGGAGGCCGAGAGGGGCACAGCGGGTTTGCCGTCACATGAGCTGGAGGACGCTGGAAAGAGGACAAGGGAAGTGATAGGTGGGGCCAAACGACCATGTAAAGTGGACGAGGGTGGGGTAGCACAGTGATGGGTATGCGTGGAAGTAAATTCAAGCTGGAGGAGGTTGACCAGCCTAAGAGGGTGGGGTAGACAGAGGTCCTCAGTAGGAACAGGGAACAGGGGGAATATAGGGTAGGGGTGGTTGAGCCAAGGGGCCCGAATGAGCTGTAGGATTTATAGGTGGGCAGGAGTGTTCTAGAACGGGTGGTAGTAGGGTGAAAAAAGTGACTTAAGTTGCCGGGCTACCCGTTAATGTGATGGGGGGTTCCGTGGAAGGGGTGGTACACCTTCGGGGAGGAAGAGGGTGGAAGCTTCCGGGGGAGACCGGGTGGGTGGTGGAGGCAGTCAATTCCGTCAACAAGTTTGGAGGAAGGGGTGAGTATTAGTACCTTGCAAGGAATGTTCCAGGGTGGGGTAGGAGAAATTATCCAGTCGGTAGTGGGGTGGAGCCAATTGCACCCCTGGGATAGCCGAGTAGCACCCCAGTTTTCCCGAACATGAAAGTAAAAAGATTGCGCTAGGAGTGGGGTGGGGTGGGTCATACATCAACAAGGGTACCTCCTTTGCGGCAAGTGCTGAGCTCCTACCTCACGCGCGCAGCTGAAGGATTGAGCAAGAGAGAAAGGAGAGCGGCTGCTTTGGAGACTCGACCCGAGCCCCAACAACATCGTGCAAGCAAGACAAGCTTCTCATTGATTGATTCCTTCCCTGGATTCATCGTTTCCTTTGCAATTTACCCATTTGGTTGCAACCGCGGTTGGAACAACTTTTGCGCTTTGTGCAGGCCCCGGCAGACAAAGTGTAGGGGCAAACGGAAAAATTTCTGATCAGCATCACATCTTAATCAAGCAACAATGGTAGACGTTCTCAAAGAAACTCCCGATCAGCAGCTTCACCAACTGCGGAATTTATTCTACGCTGGTGACAAATTGCCTTCTGTCCAAGCTTTGCAACATCAAGAAATTATGATGAAGTTAGAAAACGAGACTAAGTTTGACATGGGATCGAACAGTCTTTTCCTCCCCTTTCAGCATTCACGGAATTCAGCATTCAATGTGGTTCCCAAGAAGAAAGAGAATGATGGGAATTCACCTTATGAATTCGAAAGCTGTTGTAGCGAAAAACGACCTAGGTTATCTGGAATATCTCATCTGGGTACCGTGGCTGCGGCGCTGCTGGGCGAAGCGCCATCCCATGAAGTTGACGCCGTACTCAACCCCATCTACACTGCGATTGCAAGGCCAGTTCAGATTAATTGCGCTCCTTCAAAAGTTCCTGCAACCCAAACAGCGAAACCAGTCAAGCAAAGGAGGCCAAGAAACAAGAAAGCCCAGATGGGTAAGGCCTCGACTGATAATTCCTATCCTTTTGTACAGATGCCTCTTTCATTGCAATTCTCGGAAAACAAGGATTTCCTAAAGCCTATGTCGTTTCAACAACAAGCTTCTCAATTCCCCTCCAAGCCACTCCAATCCAAGCCTCAACAACTCAATGTGCCAACAAGCATGCCTCTTAGTGAAGGAAAATCATACATTTCTTTCGGAAATTTTCACATCGTGCAACCTGCTAAGTCTAATCGTGTAAACTCGGAGATGAAATCAAAGGATGCTCCCAAACAGGATATCAATTTTTCTGGCTTCGCAATTCCACAAAGTGTAGCTATACGACAGGAGCCTCTTCATCATCCTGCGTCTTCTGCTTCTTCAGCTGTTGTGAACAACAAAGCTGACGACGAAGAAGACTCAATCTTTTCTGCTGGCATGTCCATACCTGTGTGGGCTTCGCTAACAGGTGAACCAGACAAATTTTCTGTGAAAGCGATTGATTCTTTGATAGGTTTGGCCAAGCCATGCCCGCCAACAGCTTTTGAAGTGCCAGAATTCAAAGAGAAAGTGAACAATAGCCTAGACAATTTTCAACCAGTTCGACCTTGCGAGTATCACCCCGCGTCAGAAGCCTCAGGCTCGCCATCTTCGTCATCTATTCTGAGCTCCCGAGCAGTCGAAGCTGATATTGCACTTGAAGGGCTTGCGAAAGAAACTCTGGGGATTCATGTCAAACCCAACGCAAGGAACAGGATGAAGGATTTGATGCATCTCCTTATTCAATTGGAAAGCAAAAATGTTTTGAAACTAGTGAAATCTAAGGACGATGGAGGAAATTGTATTCTGGGTTTCTCTGAGATACAAGTGCACGAGCTTCAAGTTTTCAATATGGAGATCAGGAGGATGGTGCTGGAAGATGAAAATCGCTGCTGGCTCGTGAATGGAAAGACGAACATTAAGGAACCTACTGGTCCTGTGTACGAAATCTTGCGTCAGATTGGTATCAAACCAATGAGAGGAATGCGAGGACCGCGCAAGACTGATCCCGGAAAGAGAGATTTCATGTACTCTTACAGGTGAGTGCTATTAGTAAGCTTTCTTCATGTTTTACTCACTGGGATTTTTCTCAGATACATTTTTGATGTGGAATTGATGATGAAGAATAGAAATCGATTGCAATCGGGGTACATCGGGCGAAGTCATCGCCCTGATTTTGAGCTTAGCCCAGATGATTAGTCTCATTTCTTCCTTCTTAAACTGCTTTCCAAGAATCGTTTAGTGTACCTTATCGTCATAAACAAACTGAATCATCACATAGACTAGGTGAATCTGATAATTGTCCTACTTCAAACTTGACGAGATGTTGCGGTTTGACCTACATTATAGTCAGAGCGGTTCTCGGTAACTCAAGAAAGAACCATAATCATTCCCAAAGATCGCGTTTCCTGCAATATGCGCGTCAATCTGAAGAAAGCTCAAAGGAGATATACAACTTTTGTCTCTGATCCCGACGATGACATCTTGGTGGATTCTTCAGAAGCATTGTTCACTAGGACATTTCCCTGCAACATGGACCTGATGTCATGGAAATTGAAGTTTACAATCACAAGCATCCGCCATGAAAGCAGTTCACATGATCAGCTGGAATGGGATGAGCCGTGCACACCTGATAATCGAAGCAGATGAGAAGGCCTGAAACAACCCGTCCATCCTGAAGGAAGGAGCGATTGGTAAGTCAACCCGATTAGCAAAGAACTTAAAGTTACAATCAGAGTGATCCTGCAAGTCTTGTTTACGTAGTCCTTCAACAGATTCAAGTTTTTTTGTTTGTCAGCATCTACATATTCCTGTCTCATCTGTTAGCGATGCCATCGTTTTCACTTGCCTCTCACCTTTGAACCATCCGGCGAAACGACTTTTGCTAAAGTCCATTCATCTTCCATGGTGAAAGAAGGTTTGCGTTATCTGCGCTTGCCTGGTGACTTCGTGCAGGTCAAACCGTTTCCGTGTCTGCCACTCCCTCCGTTTCTTGCAGCACAACCTGTTTGGTTCTGTGATCCCTTCGGTCTAGTCGTGCTGTCCGCTCAGCATGTCACCCCCAACAGACGTCCTCCCGCTCTGTGAGGGCGGTGCATGGGCAGCTCAGGTCTATATGTAACGGCGCCCTTTGGAATCCGTAACGACCATGGCGCATGTTATGGCCGCTGTTGGACTTGCGGTCGCAATGCTGGCAGTAGGTGCCGAAGGCTTCCAGGCCCTCCCGCCCTCCCACCCATCGCTCCTCCCATCGACAAGACAGTCGGGCGCTTGCCTCCGCCCCCTCCCTCGTCTTCGCGCCCCCCCATGCACCACCGTCCACATGTCAGGGTTTGGAGGGAAGTCGCAAGCTAAATCCTCCAAGGCACCCAAGAAGATCATGGGCATACCCAAGAAGGTGAGTCGAGCTCACCTTGTCGTCTGAAGGAATCTGATCTCCTCCCTTCCCTCTTTCGTCGCTCTCGCTGCCTCTCCACGTCTTTTCTTTCTGGCAGTACTTGGAGAGCTTCGACCAGCTCATCAAGTCCGGCAAGAAGCCATACTACGTCTTCGCTCGCGTCAAGGGAGCAGACAAGTGGTACGAATGCGGAAGAGTTGCCATTGAGGACGACTCGGCCAACGCGGCATGCACGTTCTTCAAGAGACTTGTCTTGGAATATGCCTGCGATCTCTATCCTGTGCTCATGACAAAGCGGAATGAGCTGGAAGTTGGGTACTCCGAAGGTCAGTAGAGAGATGGATGAAGGGGAGATGTCAAGGGAGGAGGAAAGCAAGAAGGAAAGTGGGGAGGGAGAAACGGGAAGGAATACATGGGTTGAAGCGTCATTTTCTCATAAATTCTCTCAGACGAAAGTGCAAGCGCCGTCAAGGTCATCGCCAAGGAAGAAACCGACAAGACTTGTGGCTTCTCTCCTAAGACCAAGTCTTCCAAGATGACTCAAGGTGCCTGGCAAACCTTCTGCTCCTCCTTTCCCCCCTCGCTCCCTCCCTCCCTTCCTCTCTGATATTCGTCCGCAGGGCTCTTCGATGCTACGGGAAAGACCGTGACCAGCAACATTGCAGTAGATGCCTCCGAGTGAAGGACCCCCACACATGAAGCCACCCTATCGCTGTTTACCGGCATATCATCACGATGTGTCGTTAATTTTGCCAGTGCAAGTTGTGTTTCAGCGTGTTCATTGTAGTTTTTTGGACCGTTCCTGCCTTTGAACAAGAAAGATCAATGATAGTCTCCTAACCGAGATACGGGACGTTCTGCTGTTGAGCTCGCAACCGATCTTCTTCTCTCAGAGCGTCTAGAATCCCTTGCGCTGGTTTCCAGTGAGGAGCATCCGGACATTGCCTCTGATACTTGCGAATAAGCTCCAACACCTTCACCGCGATGTCACAGATCCAATCCTCTTCCTCCTCCTCCTTTCACCTTCTTCATCCCAAGTTCTCTCGCATACGTCATGGGCTGCTGGTTTCGAGCTCCATAGCCGTAGGCATAAACAACATCAATGTCGGTCCACGCTCTGGCAATCCCTTCGTCCAGGATCTTTTGACGAGTGTCACAACAGGGGATACGAAAGGATTTTGACAAACGATGTCAACCTTATAGCCCTCATTGACGAGGCTGAGAATGCATCTCTCGACTATCTCCTCCTTCTGTATCTTACGGCGAGTGACCCCGAGATCTTCTCGCACAGACATAGTTCACAGTCATCTCCCCTGGCAAACTCAAAGTTGGTATGCACCTCGAGAGACCGACTTGACAATCTCCTCGACCGAGGGATCTCTTTCTGGATTCCTCCCCTTGGAATAATCATAGAAACCCCCCTGCCATGACAGGTCATGGCGCATACCCTCCACAGCGCTGCTGAGCACCTGTGTCTTCTGCCCTTTCCTGCCTGAAAGAACCAGCCTGTCTGCGATCGTCCCTGCGTATCTTCCCGATCTGAGAAAGGATGAAAACCCCTCTCACAACATGATATCTTCCTCACTCCTTAGATCGGGTCTGAGGATCCACCAGCCCCTGCTCCTTTCGAATGAGGTACCCGATGTCCAACCCTGCAATCATTCGACCATGAGAAAAAGCAACGATAGGCCAGGAACACTTTCCTGCCAGGTCGCTCACAGCAAAAGGCCCCATCACCATCCCCCACTCTTGAATCGCCTCATCGACCTGCACCGACCAAGATCAAGAAGGTATCGTGAGGATGAAAGAGTCGTGAACCTCGTGTGGAAGAGCACCTTCCTCGAGCAAGAACATGGCTTCCTTGGTGTACGACTCAAACATTCGGTTTCCAATAAAGCCGAAGCAGTTTCCTGCAAGCACAGGACTCTTTCCGAGCGTCTGTCCTAGCTTCATCGCTGTCGCCAAAGTCTGTTTGGAGGAGCTTCCTCCGCGGACAACCTCCAGCAGCGGCATAACTTGTGCCGGCGAGAAGAAATGCAGCCCAACAGTGTTGTGAGGGCGGGAGACGTCGGAGAAGATATGATCGATGTTGAGAGTTGAGGTGTTGCTGGCGAGGATCGCATCCTCCTTCGCAACCGTGTCCACCTCCTTGAAGATCTCCTTCTTAGCCTTCATGTCCTCGAAGATCGCCTCGATCACCAGATCGACCCCCCGACATGCATCCACGGAGTCGTGAAGGTGAATACACTTGAGCCTTTGTTCCAGCACCTCCTTTGTGATCTTTCCCTTGCTCACTGCATTCTCCCAGTTCTTCTTCATCCTCTCGAAGCACCCCTGCAGCATCTTCGGATCTTTGTCAATCAGTTGCACCTTGATGTTTTTCTCTGCCAGGCACATTGCAATCCCCCCACCCATGGTTCCAGCACCAATCACAGCACTCGAGAGCACGTCCTTTGCTTCAAAACCTTGCAGCTCCTCAACTCTGCAAGCTTCTTTCGCGTACTTCCGGATCCTCTCCTCAACCTCGTTTCTCGATGACAGAGCCCTGCACAGGAACGGTGGCGGAGACCAAGATGTGGCAGGGAAGGTTTTCTGAAGTCTTGTGGATGTAGTGCGAGGGGAGGAGGGAGGAAGAGGAAGAAGGAGGGAGGAGTATCTAGCGCTGAAGCTCACCATCCTCGCATTGAGGCGGCGGCGCAAAGCACTGTGGCAGGACATCGAAAATCCGCCTTTGCGCTTGCAAACTTTGAAACTTCAAAAACTTTTAGCTGAACTATGCGTGTCATAAAATGTAAAGCTTCAAAGTTGTTCATTTGGCAAAGTTTGAAAGAGGACCCCCTCTGTCCAGCAGATCCTGATTGATCCCAACGTTCCAGTACCCGTACTTGCCCCTGTCTTCACCCCTCTGTCTGACATCAATGCTACCGCTGGAGTTTTCATGACCCGTACATTCTTCTGCCTAAACGCTGAGGGTGATAACCCCTTACCCCCCCAATCTACTTCAAACACCCCCTGGTCCCAGCTACCCGCCTTGTTCGCCGCCTTCTTGAGCTTTCGATAGCTCCTGCTCCTGCTCCTGCTCCTGCTCCTCCTCCACCACAACCTCCTCCTCCTTCTCATCCTCCTGCTCCTGCTCCTGCTCCTGCTCCTGCTCCTGCTCCTTCTCATCCTCCTGCTCCTGCTCCTGCTCCTGCTCCTGCTCCTCCTGGTTTCCCGCCATTGGTCCTCTCCCTTGCTCCTCTCCTACACTGTCGACTCCAACCTTCATTGATCGAGCACTTTCCTGCCCTGGTCACACTGTCGTCGCAGCTGCGTTCATATTGGATCCTCCACCTTTCCTGTGGAGGGCATAAAGTTAGGTGGACAAGCATCTGATCCTACATAACAGCGAAGCTCTCCAGCATCGAACCCTTCTCATGAAGTCTCTGTTCCGAAGCATCGGACTCTCCAAGCAGGAGAACGAGCCTGCGGATGTACGCCATGACTATGACATAGACCCCTTTGCTGATCCTCTTCCCTCCCATTTACAGGTCTTGAAGGCCAAGGCCGATTGGAAGAAAGCAAATCTAGACAGAAAGAATCTCACCAAGGTAACTCATCGCTTCCAACGCCCTGCCCCCACCCTTCCTCCCCTTGAGCTCTAAAGATCTGATCTCAACGTGTCACTGCAGCTGTTCAAGGCAGCGTTTCTCTCCTCGGTGGAGGCCATGAAAGCCTGGCAAGGAGTGTGGTGAGAACTTCCTCAGTCCACTTGTTGATGGCTGATCTGATCCCGATGCTAGCGACCTACTCATTCTCATGGCGGAGGATGGAAGCAATCCTGACCTCGCCCTGCTCACCAACGTCGATCTTGCTGCTAGCCTGTGCCCGTGATGACTGTGTGTTTCAACAGATTGCAGAAGCACACAAACAGAATCTCGAGAGTATGGCGGCTTACAACGACACTCTCAGATACAAGGTAGGGAAATACAATAAGGATCTTGCTGGGGTTGAGGTGATTCAAGGTTGTCAACGCACTGCTGGATATCGAGAAGCAATCGGATGCCGACACGAAGAAAGTAGAAGTTAATCGACGAAATGCCTGAGATGTTGATGGCCATGTCATTGCAGGCGAAACAAGAATACAAGAAGGCGTTCCAGAAGTACAGCAAGAAGAAGCATGAGAGCGAGAAGAAACATGTAGTGCGATGAAGGAGATCAGACGACTTCCCTGACCTTGCGCACCTGACAGAACGAATCCGAGATGCAGGAAGAGCTTTCTACGCTTGAAACAACTGTGAACAGAACAAAAACTTCCCTCATGGAGTTGTGGGACTCTGTCAAGAGGGACAGGATGGCAGAGGTCTTGCAGGTCGACGATGAAAGGAGTACCAGCAGCGTGACTGACGTCACAACAGGCTTTGTTCACCAACTTCGAGGCCGAGTACATCATGGCCCGAGAAGTCTGCACCAATTTCAGCGAGGCAAGCCCGTCAGTCCTCAGGTGTGCGCAGGCCTGCGGGCTCAAGGTAACGCCATTGACTTACTCTCACTGGGTTGTTGCGTTGCGCCAGTTTCCTGATATTTTCTTGCTCGCCGACAGGAGGACATTTCGATTCCCATCTCATCCATCGGCGAGCCGACCAACGTGGAGCACCTGGGAGGAGGAGGAGGAGTGAACATGCTGGAGGCAGAAAACCGTATCGACCTGAGGGACCAGCACGTCGCTCAGCAGCTCCAGCAGAACAGCCTCGCCCATGCTCTCCCTCCCTCCAGGTCAGATGAGGGACCCTGAAGGAGGGAGGTTGACTCGTGAACCGCAGCAGAAACGACGGGGGGATAGAGAGTTACGATGCGGAGAGGCAGGTTGTGTCGCACTCCACGAGGATACAATCTGTGGACAGCAACAAGTCAGATGGGGAGGACAAGGCCAAGAAGAAACCTCCTCCCCTGCCCGCTCGTCCCCCTCCAGACTCTCCTCCCGACCTCAAGAGTGCGAGAAGAAGTCAGAGAGGATCGTCGAGGAGGGAAGCGAAAGGAGCTGCTGCAGAGAAGAACGGAAGCAAGCAAACCTCCAGTCAAGAAGCTCGCGGGTTGCTCTCCGAAATCTCCTGCGCACTACCCTCGGCTTGATAGCGTGGAACTTCCTCACCTTCCTTGTTACCATGTTTTCCTTTTCATCTCCCACATTCTATCTTTCCTCTCTTTGTCCATCTCTCCGTCTGTTTTTCCCTCTGCCTCTGCCTCTATCCATCGATTCCTCCCCTCGTCTGGTTCTGTATGTCCATCAATCCCTACTTCTTTCCTGCTAGCGCCAACCCCCCCCCTCTCTCCTCCCATCCCATCCCCGCTCTTATCATCTCACCGACTTGCTTTCTCAGTGTTGTTCCTCGTCTTGAGCTGCATGGAGCGAAGAACGACTCCTATCCTCAAGGTTGATGAGAGCGCTGAGAGGGGAACATTACCTTGTTGTGATCATGAGGAGAAATGTTCTCTCCGTGGGTGGCATCAGGGGCTGTTGACATCATGTGGTGTGTCTGCAAGTGTTAAGGGCTATGGTTCTTGGCATCGTTTTGCTGTTCATTGCAAAGTATGGTTACGTTGACAATGACGAAAACGAGAATTTAGGACATTGTTGAACTTTGGAAAATGGGATACGCGATGATTTGATTGTCACGAGAATAACACTCGGATTTATTTTGTGACCTTGATGAAAACATCCCTGGGCGATCCAAGCATCTTGTTTGAAGATATGACGAGTGTTTTGGTTTGTTGTTTCAAGATATGACGAATGTTGTCATATGTTGTTTGAAAATATGACGAATTTTTTCTTGTGTTGATCGGATTCCAAGTAATGGCCGTTCTTGTAGACGCTTCATCGCTGGACGACAATTCAGCTAGAGACCTGTCGTCGCCGATAGACGCCGAGCCATCCGGCAGACAAAGGGAAGAGATCGAGTCATTAGGTCTGACATCCTTCCCTTGCTCAGCAAGAATTGCTGTCCCCGCGGAACTCCACGTGTCTCTACTTTTTGGATTCTCCTTTCTCCCTCTTCTCTTGTCCTAGCCCCTTTTCCCCTCTCACTTCCGCTATCCTCCTCCTCCTCCTCCTTTCTCCTTTCCCTCATTTGCGCATACCTGACCCTCACTCCAGCTCAACCCGTGGCTATGGAAACACACCCATCCCTGGCAATCGTAGACGGTCGGAACCGCCCTCCTTCTTCTCTCCCATGACTCTCAACGCAGACAAGATGCACATTCATTCGAAGCAGGAGAGGGAGGAGCAGCTTGTTGACGTTGTTCTCATGCTGTCAATGATTGCTGGTGACGATTCGGCAGGAGGAAAATCCCAACGCTGTCTGGGAAGCCTTCAGGGACGACGACGGGAACGTTTATTTCTATAACAAGTGAGACCCTGCCCTCCCCCATCTTCACTTCCTCCTTCCCTTCCTCCATCTCATCATCCTGCTTCTCCACTTCCTCGGACTGTTTCCCTCAAATTCCCTTTTCACCTTCCTGTTCCTTTCCTTCGTTCTCCATTTCCCCTAAATTCTCTCTGCGTTTTTCTTTCAAGATGCTCCCGTCTGATCGGTTGTACACGACAGAGTCACAAACGGGACTCAATGGGAGCGACCGGAAGGGTTCGATGGAGAGCCTGATGACGATTGAAACTCAACACCAGCCAATGTTTATTCTATTCTTGAAGTGAATGAAATGAAAGTTGTCGTTTGTGCATCGACGACAAGCTGTTTGGGTTGTCTCTACTTGGGGTTGTACCGCTCAGATGGGAGACCCTTCTCGATGAAGACCTAAAGATGTTGATGAGCAACAAGTGTGCTATAGAGATTGATGACGATGACGACGAGGGTTTGGCGTGCACGAGAAGAGGACAGTCGTTAACAAGAAGACAAAGATGTCGATCTTGGGGCAACCGATATAGAAGGATCGCTGACCTTGTTGAGCTGCTCAGTGTTGCAGATGGCAGGGAAGAAGTGAATCTGTCAACAAATCATCTGATCTCCTGCATTTCAAGCTCTACCCTCCCACCTGTCCGTTGTTTCTGTTGTCAAAACCTCCGGGGCCCTTTCCCCACTTCTCCTGAGGAGTCTGAAGAAGAAAAGTAGTCAGTCTCCTTCTCTTCCTCCTCTTCCTCCTCCTCCCAGTGTTCCCGCTCTCCACTATCTTAACTTCTAACGTACTGTGTTCATCTCCAAAATCAAGATCTTTGTCGTATCAAGGGCTGTTCGTTCAGGTCGTGAAGCTTCTAATCCTTGTTTTCCTCATTCAAAGGTATCCATCCCCCCTTATTGTTACATCACCACACCTGATTCTCTTTGAAGTAAACGAGGATGGGAAACTCAAGTGACGGGAAGAAGTCATAGTTCACCCAGGTTGGGTATTTCCATCTGATTTGCAAATCTCCGTCAGAATCCTCCGTGTGTCAATCGAAAGCAACGATGTGAAGAAATCATGCATGGAATCTTCTTTCACTATTCTGACCTGTTCGCTCCTCCTACAACAATGTTCTCGCCACTGTCGTCGAGCTGTTGCTCTGACTGCAATCAACAAAGTGAGAAACCCACTTAGGCAAGTACCTTCTCCACTCAGTGCTTCCATGGCCATTTTCATGTCAAGACTCTTACCTGCCCCTTGACCTTGAGCTCGAAGGCTTCATCGTCAAGCACAAACCTCACTCGCCCAGTCTGACCAGAGATCTAAGTCAGCAGCAACACAAGGGGACCCTCCCGTCAACAGCAGACAGCACGAGCATCGACACGTCCAGCTCTAACGGCAGTACCTGCACCGCAAACAAGACGCCGAGGGCCCCAATGGGAACGCCGGCAGCTGGGGCCTGTCGACCGAGTCAGCTGGAGAGCAGGACTGACACATTTTGTCTTCCTTGAGGGCAAACAGAGCAGCACCGGCAGCGAGGAAACCAGCGGCGACCTTGTAGTCAGGCTCGATAACAACTTCGTTGCCCTATGATGTGGCGTGAGGGAGGGAAGGCAGAGGCGGGAACGAGCGGGAGGGGGACACATCAAGTAAGAGTAAGGAAGAAGAGGGAAGCAGGAGAACGAACGACAGAAGGGGAGCAAGAGAGAAGGAATTTGGTGAATAGTAACGAACGAACCTTCATGACAAGATTTCTGGAGACAGGAGGAGATCGCATGGCGTTGCTGCAATATGCATGTCAACATGATCACCTTCTAGTCTGTATCTGTCTTACACTCTCTTCAGTCCTCGGCTCGCGCAAGCGCTTGGACTTCGGTCAGTATGGTGACACGAAGAGGAGAGTGAATACCGTTGTGCAGGAAGGGCTCGTCCTGAGAGAAGCGGGGAAACACTGAAGGAAGAAACCTCCAAGAGGAGGGCTGCCAGCACAGGGAGCTGAGTGAAGATGTTCAGACTGGGCAGCGAAAGTGCGTGCAAGGAGTAGAAGCAAGTGAAGAAGCAGGAGGATTCAGATGTGGGATGCGTGGGAGAGAGGAGATGAGCGAAGAACATCGGGAACAGGCAGAGATGCAAAAGGGGGCGGGAAGGAGAAGAGAGAAAGAGGAAAACGAGACAGGTATAAGGAAGAGGAGGGAAGGAGGAGAGGAAAGGTATATGTGGAGAACAGCAAGAGTGAAGGACGAGGAGGAGGATGATGAAAAGGATGATGATGATGATGATGATGACGACGACGACGACGATGACGACGACGACGACGACGATGATGATGATGATGATGATGATGATGATGATGATGATGATGATGATGATGATGATGATGATGATGATGATGATGATGATGATGAGGAGGAGGTGGAGGAGGAGGAGGAAGAGGAGGATGATGATGATGAGGATGATGATGATGAGGATGATGATGATGAGGATGATGATGATGATGATGATGATGGGGAGGAGGAGGAGGAGGAGGAACTGATCTCTCACCCTCAAGCTCAGCATGTTGCTTATCATTCAGCGTTTATGACACAGATACCCCATGCACTCTTAGGGGGTTTGTCAATTTTGCAATGGGTACTTGAGTTGCAAACCTGGGATGTGACATGAAAATGAGGATAGAGAGTAGGATACCGCATATTTCATATGAACATACATAAATTATTTGAGATATTGGGGTGGGTCCTCAGATTCTTTGGTTTGTGGGATGGGGCGCAGGGGCAAGCTGGGGGTGGGTAAAGTGAAGTGGGGGTGGGTGGCGAATGGTTCTCCACACCTGCCTCAGAGGGTTTTGGTAGTACAGGCAAGGCGATGGCGACAGCAGCGCGGACATGGAAAGGAGAGCAAGAGGGTCGAGGAAAGATGCATGCTGATCAGATGATGTTGGATTGTCAAGCGAGCAGAGGATCATCGGCACATAGCTGTTAGGAAAGCTCACACTAGAAACAATCGTCGAGCAACAGGCTGCCTTGCTACTTTGTGGGATTCCTGGGCGTGTGGAATGAGTAGGATCTTTCTTGGGACCGCCTTCTTCACCATCGTTCTGTTGCTAATATGCTCTCAAACGAATCTGTGCACGAGCCGAAACGCCATTGCACGGAGACTGTATCGATGCGTACAGCTAGGGGAGCTGGTAATGAAGTCTGGGTTCTTGGTTGTGTGCTTTTACATCTTACATTAGCTTCATGCAGATGTTCGTGTTTGGTTGCCTCAATGATGTTTTTCAAAATGATGTTCTCGTATCAGCTCACCAACCTAAATCAAAGAGAAAAAGCAAGAGCAAGTCTTCTCGCCCCCTCAACCTGAACGTGAGATGGTTTGCCCCGTTCCTCAGTGGTGGCGGGTATTGTTCAGAAGCGCTCTCTTACATCATGGAGCTGCACAAGCATGCAAACCTGGCTGTTGTGCAACACGGTGAGACACGACGACTGCAGTCGTAGCGTGTAAGAGCGTCAAACAGGGGATTCGGTGAACCCAAGATTTGTTGAGGGGTTGCCAGCTGCTGTCAAGGTAAAGTGTTTACTGCAATCGCTGTGTGCGTGATCATATCTTGTTGATAGGAAACACTACAGAAGGCAATGTACACCAGGTTTCCTCCGAGATCGACGATAGATGTGAGAGGACAACGTGGGGCGGTTGATGGGTTCAAAACCTCCCGCAGATCTGTCATAGCGAGCCCGGGGCCTGGAGCGTCCCTACCCCGATGTACCCGACGTCGACATGCCCGTCAGAAGACAGGTGGATATGAGGTTTGAGAGCAGAATGCCGGGACGAGGAGGATTGGGGGTTTGTCAGAGAAGGAAAGAGTTGAGATGCGCTGAGCGCAAGATGGTTCTGGACAGGCTCTCACCGTGAATGAATGCTTGTAGGTTGTATGCCGTCGGGAGAACAATGTTTGAGACGGACAGGCTGCCAGATGGATGGTTGAGAAGACTGAAGGTAAAGAAAGCAAGACCTGCCGGACATAGCTGACGTTTCGTCTTCAATGTTCTGTCAATTTTCCAAAAAAGGCAATGGATGAGATTTGGGTCCCGTCCAAGTTTCATGAAAGTGCGAGACGTTTACATGAGAAGAACTGGCTGACGGTATGTTGAAGAAATTTTCGAGGACGCTGGACTTGCCAGAGAGAGCATACATGTTATCCCTGAGGCTGTCGACACTGAGCTGTTCGACCCAACAAAATCTTCGTAGGAGCTCATGATCTCATAGATGATGATTGGGATGATGCAATGACGGCAGACCTCACAAACTTCTGTCAGCAGACAAGAGATTCAAGTTTCTCTCTGTTTTTAAGGTAGTTGTCTTTGACTTCTATAGAGATGTTCTCCGCTATCTGAATCGACAGCTGACTTCTCCTGAAAAGTGGGAAGCCCGAAAGGGCTGGGATATCTTGCTAGAGGCATTTCTTTCACAGTTTCCAGCCAAAGAGAACAGAGTGAGTCTCTTAAATTCTCTTTGGCGATGCTACATAACGTTTCCCTTCTCTTTCATTGCCAACTTCGCTCTACATAGGCGGTTTTGTACATAAAGACCATGCATTATCATACAGACGGAGATTTCAAGCAGAAGATTCTCGAGTTTGCATCGAACAAGTTGGGACTGAACGATCCTTCGGAAAGCCTTCATATCTGTTTAATTTTTATAACATCTTCTTTCCTTCCAGGATATCAGCAACATCATCGTCTTGGACGAAGACATACCGCTGAAGCAAATGACCCAACTTTACGCTGTAAAGCTAACTCTCTGTCTTCTCACATCTCATCTCCTGCCAGAGCTCTGACTGTTTCGTTCTCCCATCTCGAGGCGAAGGGTCTACTTGTTTCTCCTCTCAGACATGACCTGACTTTCTTGCAAAGGTGGGGGAGGCCGCACATAGAGGCCATGGCCATGGTAATCAACAAAAACGAGTCAACCTTTCCCATCTCCCTCAGCCTGCTACAGGGTCTTCCAGTCGTTGCAACAAACTGGAGCGGAAACACTGAGTTCATGAAGGACTACAACAGCTTTCTCATCCCCATTGAGGTCAACCCCTGCGTTATCTCCTCCGAGGCTACAAACGTTGAGCCTGCTGGCAGGGCCTCGAGCCGGTTCGGGAGGGAGCGTTTACCGGACACCTGTGGGCGAGACCGTCAGTGAAAGGCCTCATGGACATTCTTAAGAAAATCTTTGAGAACCCAAATGAAGCGAAAAGAATCGCAAAGGTGCCGCTTCTGAGGCTTGTTGGATGATCCGAATGTTGAGCAACTCTGTGCTGAGACAGGTTGGGATGGAGGAAGTGCGAAAATTTTACAATCCCGATGCCGTTGCAAATGTTGTTATGCATAGACTGCGAGCTATTGAGCAGATTCTGGCTCAGAGGTCTGTCAGGGGAGAGTTATGAGCTAACTGCAATGGCGTTTCGGAGAGTGTCAGGGGAGAGTTATGAGCTAACGGTACATCAGCTCGCGATTTATGAAAGTTCTTCCCTGGTTTCGAAACTTCAAGTGACAAGTTTGAATAGAGTACACGACTTTATTTACATACGAATGAATAATTAAAATCAGAACAGGATACCTTCACACATCATTTCATGTTTTCAGGCCTCAAACCGGTACCCCCGGCCCAATACTGAGCTCAGAGTCATCGTCAAGACCCTCCTGATGAAGCCTCTTTGCCTTCTTTCCCTCGGTTGCATCCGCTGAGGAAGTGCTGGCAAATCGCTTCTTGCTATCACTGGAAGACAGGTCCGTTGAATCATCGGGATATGACCAGTTCATCGACATCCCCATACTCACTGATTCGAGCCTTTGACTCTGCTCATCAGAGGAGAAGTATGGTCCAGCAAACATTTGTCCACGTGAGCTGATAATGCTGTCTGTGAACGTGCTGCTCGAGGAGGAAGCCCATGAAGTGCATGTTGACATCGAGTCCAATCTTGTCGCGGCATGACTCTGTCCCAACATACGGAGAGCATTGGGATTTCCGATCACTCCGCTTTCGCAAAGCCTTCCGAACAACCCATCCTTCTGCAGGAACTCCCATACTCTACCGAAAGAGAAGTCTTCGCGCCGCTCTGACTGGCTCGTTGCGACGAAGGGAGAATTTGAATGCGTGTACCTGGGCTGTGAGCTCTGATACTGATTGTAGTCTCTCGTCGTGCGGTTAGACGATTCTTGGGAGTCGGACATAGCAAGTAATGAGAGAGGTAAGAGAAGTGAGGTAGAAGAAGGCTGAAGGGCGTGTAGGAAGAAGAAGGGGAGGAGGCAAGGGAGAGGTAGAGTGAAGGGAGGTAAGGATTGATCGCTTTTGTAACAACAAGAGGGCAAATGAACTAGAGGAGTGTGGGGAGGTAATATGGGGAACGGCACGGAGTTGTTCCAATAGCCGTCACTTTAGCTTCTTGAGGCAGGGTGGGTACTAATACCAAGGGTAGTAAAGAGACATACATTTTCCCTGCGGAGGGAGGGTATATGTGAAGACTTGAGGTATATTGTATACGAATATTTAGTATAAGAGTACATATCAATTCTTTCACCTTTAGTGTCAATAATTCTAGCCCAAGCATCATCGTGTACAGTTGCACGGGAGAACACTGCAGGGTGCGTGTTCAATCTAGGGGTGGGTCTATGAAAGGGTAGGGTGGTATCCATGAAGGAGACAGAAGGGGAGCAAAACCAGATAAATTCAGATCAGCCGACAAGATGACCGGTATCTCAGAGTCATGTAATTAGGGTAGTCGTTTTAGGGGTGGTATCCATGATGTGGACTGGTCATGCGGGCAGCATGGCAAACCATGGCGTTTCGATCCTTATAGAGCGATTTCAGGAAGACCTTTCAAAATTCCTTTTCATTTTCTAGGAAAAACAGATTGACTGCGAAAATATTTCAAGTGGCTGCAATGCAAGTCCGCTCTGGTGCCATGCAGCTGACATAACTGAGGCATGGTGTTTCCAATGAAATTTCAAATATATTTGTCATTTTTCCCTCTAATATTTGAACTTTCATGTTTAATGCCATGGCACGCGGTAAAGTGCTTTGGATCCTTTACAGGCGCTGGGCCTCCTCCCCCAACGTACCTTCGACTCCAACTCCCATCGCTTGGCTTCCACGCCTCGCATGGCCATGCAACAGCCGGACGACTTCCAACAGATTCAGACGGGCCGGGCCGCCTGAGTAGTTCACGTGTTTGACTGTACTCGAATGAGTTCACCAGTATCAAGTCTTTACTCAAAGTTAAGTTAAAAATCAGTACGAGGACAATCAGGAGTTCAGTATCCTGTTGAGTATAAAGATGCCAGTGGATGTCCGGCCGGGCCCGGCCCCCTTGCAGGGTGCCCGACAGTCCATCCAAGCTAGGCAGGCTCGGAGAAAGATTGTTATTCTTTCGGGGACACAAATTGCAGACCTTGATTTTTGCCGTTTTCTTGATTTTCGGCAAGTTTTCTTAGGGTTAGGGAAATTAATAGGGTAGGGGTCCATCGCTTTTTGATTTGTCCCGGTTGCTTCAAAGCACAAAGCAGTCAAAGTATAGGGTAGGGGTATTTGGAGATGTGGTGGGGGTCTATTTACTGCCGAACAATGGCGCGCGGTAGTCGCAGGAAAGCTGATGATGAGGATGTAGCTTGATATTTTAACATGTTTCTTGCACTTGAATCACAACCAAGATCATTCTAAAAGTATATGACTCACGAGAAAGTTGTAACATCATGAGTTATTCATCATGTTGTAATATGAAAATGTGATTTGGTCGCCTCGCCAAACTCATGAACCCTAAACCCAAAGATGGCAATGGAAGCATGTTGAGTGTGTTGAACACTTCATTCGATTGCATTTTCATATTATGAACATATTGCAAGCATGTCGAAGTTCATCAAACTGATTCAACAGTTCTTTTTGTCATCGGTAATCATTGTCGATTCGTACTGCATTTTCTTCTCTACATTCTGAATGCGATGAAAGATCATTCAAGTGCACTAATCCCCACCTGAACCGATGTTTTACACTCTGTTGAACCTGTCCAAGTCAGAGATAGTTGAGTGTAGGCTTATTACACAACGACAAATGGACTTTTTATACAGTTTTTCTGCTTGTAAATTCCTGACACAACGAATTCAGACCGAATGTCAGTGTGAATAGACTGGAATCATGAAGCTGCACAACGCTCAAACCCTTATGATCTCGAAATCTATATCTATGACTGACAATTCCTTTCATTCTCTTGCGTATTGTACCTTGTTTGTATTTCTCGCTCATGATTTTGTTGGGATTGTCTGCTAAATGTGAATTTCCAACATTGGATCGGTTTACATTGTTCATGATTTTGTTTCCACATTTATGAACCAAAACCAGAGAGCAACCATCTTCAATCATCTCAAGGAAGCACATGCAAAGCATCACGAGCCTCGACAATGGGAAAATGCTTCAATTTTGCATTACGAAACTATTTCGTTGACCTCCCCTCTTCGACACATACTTGCAATTATGCTAGAGTGACAACATGGAACGTCAAAGAATTTAAGAAAATCTGAATCAGAATCATACAAGAGGTGATCACCTTTGTATTCTAGATGGTTGCGTTGGTGGTTCATGATCAATTGCGTCCGCAAATGCATGATTTGGAAGGGGCCTCTTTTTCACCTTCTGCAACCAAGTTTGACGCGAGGTCTGAATAAAACACCTGTCCGCGTTCAAACTCGGCGGCTCTGTCACAGAAAGTCTACTCCACGCATCAAACTGCAATGGTAGACATAGTTTTAGGTGTTCATCATTGGGATTGACAAGTTTCTTCACAAGTTTCAAGAATACTGTTCGAAATTCAAGCGTGGAAGTGGAGTATTATCTCCATGGTGTGCTGTGATAGCAGCTTTCTTTCAGATACGAACTGAGTTCCAGATGCCTAAATCCGAGTTCCATGAGTCGAGCAATGAATATCCGAGTGAACAACTGGAGTTTCCTACATGAAAAGCCTGGGCAAACCTCAGTTCCAACATTCCTGCACTCGTATCAACACCAACATTCGCGAGCCCATGAAAGCATCATATTCTCACCTCAATATGAATTATCCATGTGTAAACAAAGGCTTCCAAGTACCACATTCATTGACGGTTGAAGTGGGCATCCATAGTTCTCAATGTTGAACTTGTCATCGAAAAAATCCTTGCGATTGTCAGTTTGTACATTGACAGAACATGATGAAAAATCGCAGTTTCAGTGGGATTAGGCAAGTGAAATCTCACAAAAGGAAGGAGACGATATCGTCATGACACTGACGTTAGGTTCAACTCGTTTTTAGATGCCTACTTGATGAGCATGACAGAACTAGCGAGGACTACATAGCAAATTGTGAATTTCCTTCCACAGCACAAACTCGAAGATTCCTCCGGCACGGCAGCTCAATCCGTCTCCAAACCAACTGTCTATTGGAGGGGTGTCCATGAAATACCAAAACAACCCAGACTTCACCGCTCCCCGTGAAATCTTCCCCAAACGCCACATCAAAATATGCAGAAAAAAGCAAATTTTGTGAATTTGCTGATTTCGATCGCACAAAAAACAATGAATATAGCTCTGATGATCCAGTTTTCACTATCTGAAGTTCGATTAGGTACCTATGATTCAATTCTAGTCCTTCATACAACCGTTTCACACTGCGCGACATGCCTGCAAGCACTTTCATAAATTGTTTGCAGCACATGCTTTTCGATAACAAAACGGCGATTTCCCAGATTTTGTCATCTTCAAGTTGTCTTATCTCAGCAATGGATGGGTCTCTTCTTGTGCGGTTTTCATCAACGGAACGTGCCCGTCCTCCTCTTTCGTATGCCACCATTTTCGCGCCCTCTCCGTTTCGGAAGATGCTGTATGAGGGTCTTCAAATCAGGGCCCTTTGGGGGGATTTGGGCCCCTCAAGGGGCCCTGTGTCCCCGAAAGATTATTGGCAATGAGAAAGACAGGCAGACAAGGCCATGGCAGAGGGCCTGGAGCCGAAGACAACGAGATGGCTACAGATAACTAGAAGACGTAGATGACGATGACGACGAAGATGAGGAGCATGAGGATAAGGATTGAAACAATGATGATGGGTTGGAAAGACAGGCTTTGGAGGAGAATTTTGTATGGATGACGACATGTTCTTGTCCAGATGCTGGTATTAACCATGCACGCGTAAAAAGGGCATGAATGTGCTGGTTGTATGCAAGGCTATTGGGACGGGGGGGGGGGGGGGGGACGAGG